TCTTGATTAAGGTATTTTTTTCGAATTTCACACTCAAAAGTACAAGATCGACAATGATAATTAGATTCTTTTATCTCATATCTGTCCATTTTTGACCTTGAAATAGCCGACATCACAGTTGCAATGACACAAAATAACAACTGGAAACAAACATACAGGGAAATATATGGTACATCTGTGGAACTCTGAGGCATAGTTTGTTCAAATAATGTTAAAAAGACAGTAAAAGCCAGTAAGAGGGTCAGCGAATACTGGATTCTCTCCCCTGATTCCAAGGGAATAAGAGGTGTTATAGAATTCAGAACAGCTAGTGCTATGATAGGTACAAGAGTACTAAATATAAAGTACATATATCGTCTTTTTAGGTGCAGTTCGTAATATATAAGTGTTGCGTCATGCTCAATCAAATACACTATACTGTATGAAAAACGTGTAAATTCCCATTCTCCATTGTGTGTTATATAGTCTACAGTATCACCGGGATGTTGTTCTGGGATAAGTTTTTGAATGTAGTCCGTCGTTATTGAAGAGGAGAGTATAATTATACATGTCTGGTTATCAAATGGAAATTTCTTCATCCTAAGATCACAAGACACCACAAATTTCCCTCCTGGAATCCAATTCATGTGACCGTTAGATGTCACTGAAACGACAGAGTTAAATTTGAGTGTGTTAAAGTTTTCCTCAGCGTAATATAGATACAGTTCCGGAACCCAAACTTTTTGTTGGGGTACTGTAATCATCTTAATTCCGGAATAATCAGTTTCGTTCCAAGTCAGAAATTCGTCATCCCACTGAACATGGAACCAAGCGGTGAAAGAGATATATTGCATATGTTCATCTACCTCGTGAACTGTGTTTAAATTCATTTGAATACTCACATTGACGGGTTCGCTTTGATTTTTTCTTGGTTTTAATATTTGACTATATTCCTTGAAAAGATTTCGCTCAAAGTTGGACTCACATAGACACATGTATAACTGTAGAATTACAATATTGTAAAACAAAAAATCCATTTTGATGTCCACAATATCCTTATAACTGTCCAATGGTGATTTATTTATGATCTGAGTTTGTGCATAGTGGAATAAAATACTCATTCATAGACGGTTTAAAAATATTTTGCATTTCATTTTAACCACTTTTTTCTCTGGTAAAACGTGCATTAGTGTCTATTTCAGAGCTCAATTTCATTTAAATCAGTATTATTGATCTACAAGTTATTAAGTGAGAAGGGGAATCATATATTATGCAATGCACAATGATTTCCACGGGAATAATGCTAGCAGGTGAGTAATAATTGCAGATTAAAGACTTTTGCCGATGCATTTGATTCTATAATCAACAAATAGCAATCAACCTATTATTCCACGCCACTTCAATTTGCTCAATCTTCAGAGAGACCGCCATTAGTGTTTGCAAATAATGTTCTCGTAAAAATTGACTCAAACAATAGATATGTAAGGCGCAGTTTTGTGATAGCAAAGTATCGCAATGATAAAATTCACATCACAAAAAGTACTAATTATTCTTACATATAGTTTTAAACCCTATCCTTCATTCATTCATTCCTATCTTCATAAAATCAGTTGAACTTCGTTATATCGAACTTAAATATCTTGAATACCTTTTATTTGTAGAAGTTAGTTAAAAGTCCCAACGTCAATATCTCGAATCATTGGATATCTCGAAATTTTTTCTCAGTCCAATCACGTTCGAGGAAACAATGTTTGACTGTATTATAGAAGGTTATTATCGTCCTTTCATATTTCGTTGGGCATTTTTAGCAGTTTATCATGACTAGGGACCAAAATTTACCACATATGGTGGAGGTCTTCGCGTTCCTGTCTCAGAGAGCAGGTGTACGTAGACATATGACCGAATTTTGATTATTGAAGTTCGCTCCAGAATACTGTTTTTTTTTCCAGAATCTAGGGACAATTGTTGGACTTCTGTCATTTCATTATTTTCATTGAGATTGCTATGCCATATACTGTTCAAAAGTTGACATAGTTCATTGTCATTATATAGCATTGTCAGAATCATTATTCATCACTGTCATTGTATATCAATTTTATATAGTTAATTTACATGTAAACGTATTATTTTACTTGTGTCTCATCAAAATCACGAATCACTTTGTAACTTTGTACGTATTGTAAGTTGACAACATGCACATTAATCATTGCTGTTAATTCGTTAATTCATGCCTGTATTTATCATTCGTTAGTTATACTTTTAAAAGGTTGAACAAAAACTGCCAATTTATCTTTGTGATTATTCTTCCCCCTGTGAATTTTGAAAAAATCAAAACTGCTCAGTTTTAGTTGAAAATACATAAAAAAAAATTCACATAGAGCCTTGGTAACTGTACATCTATTAGATATGATGTAATATTTTCTAGGTAGGTCTTGTATTATGACCTCACGAATTGCGTCATTTCCCTAAAATCTGAAAATTTCTTCAAAATGGCCAAACGTTTATACTTTTTTTCAATATTTTGCATAGAGCTCAATCTCTAATCCAAAATGTTCAAACAAATAATAATAAAAAAATATTTCTGAAGATAACAAAACATATTTAATTTTTTGGATAGAGGGGCGGGCTTATGTAAATTTATTCTTTGCTGAAGGTACTCAAATACACCCGTTTCAGCAAAATTCAAGAACATTGCAATTTTACAAGGCTTTTTTAATACCTGGACTCTCAGAGAAAACTTTTTTTTAGGAGATGTAAATACTAAGTCTCTTCTTTGTATTGATATTTGAAATGGGACATTGGGTCTTGGTCAGTTAATTGGTATATGGGTAGGGCCATTTTATAGATAAAGTTAACCTAGCTTTTTGCTGACCCACACTTATAAAAATTAACAGGAACCAGTCCTTCTGTGTTATATTTTTGTTGATACTATCCACTTAGCCACTTCCAATTAATTTCAACAATTTTTTTTCAGCTAATCAGTACTTTTGAAAGCTGATAAAATACCCTAACCATTCCTAATTAAACAACCTACAACTTGAAGGTCAACCCTGTGCAATACACTGTACTTTCGATATATTGATCGTTCGATTGTCCCTATGTAGACAATGTCAAGTATGACCCCGAAATCTTGCAAGATTAAGAGCTTCCTCGACTTCATCACAAATGAGGGGCAGTAAGTCAGATAACCGCCGGGTAATCGCGATACTTAGATTTGACAGAAGAATACCTTGAAGCATGTAACTGGTCAAGTTAGGATGGAACGTTTTTGTTCATGAATAATAATGTATATACATATGTCATGTCACGTATGTCCAGGAACCTCTAAAACTTTTCTTATCCTTAAATGATTACATATACATGTATATACATTTCTGAACGCATATATATATATTTGATTTGAAAGCCAATAGTTAAAAGAAATCAATGCTTAAAGACGTCACAGGTAAACACTAAATCATTCTGATGTTTACAAAAGGAGTTCCTTACTACCTTGACGTCAGTTTTTAATATTTCTATTCATGTTAATATCAGAAAGAAATTTTAATTGTGTGAAATTTTAAAATGCATTCTTGATAACCTTGCAGTTACTGGTTCAAAACTTCATACATTTCTAAAACTTTTCAAAAATTATATCGAACTGTTTAATTACATTTTCACCTTAATATGTGGCTTGGACGAATATAAAGTTGTTTAACTAAATAGATATAACATCTCTGGTGATAGAGGCGCCTATTTCCATACACAGAGATGTAAGCGTGGTCATGGGCATCGGTCTTACAATAAACCTTTAATACACGATGTCTCTTTTGATTCATTACTACCTTAGTAATATCATTGATAGCTGCTTTTTCAATAAAAATGGAACTCGTAAATTTACTTTACTTGTCATTGGTCATTTGCAAAATTATTTTGTTAAAAAACATTCTGATTGTACACACAAGTACTCTGAAGTTGACATTAAAAAGATGCTTGAGTTTCTGATTGACAATATCTATGTGGTTTTTGGAGACCAGGTCTTCCAACAATCTATTGGAATTCCTATGGGTATCAAGGGGACTTGATAAGAAGAAGACACTTGCAGTGGCCTTCAACTTGACATTTAGATATATCGACGACGTATTGTCAATTAACAATTGTTATTTCCATTCTTACGTCGATACGATATATCCCTATGAGCTTCAAATAAAAGATACCTCAGAGTCTGACACATCTGTTTCATATTTGGATATTTTACTTGAAAAAGACGTTAATGGTAATCTAACAGCCTAGCTTTATGATAAACGTGATGACAAATACACTTTATCATTGAGTCAAATGCTGACTGTCGTTTTTCATACTAATTGTTAGGCCATTATTTACACACTGAATTGTCGATGGATTTTTCCGTTATTTCCCGATCATGACAAGGAGCACACGGCGGGTGTGACCAGTCGGCAGGGGATGTTCACTCCTCCATGGCACCTGATCCCACCTCAGGTTTTGGAGGTCCGTGTTTGCTCTGCACCTATTTTGCAATGTTTAATGGACTTTTGAGCTTGAATACTGTTTGTTATCTCCATATATTTTATTTAAGTAAAGATTTTTGAATACTTTTCTAAAAATGTGTCATTTCAACTTGAAAAATTCTAAGCATTATGTTTAACCAAGAAAAAGAATTTTAATAAATTATTTGCATGTATAATATGACTGGTAACTTATGTTGAAAAGAAACAAGATAAAGTCAATAAAAAAAATATCACGATATTATTTTTACAAAGCCCCGCCCCAAATAAAAATAAAAATTATTGTGAGATTCTTAAATACCTTCGGGTCTAAGAAAAGATTTTTCTGAACAAATACTAGAACAAAGTATAGATTTTCGACAGTTTGAGCATATTACACTGACAAACACAATATTTCTATCATCAGTTACAATGCTCTTGAGTAAATATATCGACAAGTCAGCGAAAAAAGAAGTTTTGTAATCAATTAGTTTCTAAAATAATTTATAGGCTTATCAGTAGGAAGGTGAATAAATTTTAGGGACCGTATCTTATTTGTCGAATTAGTAATGTTAAGTCACTTAAAACAATTAGCAAAATAGCAGATGTAATGAAGAAAACACCAAAAACACTTCCAATGAATACAGAGGAAATCCGGTTGTCCGGAGCAGAAGTCTTCGTCCGAATAAAACTGGAAAGTTTGACGATGTTTACTTCCAGTTCTTTTCTTAATTTCTTTATTCTAGTGTTCAATTCTTCTGTATTATTCAAACTAGCAGCCCTGGAACAGGGACATTGACAGCCTAAAATAAATGTAAAGATTAGATTTCTGAATTATTCTACTGACATTACTCATTACTCATTACTTTTTGGAATAAATTATTTTATACCCTGAGCAGATTATATTTCAAATTTTACCGCGGAATGTGATGCAAATTTTGTGAATCCAATAAGCTGAAACAATGGATTACTATAGTATTATTTGCGCAGTTACTATTTTGTTGATAATATTTTGTTATATTTCATTGCATTTAAGAAAATTTTGCCGATGTCTTTTATTTACGTGCATTGCCACAGGTATAGTCAGGTTATATGAAGATATATGAATATAAATAGCAATTCCTTTTCTCTTCGAATGCAGGTAATAAATTCTTTTTTGAAATGATAATATAGAGCTTAAGTGTGATTTTAACGTGCTATGGAACAAATGTTTGACTCAAAGTTGTTAAAAGCAACCCCGAGTTAGAATTTAAAATTTATTCATAAATTTTACAAGAAATGATGAAGAGAAAGGAATTTTTAAAAAATAAAGTTTTTAAATATTTATTTTTTAAAATTTAGGAAGACAATATTCATTTTTTGGCCCAGTATCTAAAAAAATTCTTTATTTTTTTTAAACTTTTGACTCTATAGGCAATTGACACATTCCAGAAACGTTAATAAAACCTTGCAATGTTTGCATATACACTGATAAATTGTACAAGTAAACATACCTTCCAAAGAGGTGTCCGGGTTTGTAGCCATTGTTGAGTTTGGGTTGGTAGAACTTGTTGAGGTTGGATTGGTAGAACCTGATGAGCTTGGGTTAGTAGAACTTAGTGAGTTTGTATTGGAAACAATAATTGTGCTTGGATTTTCAGGAATCGTTGATCCTGAAAATTTATAGAAAAGAACTAAGAATAGAAGCCAACATTTGTGGTTGTACCCTTGCTCTGTTTATTGTTGTTAGCTATGATTTACATTTTCTTGATTATTAACTCTGAGAATTGCTAAAGGCAGTAGGTGTTATCTTTGCCATTGCATGAATTTAATTAAACCCATTTTTTGGATAGCAGACACAACCTATTTTCGCTACAACAACGTCAAAATAAATGCACATACTAAAGTTGTAAGAATGTAAAAGGTGAAGATAACAAAACAGTGTTTGATCTCACAAATTCTTTAAACAATAAAATAGTGAACAGGGCAAAAAAGGGGACCCTGGAAACACCAGAGGTAGGATCAGGTGCCTAGGATGAGTAAGCATCCCCTGTCCACCAGTCACACCCGCAGTGAGCCCTCTGTATTGTTCAAATAATCTGTAGGAATAAGTGGTATTAAAACGATGGCCTAACGGTTGGTATGAATTAAATTCGAATAAACAAGACAAGATATAAAAATATTTTTTTAAAAGGGAAAACAAAACTTGTCCTTGTATTCATCATAGCTGAACAATCGTTCAGCAAAGTTCATTGGCATTATTTTGTTTCGCCTGGCTTACATTGATATAAAAGTTTAAATTGAATTTAATGTCCTTTGCATTTACACTATGCGTAATAACATAGAGTTATTTCCAAGACATGATGTAGTAACGATATCGACAGATTTTTTTTTAAAATATAGTTTGCCACAATATTTCTAGATGCTTGTATGTATATTAGAATACTTTCTGGAAGCATTCTCGGGAAGTGTAGAATAATTTTTTTTAATTATGGCCCCAGGGGGAGGGAGGGGTAGGATGGGGCCACAATAGAAGATCAAAGTTTAACAGGATTGTACAGGAAAAATTAATCCTTAAAAATCCTCTCATAAAAAAAAACAGCAAATTCAAGATTAGTCATTTAAGAAATAAATAACAAGTTTAAAAACTTCTCTGGGAAATGAAGTGGGTCGGTAACATGATCAAATCCTTTGAAGGCCGAAGGCCGACCCACTTCATTTCCCAGTGAAGTTTTTAAACTTGTTATTTATTACTTATATATATACATTTGAGACGGACAATCGAATATAATCGAATATAAATATTGCACTAACTGTTCGTCGTAGATTTTGACAAATTACGCAAGGTTTAAATCGGCTTGAGAAGCGGTTACGCTTCAAATTCATCTGGCAACGGATTCTGTTTTGAAGGGAATATTCTGTGAAAGGCTACTTGTGATCAATTATAGTGAGCATATTGGTGTCTGGGAATATTTGTATTCATGGGAACCCATATTCGATGTTAAAAAACACTAGAAACACGTCCGATGTTTGATAATAAAAAGTTGGAGGAATTTCGGTCGGAAAGGGATGGATGGAGACACTTGTCCGGACCAGTTAACTTGAAATCAAGTATAAAATTTGATCAGAAACATAAAATCTACGATTTCAGTAAGGCATATTTATTATGATGTTGACACAGAGACACTGGCGACAGCTTAGGACAACGATCTCGATGATGGAGGTGTGCCTACCGAACTTCCGAAGTGCAGTGTTTGTCAGCTGTTTGTGGCGTGATTGCATTACACTGATATTTTCCAACAAATTTTCAAATTTATTGTGAGTAAAGTTTAATGAAAAAAAATTATATCATTCAGAGGTCTACAAGAAAAATAAGGGTAAACGTTGAGACTATGCAGCTCAGACATGAAACTTATAACACGTAGTTTTCTATTTTCTATGTAAAATTGATCAAGAACTGTATTAATTACTCATTTACATTGTAAATAAAATTATTGTTATTTTACTTGGGTATTTTGTACATTTTTATGCATGAAAAACATGCTATATTGCTAAGTAGAGTAAGTCTTTTTAATATGTAGATATTACTGCGCTGTTTGATTAGGTCACGTAATTACCTATGACCTTCGAAAAACTTCATACTGGTATGAAGATATTTGCTCTCTGTATGTTTATATAATAGAGAGATACCACAAATGTATATATATATATATATATATATATATATATATATATATATATATATATATATATATATATATATATATATATATATATGAATATGGAGGCATCCTCAAGCTGTGCAGAATCGGGTTTGTTCAAATCATGACCCAAATCATGTAGAGAAGGGTAGGAACGATAACAGGGGTCAAAGTTTTACATTGGAATAGAAAGGTATTCATTCATACTTTTAATTAGCTCAACTGAGCTTTTCTGATCACATTTTGTCCGTCATCTGTCTAGCTGTCTTTCTACACATTTCTGACTTCTATCTTGCTGTCCATATCCCCGATATCGTATCGATTTCGAATCATGAATTTAAAATCGATCGTGGTTACCGCCCTAAATACTGGGTTTTTTTTTAACATGTGTTATTTGAATACTATCACTATAAGAGGTTTTCCTTCTAGTATCGGCATCGATGTTGATATCGCTTCGATCTCTATGTTTGCTCAACCCCTTGTTGGTACCATACTAACCCTTGTGTATGTATGTCTGTTTAAACTGTAATACCTGCTTCTGTTGTTGAGAGTAGCTGATTTGTGGAAGAAGACTGGTTCTTTGTGAGCAATGTTGTATCATAGGATTCTGTAGTAGCTGAATTTGTGTTAAGCGATGGTATATTAAGCAGATGAGTTGAATTCTCTGCCAACGTGGTAGCTTCCAATGAAGAATGTATTTCTGAAGTTATGTCTGAAATAGTTTGAGTTGTCTTCCAAACCGTAACTGCTGATACCGTCGATATATCTGTTGTCTCTGTGACTGAAAAAGAACAACCAAATGTTGGTTCATGAATTCAATATACGTTTGATAAATTCAAATATTTTCTTTGATATATTTAATTCAAATCAAACCATTTTTAGCTGCTTTTGAACAAAAATATTTGTTAAAAGCAGAGCATGTTCCGCCTTGAATTTTTCCGTAGACGTATAGAAATACACAATCCCACTGCCAGGCAAGGTTAGGAACAGTCTGCCAAGGAAGAAAAGTTTGTCTTTCATTCAACATGTTTACATAAATTCCATCCCTATTTTGATCGTGTATTCCTATCCAAGAATTTGCAGCTCTGAAAAAGAAAATTTGGTAAGATTTAAGTCTATTTCCTGGAAACAAAAAAAAAAAGATTGAATGATCAGAATTAAGTGAATGTGGGTTATATTATAACATTTGTACGATTGATTATTATTGTTTAACGCCGAGTCGGCAATATTTCAGCCATATTTCGGCGAGCCTTTGTACGAAATTACTGATTCATATAATTTTTTTTTCAATATTGTTTTATTACTGGATGTCTCTTTGTTATTTAAATTTAGCAAAAATAGCCACCTTTTTCCTAAATTAAGTTATTACTAGAGATTAATTTCTGACGGAAACTCTCACTGTATGTTGGGTTCATTATCATGACTTCTCATTAAAAAGTTCTGACAAACTCAACGGAGCCGTTTACGTGCCTCTCAATGTTAGGTTACAAAATGAGAAGCCCAATCCCCGATTTGTTCAGTAAAAATATTGATGTCTGCATCATTTTAGGATATCCGCTTCTTATCCAGGAAAGATGACTCTTAAAATTATTATTTAATTAAAAAAGGTTCAAAGTTAAGGAATGAATTAAGTTTAATTTGAATATTTTCATGCAACAATTTTCATATCATGTATCTTAGTATGATTTTAGGCTCTTTAAAGTCTTTGGAACTGAATTGTAGAAAGTTGACATTTTTATCCCATAACTGTACCAAAAAATACATCTTTTGAGAAAATCAAATATCCTTTAATCTAGCCTAAGATACCAATGCTTATTAGCCATGATATGAATTAGAAGTGAAATGTGATGTCTTCCAATGATAGCACAAATTTTCTACAATTGTGTAATATAATATTTGAGGAAAATGAAAGAACTAAAATATCAATGTACAAAAAAATGCGATTTTTCCCGAATGCTTGGATACCTATAATTTTTTTATTCTAAAATATATTTGTTGATGAATTTACAATTAGAAAATGCATAGCTGGTGCGTTCAATCTTGAAATATATTAATTATTCCTAAAAAGTCTTAATATATTCTTTCAAAACGTTTTAATTTACTTAAAGAGGCTGGGAGGGTTGTGGCCATTTTTAGACTATAATGATCTCCTTTAGAAGAAGAGCTCCATATGAAGATATAGAAAATGATCAAATTTTAAAACTAAAATTTTTGAAATTTTTCTTTGCCAAATGATAGTTGACAGCTTAAGATATCATATCTAAAAAATTAAGTTAAATCTGGTGGTTAATTTTTGGTTAATTTGTTGACCCCCCAGCCTCCTTAATATACATGTTATATTTTTGGTTCCTCTCTAGGTTTTTAATAGAAGATGATAACCTTGGGTCTTTTAGGTACCTAAAAGCAATTATAATTGGGAAACGTGTTAATTAAGCTCACTTTTTAAAATGAATAATCAAAACTATTAAATTCGGGTCCGATGTATTTGTGCACAATAGCCGTCTTCGTTCAGGTTGTAAAGTGGCATAAAATACATAAACAGATACTTGTGGTAAATGTTCCAAGTTGTATGAGGCAAAGTCATTGATAATAGAAACAGGGTAGCAAACTTTTTAGAAAAATCTAAGCTAAGGATAATTACCCTGGGAATGTGTTTAGCAGAAATGTTATGGTTTCCTGATTATCAATTTTTGCTAAAATTCCGCCATCTGTTTGACATGCCTTGTGAGCATCAGTAAACATAGCTGGTGTGTTATGTAGCGTGTAACAGTTATCTTGAAATCTCATGGCGTCGGGACACTGTCCTGAAACAAGGCATTGATTATCAGAAGACTGCAAAAATGGAGTAAGTGCACTTAGCACAAAGAGAGATTCATGTTCATATATATAATCACCTTTCTTTTTTTATCAAAATAAGAAATATATCAGTATGTTGCTATAAATGACTCCACTACTTATATTAATTATTCAAACCAAATTTCTTCAATGTTTCAAAAAAAGTTAAAAATAAAAACATGGAATAGGCATGTTAAATTTTTTAAGGAATGAGAATTATTTCGTTATTGTATCTGCACAAGCATTTCCAAAACCCGATAAATTATATTCAAACCTAGCAATTTTACTGGTTTAAATACAACCTATTTACAATTTAAACAATACTGTATGTCAGTAATTATCAGAAAGATTAAGCTTGTTTACCATCTTAATTATTGTACAAATTCATAGTTCTGTTATATTTAATCCTAACAAATACAAACAAAAAACTGGGGTTCAAATGCATTGATTTTCAATTTCTCAGCATTGCCTTATCGATAATTTTAAACTTGTCTACCATCAAGCTGGTCTTTACAAAATTCAAGAAAAAGAATATGATCTTTAAAAAAACAGAACGGTTAAATTATCAATTCAATCACCAGTGTATGATAGAATTTTCTCGATGTTCTGCCTATCGAGCTCCATTATATATATATTTTTAATCAAAATTTAAATTTCCAATTAAGTTTGTTTGCTATATCTCCTTTTATTTTTTTTTTCCTTTTATCATTTTTTTTTTGAGAGAAAGATAAAGAAAAGGAAGAACAGGCTTAAAATTACGATTTTTTTTCTTTATTTCTCTAGTTTTTATTTACAATATCTGAAATTAAATACCTATTGAATTTGAATATATATTGCAAAAATATATATATATAAATGTTTTCCAATAAAAGAGCCCAGTAAATTTTATGCCATTTGTATTTAAAGTAATTTTGAATGTTATTACCTCATTCTTATTTTGCGCTGAATTTAATAGCGATGATTACTTACAGTTGATCTTAAAATTTCAAATTCATTGAATAACTTGCATGATAATGATAATTTTCGAATATATATTAAAAAGGACACGATTGCATCATCAAAACATGGGGAAAATACTGTACACTGCGTGAAACATGTTGTAACATTTCGCATTTTTGCGATATGATATGTGTACTATAGAAAAAAAAGAAAATGTGCAGTATTTGATATATTTTTCAGCTTATTAACTTGTCTTATTCTTTATTCTTAGCATATTCATTTATTTCATTTAAAAGAAATATAATAGAAAAAAAATGAATTAAAAGAAATAGTATAAAATATTTAAAATAAATGTACGTTACAAGGCATTTCTTAAGATCACTTTATGAATTACCCATATACAATACAATATGCAATTTAATGTCACTTAGACGATATGATATCAGGTAAATGAAGGCTTCCAAACCTTTCTTGTAATTGGTGATTTAGAGAAATTTATTTGCAGATGGGTTCATGCACCAGTGGAAGATATTGTTAAAATATGTAAAGCTACAATGTTGCTTAATGTAAAACTAAAATGCATTTAAAACAAAACAGAAGAGTAAATACTGTATAAGATAATTACTTACCCCTCAATGTAGACGTTGTTAAGAAAAAAATTAAAATTGTCAAATATACAAATAGAAACATGTTGAATGTTCGGTGTATACCAGAAGAAAGCGGAGTCAAGAATACATCAGTTGTTAGTATGCTTACTTTATCATTTCAATACCATTTATTTTATGCTTTTATCAAACAAATAAAACATTCATAGAAAAAGTTTGTGTGCTAAGAACCCTGTTAAGCGAAAATTCTGAATTGAAAAGAAACATCCACAAACACCAAACAATTCAATTTCATGTAAAATCGATATTATTCCATTTACATTTTTCTTAATTACCAGAAGAGTAGAACAATACGTATGTATACATATATGTGTGTTTTTGTTTGGAACACATAAAGAACATATTTTGAATATAATACAGAAACCGCCAACTGCTTCATTGTAAATAAAAATGTAAACAAAAGGGTATAACATATGTACTCTACAGCAAGAAATTAACATGACACATTAATATTGCTAATGCAAGTCAAAAGCATGTCCAAGTTTTCAGTTGAATATTTTTAGTATATTTTTCATTCTAATTTCGATTCTGTAAGAAATAGTGTCGATAAATTAGCTGACTTTCTATATTTTTAAGATGCAGGATTTATTATTTAAAAAAATTCAGCATGAAAAGAAGAAATGTTAAACTCTTGCTGTGACCTTCAATTCGACATTTCCATAAATCGACGGCATTTTATGAATTAAACAGTATTCATTTCTATTCCTTTGTCGACTTGATATGTCCCGGTGAACTCAAAATAAGACACACAGAGTTTGCCAGATATATATATGGTTCTTGCATTGAGTACAGAGGTTTATGGGAAACTAACAACTATTACTACAATGTAGTCTTAAGACAAATGGGGTGACTTCCCATATCTATGATATACTTAAAACACCATACACAGGGGATTGTTGAATATATGTTTTCCAAAATAATTTGGTACACAAAAAAGAAGGATCAACTTTTAAACTAGACTGGCTATTGACAAATACATTTATTTTACAGGGCTTTCAACATTTGCTAAATCAGCTTTTCACAAATTCTATGTTCGCTACGATGACTTGGTTAACAGTTTATTGTTAGGTCGAATTCTGACTGACATCACACAAATGTTTAGGTTTCTGTTTTTATACTTATCTTATTTAAAAATGTTCTGTGCATGATCTAACTGACATCACACAAATGTTTAGGTTTCTGTTTTTATACTAATCTTATTGAAAAAAAATTTCTGTACATGATCAATACAGAGGGTTCACGTCGGGTGTAAATGGTCGACAGGGATGCTTTTCCTCCTTGGGTAAGTGATCCTACCTCTAGATCTTGTCATTCTAGGTGTCTGTGATAAATGTTGAAAGTAAAACTCCGCTACAGCAAAGTCCTGGGAACAATCTGAATTATTTGGCTTTATCCATGATTTCTTAGGTTCAAACTTGTATACGATATTGATACATTCCTAATCGTATGCATATTGACCTCGCCATATACATGTTTTTCATTACATTACTACCGGGTATGCTGTTTGAAGGTATATGTACAATAAAAGGATGGTAAATACGATACCAACAACATAAGTAAGTAGTAAAACTTTACTTATAATATTATTTAAGAAAATTGCCATAAAAGATATCAATTAACATACTTTTACAGGGCACAAGTTTTACTCGCTAAAATGCGCTTTGTAAGAGTTCTTTATAACCGCAAAATTTTACAAAGAATTGTTATATTTTAAAATTGGTGCCGTGGTTCGAATGAATACTTCGCTATATCTGTGAATTCGCTAAATGCGTGTTCGTATTAAGAGAGTTTCACTATTTACTTATATTTTAAATTAAGCTCACCTGAGCAAAAGCCTCAAATGGGTTTCTCTGACTAAAATTTGTTGGGCTTTCTGTTGTCGTATGTCGTTTGATACATGTTCGATTTGATCTAAGGATCCACATTGCTTATATTTTTCAACCTTTGCACAAAGCATCATTGAATGAAGGATATTCAAATTCAAGATCGTTAGTCATTGTGGTAATGGAACCATGTTCTTTTTTTAATTTCTGCTACGCGAAGATATGCCTATGTCAAACTTTGGCCCTTAATGTTCTTTCATCCTAGATAAATGCGTATTGATTTCAATAAATTGAATCTTCCCTACGCAAGGAAGCTTTTGTATGTTTTTAATTATCTCTCCTTGATGCAGCTTCTATGCATCTCGTCAAATACGAATTTTCATAAAATATTCTAATGACAAAGTTTTGTAAAAACTAATCCGATGGATTGTAGGGAGAACTCAAAAATATCAAAGGTAACAAACGTTAGACAAATATTGAAGATTGGATAACTTCAATCAAACTTCGGCTAGAGTGAGCTAAAACAAGAAAGGACTTATTGATCTAAAATCAAAATACACTGTACACTTTCTGGCATTTTAATCGACATACCAATGATGTATGATGTAGATTCCTAAAAATACGCAAGGAATTTATTATCACTTAATTTGGCGAGAAACACCATTCGCGAACTAAAATTACTTGCTTTTCTTTCTAAATTGCTGTCAGAACATCTGATTCACAGTCCACTTCTCAACAAAGAACGATGCTTAGAATTAGGAATCTACATTGGTGTAAATTAGCATTGGCATTGGTATGGTTCGTTCAAGCCTGACAAATTTAATTAAGGAATGAATTTAATAGCTACCCAATTTATACGGTATAAAGTGGGTTGGGGCAGTTTACGCTTTATAAAAAAGCGTAAACTGTTCCAACCCACTTTATACCGTATAAATTGGGTAGCTATTAATTTCATTCCTTATAATTTAATTTTTATTCATTTAGTTAAGAAATAAAGATGATTGCCCTTAAAAAATGACTTCAAATTGTACAAAATTTAAATGTAACGTCAGGCGGACCGATACGCTTTTGACGCAAGTTACTGAGACGTAGGCAACCCAATTTATACCATATAAAGTAATTTTTTATCCAATCAAATAATGCGTTACAACCAGAATTAAATTATAAAATCATAATATCAAAATAAATTGTTATGATTTAACAAACAGTAAAATGTAAGGAAATATGAATACTTTTCTATCATTTTAATACACTTTCAATTGAAGTTGTCCATAAGAAGTTGCATTTGCATCGCTGACTCAGCAAATAGAATGTTGCATTAATTTTCTTGAAAGCTATTAACACATAACACGATATCACCCCAAACAAAAAAGAACAACACATATATTTTATTTTATTTATGCTATTTAGCGGTATTAGAAAGATAAGATGGAACACCAAAGTAAGTTAATACTTCATCAGCCGCCTCCAACGAACTCTCTCCCCAACCGTTATGTTCCGCCCCCCAGTAACCATGGACAATGAATATATTGTCTTGAGGAAATGGCTTTGTCAGATAGTTTTTGATGTCGTACCATCTTGATCCAGGTTTCCAAGATACCCATCCCCCATTATAGGGATACTTGTCCCAAACAAACATCATTCCATCCACAGGGGCAGGAAGATATCTGGAGTCTATTTTGTAAACTTTGGAAATCTGGCTATGTGCGTGTCGTATAACTTCGTCGGTTACCCGAGTATCATCATTCCTTTTGCTAATGACATTACCTCTACATTGCAGATGACTCCAAAACGCTGCATCGTCAAAGTCAGCATACGACATGAGAAAAACCGCCTTACCAGTGCGAGAAAGCCCCCAATGAAAAGACTGCCTGTACGGAAGATCTGCATGGGTAAACGTGAAATTGTATCGCTCATTAAGCCACCAAGGATAATCGTACACAAGAAAAATCTTTGATGCTTGAACATCAATTATCGAATTTAGTGCCGACTGAAAAATAGGATTGTTTGAGTTTGGCATCTGAATCCGTTGAATGGCTATCTTTGGTAAGGCTAGTATTATATTACGTGTGATTATCCTGAAGTAAATCTTCGTAGGAATAGTTTGGCCATTGATCGTTCTTGTTCTTCTAAATATCAGTCGGTAGAGTCCTTTTTGTATTTTGGATATTTTAATTAGTTGGTTGTTTGGGTGATACTGGTGTCTACAATATGAATTAAAATTAATGAAAAGACGACCAGTGCGAGCTGAGAAAAGATTATATACTACATTGTATACGTATCAGGTGTCACGGCTCAGACAGACAAATCGATATCTCCCTCGGAAAAGTGGAATACTTTAGCCAGGTTTTCCATCGCGAAAGGATGCTCCGCTTGGAAACTCTTGATTTATTTCATACGAAATAACATGTTTATATGATGCTGATTATCCATATTAATAAAACACTTTTCTTAAATGCTTTTTGATCAAATTTCAAAAACAAAATTGCCAATTTTCGTCCTTCCCTCTGCAGCCATTTATTTGGCTCTTGAGATCGGGTGATTTGACAAATTTGAATGGTATTCTTGTTATTGTTTTTATTGTGTAATGTAGCCATTGAAATGAACTTTTACCTTGTTTTTTTACATTGAAAATGAACAATGAAGCACATTATATTGAATGTGGCTTGCTTTGATTACCTCATATGTAGGTAAAGTCAGACTCAGAGGATAAAACAATGCCATGAATCGAAGTGATTGAATGACACAGTTCTGCCATTAGTCACCATGCATTCAGTAAAGATTCTGTCACCTTTCAGTTAAATGAATGTCGTAATTTTACATGACCTAAAGTATTATGTAAGTGTATGTCATACCTCACTGTTGAATATTTAAACACTAGTTACAGCTGAACAAATCAAATAATTTTATTTAACAAAGTTTTGAATCTGTTACCATCTCCGTTTTGTCTTAAACAGTCTCTATTTTTGTTGAATTTTATTCATTTTTTTTAGCGTGAAAAATTTATCGTTTACAAAATTATTATTTTAAAGATACCTTCTCCGGTTCCATGATAGAAATCGTCTCATAAATCCTAATGGATATGAACCCATTCCTGTGGGAACAGATACCACCCGTGGAAGTCCAGTGGGAATTGCGTTCTCTTCGAACCCTCGTCTTGTTCGTGGGAATCGCACAATGCTTTGGTCATCACCAAAACCAAATTGGAATAAATTGTTGTCAAATATGTAATTGTATGCCTCATTGCTAATTCCAGTTTTTCGTAAGACTTCTTTATAGCTGAAAATAGTGATATAATATTTAGCATGGAGTTCTTTGTTTTTAACTTATATACTTCTTTAGGTGACTGAGCATAACTTGAGCATAGCATGTAATATTTGAAACTTTAAACTGCTGTTTGTTCTTAAATTATACATGAAGATAAATGTATATTCTTTATAAAATTTCGTCTATAATCAGATTTCTTTAATTCTTCTCCCCTTTTAATGATTCAAAATTAAAAATTAATAATGCAGCAATATATTGTATATGATCTCTTTTTAAAATACTTTTTAAAAAGCATAAGTACCTATTACGTTATTTCAGAACACGTGAAATATGGATATAATGAACAGTACTCAAGCTCAAAAGTCCATTGAAACAATACAAATCGGGAGCAGAGCAGAACTAAGCGTCAGAAGTGGGATGAGGTGTCATGGAGGAGTAAGCTTCCCTTCTCGACCGGTCAAACCCGCCATGTGATCATTGTCATGATCGGACAAACAGAAATATCTATTGACAATTCAGTGTGTAAATAATAACCTAACGATAATTATGAAACACGTCAATCAGCATTCGACTTGAAGATGGATTGTATTTGCTGACAACCTCATTGTATCGACCATAGAATCTGCGAAATGTTGATTTTAAAGGGACTGTTGATATCCTTGTTTCATCAACTTGTTTGTTAATATTTTGCCTTGTTTTAGAAATTGTTTGCATATAGAGCATGCTCTTGCGTATCGAATCAACTGGGAGACATAAACTCCTTATGCAGGTGACGAGGGTATGTTGTAAGGATAAGTTGTAAGGTTACCATTAAATTATTTTTAGTAAAATATCAAAATATAATATAGATGTGTCAGATTCTGTTGTGTATTTTATTTCAAGTTCACCTGGATATATCGATTCGACATATGAATGGAAGTAACTATTGTTAATTGATAATGCGTCGTCGATATATCTAAATGTCAAGTTGAAGTCTTCTTCATATCATGTAGAAGTTTCTGAATATGTTCTGCTTCTTATGAATATAAAAATAGATGTTTTGATAACGGGGCGCAGTTGGTACCCATGGAAATTCTGACAGATTGTTTGAAGATTTGTCTCTAAAATCCAAATAGATATTTTCAAACAGAAACCCAAGCATCTTTTTAATATCATCTTCAGAGTACTTGTGTGTACAATCAGAATGATTTTTAACAAAATAATTTTGCAAAGATCATTGACAAGGCAAGTAAATTGACAAGTTCTATTTCTATTGAAAAAGCAGCTGTCTATGATATCAAAATGCCTGGACTTTAATTTGGCGCAGTAAATGGTTGTATAAAGTGTAGAGAAGTTATAAGTTTTGATGTTATTGATTTTGGTAAAATTTTGTGACTTCAAATTTTCTAAAAGTTCCTTGGAGTTTTTAAGTATCCACATCTGATTAACGCTACTTCTATAATGTATTGTTGTACAGTGCTCCTGAAGTTTCTTCTTCACTACTGTTTATATTTTACTAAGGATTAAAGAAAGAGCTTAGTAGAAAATTTACTGGAACCCATTACGTATCCTTCTTTAAGTATAGATTTGCTTGCATCATTGAGTAAACATCTAATCATTTTCTCCTTACTGTACCTTCCTTTTCTCTGGCCCAATTTTAGACTCATAATAAATTCAATTACATGCTGAATATGAAAAAATTTAAAAATGATATTTGATTTTAAGAATCTCATCCTTAAAAAAAGGGGGTTATGGGTATAAGTTGGATTAGCACTTGCAGACAATTCCTCTAAAATGAATTGAATTAATAAGCCTTATGTTATTGAATAATTTCTCATGACTCTACTTTTAAACAAGTTTTTTTTTCAAAATTATTTGCGTATTGTAATAAGAATCTTTGACAAGCGTGATATTTTGCAATATCATGCCTTCTTTATTCTTACATTATATATATAAGTATTATATTTCATTATTTGTTTTTATTAATTCTGTTATTATATTTTTTTAAAATTTATATCTTTTTAATTGTATTCTTATATGATGACAAAAAAAGTAGCCATAGGTGAACTTCATGAAGTCACCGTGGGAGTCTTTCTCGTCTAGTTCGAATATACTTAATTACTAACAACATGCATCTCAATCTTTTATGATGAATGATGTATATTCGTAGTAAATACACCAAAGTAATGACATACATGTATCACTGCTTAGATGTGTACTTTCCACAGACAAGTTCCAGTAAAAAAAAAAATATATCCATCTTAATAATTTAGAATCTACTTTTCAGATCTTTTTTTTTTTCATCGCTCCCACAATAAAAGGGTTTTGAAATTTTTAAGTTGGTTAGACAAATGACATTCAAATGAAGTTTTTAATTAATTTAGAAAACTGCACGTAGGAAGGATCGAGGATTTCAGTTTGTGATGTGAATCACAGTTATTTACAATGTTGTTTACATTGTGTAATGCACTCGGTGTGACATATGTCAATTAAAAAAAGCAACTGCAGATATGAGGGAAAAATGAAATCTCAGGGAATAAAAATTTAGTTATAACATCATCAGTGAAAAAATTAAAAGTATATTGAATTTATTGTTTCCTAAGATTTAAGTCTAGAAATCTTCTTCTTAGACATAAATAATCACAAACATACACACACAAAAAAATAAATACAAAATATCTAACCTCTGGTAATATAAAGGTATTCCATCTCTAAGAGTGACGGCAGTAAAAAGTTCTGTATTTGGATCAGAGCCGTTATAGTTTGTAAACCATTCAGATAATGACCTGAAAGGTTAGAGGAAAAAAGGATACAATTAAAACTTAATATAGTCAATTTTGTATCAAAATGAACAACAGTCTGTAATTTAGTTCATTTTAATGATGATTTATAATGATTTTCATTATACAATTACGTCAATCTTAATAAATTCTTAAAGAAGTAATGTGCAAAATATCTCTTAAATCAATTTTGGTGCCATAAAAAGTTTTGATATATAAAATCAATGACCTATAAACTTTACATTATTTGATGCAGAAATTCCATGTCTTGTACATGTAAAGTACATTTCAAACTGATTTGAGCAAACGTTTCGATCGATAGATGCATTAAAATTACACTAGGTTTGAAAAAAAGTATGTACAAAATAACCTTTATTATACTCAACTTTGTAATTCTGAGGGATTTCTTCTTTCCTCTGGCCTGAGCCTGTAAGGGGTTCTTGACATCCCTAGCTCAGGAATAGATAGGTGGGTGTTTCGTAGGTAAAGGCGTGTGCGTTCGGGAATCCGTCCCATTTCCTCAACAAAAGGTACAAATGTTAATCCTAATTCGCTGCCAGCTTTAATCATCCTTAGGTGGTTTGCAGGCCTTAGTCGCATGGCGCCAAAATCAACAGGAAGGTCAGGTGCATCTGGAAAAGTTCTGGTATACATCCTGCCTCCAACACGATTAGAGTATTCATAAATACCTATCCGGAGGCCTTTGTTTCTTAGCCTCCATCCTGTGTAGGTACCGCCAATACCGGCCCCGATAATGGTGATATCCTCAATGTATCCTCCTTCAAAAGTTAAAAAACAAGATGTATTTGTAAAACACTGATGCCCCCGTATGGCAGCTTATGGCAAAGGTTAAGTTTCTCAAATGCAGGTCAAACTCCAAGGTCTGGAGATCAAAAATCTTGGTGCTCGAAGAAAAGTCTTGTCTCAAGAAATGTAACTGTGAAATATGAAAGCCCTAGCACCAAAAGTAAATATGTTATAGCCAAGGTTAAAGTTTTTAAAACGTAAGTCAAGGTCAACGTTAAATGCTCAAAATTAATGTTGCCCAAGGGAATGTCTTGTCACAAGACATACATGTACACTTGTAAAATATGAATGAGCTAGCACTAAGCATTCAAAAGTTATGGCCAAGGTTAAAATTTTCAAAAGTACCTCAGACTCCAAGGTCAAGGCCAAGGGTAAAATTTTTTTTCAAGAGAATGCCTTTGTCACAAGAAATACATCTATGAAATATGAAAGGCCCAGTACTAACCGTTCGAAAGTTATGGCCAAGGTTTTTCAAACATGCTTCAAACTCCAAGGTCAAAAGGTAAAAAATATATATACCCAAGGAAAGTTCTTCTCGCAATAAATACACGTGAAGTATGAAGGCCTTCGCACAAACTACGCAAAAGGTTATGGTCAAAGTTAGTAAAATTTTGCAAAAGTGGATACCGGTAAAACTCCATGGTCACGCCCAAGAGATTTTATGTATTGGTACCGAAAAATAAATTTGTCACCAGGAATGCACATGTTAAACATAAAAGCCATAGCTCCAACCAATCAAACGTTATGGGTAAGTTTTTGATGACAAACAGACAAACAGATAGACAGACGATAAAAACTATATGCCTCGAATCTTCGATTACGGAAGAATAAAAATACCAAAGAAAAAGTATCAGAAATAGTTGGAAAGAAATGGCATCGATACCTGGAAACACATTTAGCTTCTCTTTAGAGTTACTTCAAAAGGCCAGTATATATTATAATAAATAAGAAGTATTGTGTTTTACTGGTTGATTATTTATGTAGTAATATCCCGATATCATCTCCCAGCTTATTCGATACTCAAGTATTTCAAGTTTAAATCTACATCCTGCATTTTCTACAGGTTTTCCCACACTGTTGCTTCTAAACTTTTTAATTATAAACAAACCTTACAGTGCCTAGATATTGAGCATCTAAAAAAAAATCTTCTGCTCTTATTCTTTCAACTACAGTTACCATTGAAAACATCATTACTGGTGATGTCAATATAGTTGAAAATGAAGACCTTAAAGCCATCATATTAAAAGCTAAATACAGAGAATCCCGATATTTCAATTGGCGACGGACCTTCATGTCTATTATGAATTCTTTCGAAGATTATGCCAGACTTTGAGCTTAATATGAAAAGGGCGATCTGAAATCAAGTTTTTATCAACTTTTGTAATTTATTAGTAATATCCTGTTATAACTTGCATATGGTATTTAAATCTCCCAACTTCTTCGATATTCCAGAGCATGTTCCGAGTATGATCAATTTTTAAACTGAGGCAGGTACTGACAGATAAGCTTATTTTACAAAAATTTCTACAACCTCGTTTAAGTCAGCATTTCCTAAATTTTATGGTCGTATTCATGACCTTGTTAGCAAATATAACCTATCATTGGGTCGAATTTTGGCTAACGTGTTTCATACCAATTGTCAGGCCTTTGTTTTTATACTAAATTTGATAAGGCGTTCTGACAATTTGACAGTTTTTTTCTGGTTCGAGTCGTTGCTCTTTGCTATTACTTTATATATATATAAATATAGAGAGAGAGGGAGAGAGATTTTATGTTGTTTTACGTCCCGTTTGAGAATTTTTCTCTCATATAGAGACGTCACCATATACCGGTGAAGGGATTCAAGTTTAGACCTTTACTCGACACTCAGGGCCATTGAGCAGTGAAGGTTCTTTATCGTGTCAACGCCTACCATGACACGGGGCCTCGGTTTTTAAGGTCTCATCCGAAGGACCCGCAACTTTCACTTCTGCACTTGGCGAAGGAACAGTTGCTATCTGTTTTTTATCGATTTAGGTCAGTCGTAGCTGCAGATATGTAGCGTTATGGTTTTATATTTTTAGTCGTTGACCATAACGCTATAGATCACTTAATACAAATATGAATCAATTTACGGCGCAGGATTTTATGCACACTTTGGGTATGTATTTCTGTCTATAAGCATTGTCTGAGAGTCCAGATAATATTTTTTCTTATACCTATATACCTATGACGCATCTTGAGCTGTCTTTTATGTTTGCGAAATAGTTAATTTTGATGTATATTTCCTTTACCCGCACTGCAGCTTAAGGATACATAACACAAACAAAAATTTGATGCATGGATTAATATACATGTATATTTTTGACTGAGTTTGATTAGAAATGACATAAATAATAAATCCCTAAAATATAAAGAAATCTTAAGTTTTCTTTGGTGCTTATATATCTGACTTTGTGTAGCTTTCTATCCAATTCTATGCAAAGTTTTTCACATCTTTTTAACCTTATGACAAAATCTTACAAAATTCTTCCACGTTACCTGGCAGACATTATTCAGTTTACCAATTTAAATATAAATCTATGAAAAATATTGATGATTTCTGGAAAACATTTGTGTTATTTATCCTTAAACATGGTAAATTCCGTAATGGCGAACACCAACGAATGTAAAATCAGATATAGCAGATCCCATCTACGCTGAAAAATTAAGTATGACGTAATGTAAGAATGAAAGTCATACCAGTCCAACATCGAGGGTTTTTTAACCATTTTTTAAGACCAATTTCGACCACGGATTATTCTGGGTTGTGACCGGTCGACGTGGATGCTTACTCCTCCTAGGCACCTGGGGCTCTTAGCATAAAGCTTGCTAAGTTTTTGACCTGTGTATTTTCATAAGTATGACTTAACGAGGTTCGCTCTTGAGCTTTTGAGCAGATTTTTGTCTTAACCTATATTTAAAAAATTCTGCATACTGTTTTAGTTCTTACAATAAATCTGGATTCTACAATACAAATTAAACGATATACAGTTAAAATTCCATGATTAAATTTCATACCAAAAGCATTAAGTGAGGAACTATATCTTGTGGCGGATGGATTTTTAAAAGAAAATGATCATTTTTTCTCTTTCGAAGTATTTAAAATATATTAAGTTTGGATTCCTATTTTTCCATGCAGCCTGCACACAGTGTTATTCTGTGCATTGAAATGTTTCATACTGGTCCTAAATTTTATATTAAATAAACTACCGTGAATTTTATCATATTTGATAAATATAGCAAATATATTGCGAAAATCCAGAAGAAAATGGCCCTAACTTTTGCTTAAAATTAGCAGTATTTTAGTAATATCTAAAAATTCACATCACAGACCCCCACTTTTTATTTTATTTTCTGAATATATAAGATATTTTTAACCATTCTCCTTAAATTCAGTAAAATGTCATTACTTTCAAATGATTTTATTGCTCGTTAAAATTTTTAATGCCAGAAAAGTGATATTTTTGAGTGCAAAAAGGTCAAATAATAAAGCATGCGAAGTAATTTGAAAATTTTTTGTTGTCACAAATTTTAATGTATCTATTCAAGATGAAATAAGACTAAGTTTGTTCCCATAATTTATTTGAATAAAAAATATTGGAAGAAAAACTTTTAAGGAATGTTTTTAAGTTTTGTGTGAGTTATTGGTGTGTAAATCACACAGACTTGTCACGTAGGCATATTTTATGAAGCGCGCTAGCACTTCATGAAAAATATGCCTACGTGCAAGTCTGTGTGATTTACACACCAATAATTCCTTATATTTACATTTTACAAGTTTAAAAGCACCAATAATATACTCAATATTTGAATTTCTTGCTGCCCTATATCGTTACATTTTTATTAACGTCTCTGTAGCCTCATTGTGACGTCACTTTAGCGCGAGTTTCACCGTGTATATTTCTACGCTTGAGTATACACAAAAATGACTTTCAAATCAATTTCACAGTTGGCTTAGTAGAAAAACACAGCAAATGTAAATATTAAAAATTAAATCATGTGTAAGATGTATTTACAGTGCAAAAAGGTCAAACTAAATGCTCTGAGGCGCATTGACCCCCATTTTTTGTTTTGATTTTTAATTAAGCTATGTTTGTAGATTCTTAAGATATACTTGATAAAAAAAATTCTCATTACTTCTGACGACAGGATCCAATCTCCTTAAGCACAGTCTTAGGACCTGCTTAAGTACAACTTAAGTATATCTTTAACCGTAATATAAAACAAACTTAGCGAGGTCTTAGCTAATTCAAACTTACGTTAAACCATATTTTTCATAAATAACCCCAGTTTTTCACTTTATTTACATATATTGTTTAAAATGATTCAGTTACGTTTTTGATTAAACATATAAATATGTTAAAGTTGACGTCCCTACATATCTATTTTAGTTGATTAGATTAGATTCTGTATTAAGAATATAATTTTTTAGAATTTATTATTCATATTTAAAAACAAATATTGCAAGTTCACAAAGTGGTTCAATGTAAATGCATGACTTTCGTTTATCACTTAAAAATGCAATGTTTTCAGTGACATTTTGATTTTATTCTTTTGTTTTGACAAATTGAATGTTCACTCGCTTTGTCATTCTTGCAGACATAGCACGTTAACCGAAAATCTATCTCCTTGAAACTGAAACTTTAATAAACAAAAATACAAACAATAGGAATATTTTGAATTCTTCTTATTTTCCCCATCCATGTACCAGCGAATGTCAACATGCAAACACTGTAGACGTTTTATGATATACATATGCTCTTACTTACCATTTAATCAAGGATCGAGAAGAATTGGGTTTTTTTTTTGCGTGTCTCAAACTTATCAACAGTTTATCTCTCTCTCTCTCTCTCTCTCTCTCTCTCTCTGACGGTAATGAACCCCTCTTTGAATCCGCGCTTGTTGCATGCATTTAGTATAATTTACAGATACCCTTTGTTAATAATGACTTCTGGTCATCATCGTTTAATTCACAGACAATTTTTCTGTTTTTTAAAACCCATTTCATCTCATATATTTTTACAGTGAACATACAACTCCATGATTACTGTGTACAACTTACTTACAATGATTAGCGTTTAAAACCTAGATCCCACAAGAATTTCAAAAGTATCCCAAAAATAAAATTTGCATCTACATGTATGCCATGTTGAGAGTGATATTGGAATCATTGATCAATATTCCCACCCCACCCTATCCCCACCACCCGACGAAAAACTAAAATTCTTATACCAGTATTTAATAGAGATATTTATTTTCTTTAAGGAGGTTGGATCCTGCCATCAAAAGTAATGAGAATTTTTTATCAAGTATATTTTTAGAATTTATACACATAGCTTAATTAAAAATCAAAACAAAAAATGGGGATCAATGCACTTCTTTTGGCGCTACAGAGCATTTAGTTTGACCTTTTTGCACTGTAAATCCGTCTTACACATAAATCAATTTTTAAAGTTTTTCCTCCAAATTTTTTATTCAAATAAATTATGGGAACAAACACAGTCTTATTTCATCTTGAATAGACCCATTAAAATTTTTGACCACGAAAAAATTTTCAAATTACTCCGTGTGTTCAATTATTTGACCTTTTTGCACTCAAAAAATTTCATTTTGCTGGCATTAAAAATTTAACAAGCAAAAAAATCATTTGAAAGTAATGACATTTTACTGAATTTAAGAAGAATGGTTAAAAGTTTCTTATATATTCAGAAAAGAACATTAAAAGTGGGGGTCTGTGATGTTAATTTTTAAATATTACTAAAATAGTGCTAATTTTGAGCTTAAATTAGGGCTATTTTTTTCTTGAGTTTCACAATATATTAGCTATATTTATCAAATATGATGATAGAATTCATGACAGTTTATTTAATATATAATTTAGGACCAGTATAAAACAGTTCACGACACAAAATAACTCTGTGTGCAGACTGCATGGAATAACACTGTGTGCAGGCTGCATGGAAAAATAGGAATCCAAACTTAACATACTTTAAATACTCCAAAAGAGAAAAAATTATCATTTTCTTCTAAAAAAAAACCTTCCGCAACAAAATATAGTTCCTCACTTAATGCTTTGGTATTGAATTTAATCATGGAGTTTTAACTGAATATAGTTTATTTGGCATTGTAGAATCCAAATTTAATGTAAGAATTAAAACATTATGCAGATTTTTTTAAATATAGGTTAAAATAAAAATATGCTCAAAAGCTCAGGAGCGAACCTCGTTAATGTATAATATGAATAGAGAAATGTATCAACGTCAGGAGTCAACATTTAATACATGTAGTTCTAAATATGTGTAAGTTAAGTTAAATTAAGGCATACTTAAGTCATCTCTACCAACCGCCTAAGATTTGCTAAGATTGTCAAATTCTAAGTCCTTCTTAAGTATGGTTTTAGACTTAAGTAACCTTTATGTTAGGAACCCCTGATGCCACCTCTTGTGTTTCCAGAGATCAATCTTTTTCTTGTTCTGTCTTTTCATAAAATATCTTACGGCTAAGGTTAAAATAGGACAACTCTGTTATTCCTGAGGTCAATGAATATGTAACTTTTTTACAGGATTATTAACAATAATCTAACATAAAAGGAAATGTGAGTTTTGTGACCAACTGAAGCTAAGATACATGTACTTATTTGAGGCTTGGACAATTATTGTCTTAGTCGTAAGATATTTAGTTAAAAAGTCCACTGTTCACAATTTGATTTGTGAAATATATGGTGATAACGAACATTATTCAAGCTCAAAGTCCATTAAACAATACACATTTTGGAGAAGAGCAAACACGGACCTCTGAAATATCAGAGTCAGGATCAGGTGCCAAGGAGGAGTGGGAATCCTCTGCCGACCGGTCACAACCGCCGTGTGCTCCTTGTCATGATCGAGAAGTAACGGAAAAATTCGTCGACAAATCAGTGTGTAAATAATGGCCTAACAATTGGTGTGAAAAAACGTCAGTAAGTTTAAAGGACTGATGTGATCACGATAATAGTTATTATGCATTAACTATGACGAAAGATAGTACTTCTTCGAACTACTACTAGTAGTATATCATTATACAATATAAATGTATTGTAAGTATTGAAATTGTATATGAAATCTATATAAAGTCATTCATTATTTTTTTGATTTTTTTGATAACAAATTGATTGAATAAATAAAATAAACAGGTAAGCTCATCGACATAACACGAATTTAATAAAGAAGTAAAAGAAGGCTTTACAATAACTCGCAAGACAAAAATATATTTTGAATACAGTTGAGAATTTTATGTATATATATATATATATATATATATATATATATATATATATATATATATATATATATATATATATATATATATATATATATATATATATATAAAATTTCATAGTGCTTGAATGCCATATTGTTATGTTCCAAAAATATCATTTTCTCGATTTATCTTTCATAAGCCATAGAATAAAAAATTCAACATTCAAAAATCTTTTTGAATCAGTTTGAGGGTACATAAATGTCATATAGTCAGGATTTTAAAATCATTTTCCCTTTTTCACATTGATGACCCACATTTGCAATATTTTGTATGATATTTTTAGGGAAAAATTTAACTGTAATACGCAGATAATATGATTTCTTTAAGCATACTTTTTGGGTGTAACATCTTCATTTTTTTTAATTAAGAATGAAAACGACTGGAAACTACAATTTGATTTTCTAAATTAGATATATTTAACTCAAAACAAAAAACTTGTCTCTTAATTATGTCATTTTAACAATCTACAATTAGAAAGTGCGTTAGAAGTGGCGATGCACTTTTCCAAACTTGATTTCCATGCATTGTCAGCCTTTACGATTAATCACTGGCTTAGTTAAGAAGAAAGAAAGAAAACTCAAACAAACATTATAATTAGAAATAGAATTACCTTTAGATTGGCCAAGAATAAGAAGAATACATACAAACGCTCTCGCAAATCCCATATTATTCTGTTATTTGAAAATAAAGAAAAATATATATATATACGATACACTATTTTAGGTTAATTCAGAACATTTGAATTACAGAGTGGAACCTCTCTATATTTATCAGAAAATAGTGTTGTTAATTGGAAAAACCCTACATTGCTTTAATAAGAAATTAAGGCACCATATATTATCACAATAAAGAAACATTCAACGCACGCACTGTATTCTTGTCATGTATGATGCGAGGTTAACATGTTCTTATTGTCAGCATGAAATTAAACGCTTAATTGGTTATGCATAATTCTAAATACCACAGTAAATTGATGAGACTTTAACACTCCTGGCTCCATTGACGCAATCACTGTGTATAAAACACATTTGATTATGCTGAGTTTAATTCGAATGCGCATGACTTTTCGCAGCTTTTCAATTTCATGCAGTCGTAGGGTTCAAAATTAAACCTTTCCTTAGTATTGTGATTTTAATACAAAATTTACATTATCTGTAATGTCTTTGTGTCTAAAAATATGCTTTTAAGACAATAATTAGGAAATAACGCTGAAACGACTCTGATGACATTCGAAACTTTCTTCCTACTAGACACATTATTTTGTATTCAAAGTAATTTGTACCTTGCAAATAATCAACTTATCTAACTTTAACATCGCATTTCCTTATCCAGTCTGTATATAAATTGGTGTGTTAATTCAAAAATGATTGTATAAATGTCTTAACACTGTCTGTAATATTAACTAGTGTTTAAGATATTGAAAGAGGGTGTAAGTTTCAATTGTTAATCTGCTAAGATTGATAATCTGTATGAATTCAAATTAATTGATTGAACAAATTACTTGCTGAGTATTTTTTCCAAAAGAAATCTGACAAAAATATAATTCGTCCAAACAAAAAAAAACTCGTCTAAACAAAGACCTCATTCATCCGAATGAATTTTTAATTCGTCCAAACGAAGAACTATTTCGTCCGAACGAATATCTAATTTGTCCGCACAAATATCTTATTTGTCCGAACAATCATCTAATTCATCCAAAAGAATAAATAATGTAATTTGTCCGAACAAAAATGTAATTAGTCCGAACAAAAAATGTATTTTGTTGGAACGAACACCTAATTTGTCACGAAAAGAGTTATTTGTCGAGATTATTTTAAACGATTCTTTTTTGTTTAACGATAAAAAAAATGTCCGAACTAATGATTAATTCCTCCAAACAGATAACTAATTAGTCTGCATGCATACTTAATTTATTCGCACGAATACCTAATTCCCCGCATAAATATCTTAGTTCAAGCGAGGGACTATTTTGTAAGAATATTAAGATAATTTGTACGAACGTATACATATCTAATACTTTTGAGCGATTTCTATACTAAGTATTTATTCAGCGGCTCCGTATTTCTTAGTCCTTAGTTTGGATGAAATATACTAAGCCTTTAATCCTCTAAATTTTGGAACCCTGATTTTCATTAATTGTCAGCCAATGATAATAATCGTTCAGCATGTATTTCATTATTTTCTTTTGGATTTTACAGACTCTAGAAAATAGCATAAATGTGTGTTGAGTATCAGGTACTTCAGCATACCCTTTTTTTTTGTTCTTGAATACATTCCTATTAATGAAACTTCGTTGAATGAATGAAGTTCGAAACGGTCCCACGGCTACAACCGTATGCCATAAGTTTTACCTATTCATCTATTATTATGTCATATAAAAATATGTTTTAATTTTTTTTGCACTTTTTTACATTTTAAAGAACCCCTGTCATAGGGTGTTTCTGATGTGAAGTTGTATATAATGAGCCACAAACTCTAGAATCAAGGTTGTCAAATTTTGTTTCTAATAAAGATGACAATGTCATAAATGCATTTCCATGTCAAAACAATTCCATATTCCTGGTTGTCCATACGCATATATTAGAAATCAATGTATAATAAAACAGCTTGTCAAGAAACTTTGACTTCAATGATCTTTGCCTTTGGCACAAAATAATCCGTTACATAAAAAATTTGTTCGAATTTAAAAAATATATGCAAGTTTATAAACTTTTTTATCATATTTGTATGTCGTTTAACATCCCTCTCGAGAATTTTTCACTCATATGTAAATTTTTTTTACTATAGGTCACATCAAAGAAAAATCAAAATAACAATAGTATTTTAAAAGTTCACCACCTCAAGGATGCGGAGCTAAGATGGTGAAAGTGCATGCACATAATTATTGCACCTCACAGATCTGGGAGCTACTGCATTGTAGGAACATGTATTTGGTAATACCAAACAGAAAAAAGTCATTAATTATCAGATCAATAATAATGATATAGTTCGATTCTCACTTAAGCTGTGTCTCCCATTTTCACATAAGATATGGCCGTCTTCGAATTCGGATTACGTGAATATCGAGAATCTTGCACATTCTTTAATTGATTATATTTTTACATCTTTGCACAAAGTCTGATTGAAAACTGTTGATGTTCGTTAAAAATAAATCGTAAAAAACAAAAGACACGGCGAATGAAGATGTTCTTCTTTTCATTCCCAATCTCCAAGATTTTTAAAAGAAGTTCATAATTAAAGGTTAGTGTCCATTGAAGAAATCAGAACACATTAAAACATCCATAAGTGCAGTGTTCAACTTTTATATATCAATTATTATTATTATTATGCATATATTCATTATGTCTAGGAAAGTGAATATGCTTTTTGTTGAAAAGGTCCGTAAGGAACTGAGTTTGCAAATTTAATTTGTCTTTACTAACTTAGTTACTAATATGTTTTGTTTCTTATAGTGTTAGAAAGATAAGATGGAAGACCAAAGTGAGTTAATACGTCATCAGCAGCTTCCAACGAACTCTCTCCCCAGCCATTATGTTCCGCTCCCCAGTAACCATGAACAATGAATATATTGTCTTGAGGAAATGGCCTTGTCAGGTAGTTTTTGATGTCGTACCATCTTGATCCGGGTTTCCAAGACACCCATCCTCCATGAAATGGATACTTGTCCCATACAAACATCATACCGTCCACAGGAGTAGGGAGATATCTGGAGTCTATCTTGTAAACTTTGGAAATCTGGCTATGTGCGTGTCGTATAACTTCGTCGGTTACCCGAGTATCATCATTCCTTTTGCTAATGACATTACCTCTACGTTGAAGAGGACTCCAGAATGCTACATCGTCAAAGTCAGCATACGACATGAGAAAAACCGCCTTACTAGTGCGAGATATCCCCCAATGGAGTGACTGTCTGTAAGGAAGATCTGAATGGGTAAATGTGAAATTGAAGCGCTCTTGAAGCCACCAAGGATAGTCATAAACAAGAAAAATCTTTGATGCTTGAACATCAATCACCGAATTAAGTGCCGACTGAAAAACAGGATTGTTGGAGTTTGGCATCTGAATCCGCTGAATCGGTACCTTTGGTAGGGCTAGAATTACATTACGTGTGATCACGTTGAAGTATTTGTTTGTAGGAATAGTTCTGCCATTGATAGTTCTTGTTCTTCTGAATTTCAGTAGGTAAAGTCCTCTTTTCGTTCTTGATATTCTTATAAGTTGGCTGTTTGGATGATACCGGTGCCTACAACAGGAAAAAAAAATCTTTGTTCAAAAACTGATAAAATGAGATTCGGAGAAAACAAAGACAATTTAGGTTTTATATTTATTTGATTCCTGTTACTTCCGTGGTACATAATTTGATACTTTTCTCTCTTAGAACCGTTCACGGTAGCTCAGTCTGTTGAGCGCTCGCTCCGTGATCGAGAGGTCGTGAGTTCGAATCTCGGCCGCGACTGACCAAAGTCGATAAAAAATGGGTAGCAACTGTTCCTTCGCCATGCGCCCGGCACTTTGAAGTGAAAGTTGCGGGTCCTTCGGATGAGACCTTAAAAACCGAGGCCCCGTGTCACGGCAGGCGTTGACACGATAAAGATTCCTCATTGCTCAATGTAATACCTTTTTTTATATTTTCAACAGTGAAATACTGTAATTTATTCACTGAATAAAAGTGATATTCTCTCACAGTGTGAAAGGATACCAAAGTGATATTCTCTCACAGTGTGAAAGGATATCAAAGTAAGTAAAATATAATTTCTGGCCTGTAACAAGATTGATATAGAAACTAAACTACTGTAAACCAACTTTTATTCGCGAGCGAGAAATATTCACGAGTTTCGCGATCTTCTTTTTCTCGCGAATATTTATCGTAGCGAACCAATTATTCACCTTTGTATTTATGTAGAATGCTACCTCAGTCGCGAAAATTAGTAGTCGCAGATGGATTCTTAACTGAAGAATCGCGAATAAAAGATGTCGCGAATATTAGTTGGTTTGCAGTATCTTGACAGAGATAAAATCTGCCAATTTCTTCCAAAATATGTTGCTAAAATCCATGTTACAGTGTTTTCAATCTCACAACTGCCAAGCTATAACATCTCAACTACTACAACTATTACGCCACAGCCTATGACACTGTGTTAAGAAAAGACAGGAGCAAAGGGAAAAATCAAAGAAAATGTAATAAACAGAAAATTCAATGTTTTGTAGTTGGATATGGAATTTATTTCACTCTTGAGACAGGATTTTTGATATTTTCACTCGTGCTTCGCACTCGTGAAAATATCAAAAATCCTGTCACACTCGTGAAATAAATTCCATATCCAACTACAAAACATTGAATATCCTCTATATCTCTTTTATATGACCTTTGCAATGGCATGTGTACATTGATAAGCTTTTGTTATTCCTTTATTTTCAATATGCAAGTTAAGTACGACTGATCAGAACCAAATTCATACTTCAGTTTGTTCAAAACAATAACTTTGAAGATACCTTCTCGGGTTCCTTGATAGGAATCGCCTCATAAATCCTGTGGGATATGAACCCATTCCTGTGGGAACAGATACAACCCGTGGAAGTCCAGTGGGAATGGTGTTCTCTTCGAAACCCCGTCGTGTTTTAGGGAAAGTCTCAATGCATTGTTCATCACCGAAACCGGATTGGAACAAATTGTTGTCAAATATATAATTGTATGCCTCATTGCTTATTCCAGTTTTTCTTATAACTTCTTTATAGCTGTAAATAATTTTCATTATTACTATTAAATTATACTTCTAAACTGCCATAATTTGAACCAAAAAAAAAATAACGTAAAATTTGAAACGTTTATCTGATGCTTATTCTTATATTTCTTCGATAATCAGAAACACATTTTCCATAGGAGAAAGGTCTAACAGTATGATCTGTCGACGGAGAATGCTTATTCATCCATGGCACCTAATACCATCTTGGGTGTTTTCTAGCGTTTGGGTTTGTCCTGCCATCAATTTTTATAATACTGTAATTTCCTTATTTTTCTATTTTTTGTACTTACTATTGCGAAATGACTCGTTGACTTCGTATCCCGAGAACACGAATTTGCAATTGAACTTTTGATCGAGTTTTAACATGTATTTCAGCATCAGAACATTAAAAGCGAGTAATATTATTTCACAAACGGTGCTCCTCGCCAAAATGACGCGATAATAAATTCCTCGTTTATATTAATGAAATTACAGTATATTATATTGGATTTTGAGTGTGAAAACTTCTTTATCTTTACATTTGTTTAAGAATTAATGGAATAAATAATAAATAAAGAAATTATATTGATTTTGTAACATGTAGTTATTGATATTTAAAGACTAATCAAACGTATTGTTTTATTCCCCCCTTATGAGGATTTCAGGATAGAAAATTTAGAATGTATCTAGCTATCTTATATTATTTCTTTGGAAAATCCTGAAAATATTAAATAACCACTAAATTATTCTCAACACAGTGTTATTGTGAAACGACTGAATTAGAATCATGTTATTTAATATTATGATAAGAGTTACAGTACATTTGTACTAATTACCTGCATATATTTGCAAATAGGCATTGAAAAACAACGAAAAAGGATAATACATTTTATCTAGTTTTCCCTCAATTATTTTGCATCACTTGTAAGCAATATTGCATATTGACAATTGCATTGCTCATAAGCTTATCATTTTGTTATTACTGACCCAGGTTGATCAAGAACTTCAGAGTTCTCATGACCCGGCTTTACTTGTACATGTTCATGACATGTACTTGAGATTCTTTTCTTGTTTGTTCCAATTTAATTAGATCTTTGATCCGCTCCAACTAGATCTCTACACAAAGCAATCCAGTTGGATCGAATCAAAGAGACTGTATTTGTTAGCTTTCACATTTACAATTAATTCATAAAAATTATAATGTTTGACGAATTATATTTACAATGCCATGATTTCTCTCCACTTACGAAATCTTTATTATATTAAATATTTTGTACGGGCTCCTCTGTCAGTTCAAAAACTGAGAAAACGTGTCATACTAGGCATGATTCTCGGGTTTTCACCTGAAATTTCTCTGTTTATCAAATCAGAATCATTCAATCGTTGTTTATAACAACTGATTATCAAATATTTGAAATTCAAAAATGAATAAGGTAAAGATAACGGACAGTGATTGATCTCAAAAAATCTACAAATAATACAAATCAGTTAACAGGGCATAAAACACGGACCCCCGGAATTTCCGGAACTAGGTAGGATCATGTGCCTAAGAAGAGGAGAAAGCATCCCCTCTCGACCAGTCACAACCGCCCTTAGCCCTATGTATTGATTTGGTAGACGGCGTACTCCGTAGTATAAAAACAGACATAACAATTGGTACAAAACACGTCAGCCAAAATAAAAAAAAAAGATCGGTTTGGATTACTCAGGTAAAATTGCTCGAATAATCCACTGAATATCACCTGACATCAGGCCCAAAGATCAAGAAACATTTTAGACTTAAGTCGAAACTGTATACTGTTATGAAATAATTTAAAACCCAAAACAGTCCAAAACAAAAATGTTCTGTAAGATTGTATTGCTAATTTGCCGTCTTTTTGAAATTCAGTATGTAAACATTTATAAGTATCACACAGGTATCTAAATTCTAACAGACGTCTAAATTTGTGATATGATCTCTTGGCTAGATGGACATTCTGCTTTTTAGATCTGAGTCATCATCGCTTAGTTTTGTAATTGCCTTTCAGATAATGAAAATGACAAATTAAAAATAACATTCATATTTGAAAATAAAAAGATCTTCAATTATTTAAAAAAAAACTATTACGTTAGAATGATTAAGGAAAGCAATATTAATTACAATTAGAAAGTCAAATACTTGTCCAATGCACTTTACACAGAAAGAGATAAGGGGAAAAAACCTGTAATTAATATAAATGTGGATTTCCCATGGATTACAAAAATGAGTTAGTAAATCATGAACAGAAAAAGCACATTCGTTAATATTTTTTTCTCATTGCAGGTATGTATTTCAAATAGAAATCCAAGACATCACTGTCACACACAAAAATAATAATAATAATGCCGGCATATTAAATACAAAATTACAAACCTTTGTAAATATAAAGGAATCCCATCTCTAAGAGTGACGGCAGTAAAAAGCTCTGTATTTGGATCAGAGCCGTTATAGTTTGTAAACAATTCAGATAAGGACCTACAAGGTTAGAGGAAAAAAGGATACATTAATCCATTTTTAAGCTTAACTGATTTGTAAAAATGTATATTTAATTCAAAGACATTTTAAAGAAAATTTAACGATAGCTACTCACATCTGTATTTATTTTTTATTATTTTAATGATAGAGTAATGACACTGATAATTAATTCTGAGAGAATCCCCTTAAATTTCCATTTTTGAGCCATATTAATTTTAACTGCACTAGAGGATTTGCAATAGAAAAATCAGTGACCTAAATGTTTTTACATAAATTATTACAAAATTGAATGCCTGTCATATGTTTAAGGACATCTCCATATAATCTTGTTTGAACGAAATAATGGAGTGAAACGTGTATCAGGATTGCTTTAAGGAAGCTCTAAACACTAGGCCTAATGAAAAATGCTTTTTGGAATTTGAGAAAAATATATCATATAAAGGTGCACATATTCAGTGTATCTAGCTCATTTTCAACATAGTGCCTTATTTCTGCAGAAAAAAATGTTCATAGACAATGGACTATTCATGAAAGAAATCACTGTTGTTTACTTGCATAGGGAAAGTTAATGGAAATAATGTATTCAATCACTTAATCTTGGTCTAACATAACATTAAGAATACTTTAATTCATAAGAAATTGTGTCATTAACTGTAGATTCCCATTTATTCTATTTTTCTTCTATGGGTGGATCACTCTAACTCAATAAAACAACCCTACAAATAGAACTCTTTAGTGTGCAGTATTTAGAGCTTCCTTAACATTTGAAAATATCGTTCAAAAATAACTTTATCTTAAAATTGAAAGCATGAAAATCAACATAGCACTCACCTTTCTAGGTCCGAAGGATTTCTTCTCTCCTCTGGTCTAAGTCTGTAAGGTGTCCTTGGGGTCCCTAAATCAGGAATCGACAGGTGGGTGTTTCGAAGGTAAAGGCGTGTACGTTCGGGAATCCGTCCCATTTCCTCAACAAAACGTACAAATGTTAATCCTAATTCTCTACCGGCTTTAATCATCCTCGGGTGGTTTGCAGGCCTTAGCCGCATGGCACCAAAATCAACAGGAAGATCAGGGGCATCTGGTAAAGTTCTCGTGTACATCCTGCCACCAACACGATTAGAGTATTCATAAATACCTATCCGGAGGCCCTTATTTCTAAGCCTCCATCCTGTGTAGGTACCGCCAATACCGGCTCCGATAATGCTTATATCCTCAATGTATCCTCCTTTGAAAAGGACAAAATGAACATTTTATCAACAAACAAAAAAATTGTAAGAGAGGTTGGACCACTTTCTTTTATGACGTGCTATTGAATAGTGACATAGTGATCTAAGCTCTGAAAATTGCATCGGACACCAGAAAAACATTGGCCCCTCGTAAAACTGAAGAAAAGGCCATGTACAAATTGTGCATATTATGCTAGATAATAGTATGAAAAATATATATAGTGTTGGAAATGTTATTGGTTGAACATTCCCTCCCTTTCCTTCCAGTAGCAGGATGATTGAGTTGCCAAGAAATGTGGTCGGAGTAGGTTTGGAACCCACACCAATCCTTCCTTAGGAAAAAATCCCGAAACCCACCAAACATATTTTAACATTGTTTTAAAGATGAAATTGTACATGAGGTCAAATAATTTTTTTCAGGATAGACCGATTCAGATAGATATTTTCAACATTACTTAGAGGACATACTATGAAAATAATATTTATGGCTTTTGCCACAAAGTCCATTCCTGTTAATAATAAGATGAGCATTGATAATTAACAATTCAAATAACGATGACTGAGGATTTAATGCAGTAATTATCTCTGAAATTTGTAACTTGCAATTTGCATATATCCTTTTTAATGGTGCGCACTGACTATGTCAAACCTCATAGTAGGACAGGTGCGAAAATTTTGCGACTAAATTCTTTTCATGACGTGTTTTTTCCAAACTCTGGCTGACTGAAATCTCACATTTTTTTCCAGATATAACTTATAAGTACGAATAAAATATTATCAATTTTAAGTCTTGAATTTTTATTTTATATAAATTGTTACAAAAATTGAATGACTTTAATATGTAAAAGTTATTACTACAATTAAGATTCCGAAAACTGCTGAAAAATAACAATGATCGATGTCAAAACTGAGTTTCAAGATTTTTGAGACATTTCCCTGCTGTTTAACGGACCCTATCTGTAACTCCTTCACAAATGTAAAAACATCGGAAAATGTCAGGCAAAGTTTCAATCAATGCCTTTAGTTTATGTTTAAAGGTGATTTAACATTGATATGATCCAGAATATTTGGAAAATTTATCATTATTAGCATGATAGCTTGTCTTGGAATGCTTACAACAGACGTTTCTAAAAAGGAAAATCCATGACAAATTTATGCAGGTGCATTTCAATTAAACTTATAGTCATTAACTATGATAAAAGAGGTTGTTCTATTATACTGGTGCTAGACTTAAAGAGAAGACAGAATATGTTTGCCTTCATGCAAAAAAAAATCAATTTATTTAGTAGTAAGTATTTAGATTATACATGTAATCTTTTATTTTTGACAATCGATGATCCATGGGACAATTCAGCACAATCTTGTTCCTGCACATTGAAACAAAAGTACATGCAAAATCAATATGAATACGCCCGTACAAAATTCGATTAAAAAACTAAAATTCATTCAAGTAAGTTCATTAGCATGACTACATTAAAAAAAAATATATTTGTCAAAGATGTTTTTCTCCAGAATAATGTTTAACTTTTTAGAATATAAAGTTTGATTTATCTTTGACGTGTGTTGATCGAAGTAATTCGAAAGTACAGGAATTCCATATTGTAATATGTTCCATTAACAATTTTCTCTATTTCTTATTGATGAGCTAGCATGTTTAAAATTCCAATTCTGTAAAAACTTTTTTAGAATCAATTTAAGAGTACACGAATGCTAAAATAATTATGATTTGAATTATTCTCCCTATTTCACATTTATAAACCAAATGTATAATAACCTTTTTGATTAATTGAATGGAGAATTTCTGAGGAACTTTTCATGGGAGTACGCAGATTAAAAGATTTCTTTATTTATCCTAGTTTAGCTGAAAATTGCATCGTATTTTTTAATAAACAATGCCAAATAGAGATGACATTACAGATAGATTTTTTTTCTACTTTCAATCTTTCATTTCAGAACTCTCGATATGTCTCAAAAGTATGTCACCATAACAATCCGTATGTTGCTAGAGGGTTTAAAAATGACACACTTTTCAAATTTTATTTCCATGCATTTTAGTTATCGCTTGAGTAATGATAATGAAAAAAAGTAAAAGTAACGAACTGTGATCGATCTCAAAAAATCTAGAAACAATACAATTCTGTGAAAAGGGATTATCCTTAAGAATTATCATTAGAAGAAAATTTACCTTTAGATTCTCCGAGAAGAAGAAATATACATACACACGCTGCAACAAATCCCATATTCCTCTATAATTACAACAAACAATAGCCAAATCTTTTATGATTTTAAATATATACAAAGCACTATTTCAAGTCTTTTTAAGATTACAGAAGGAAACTCGTTAATATTTATGATAATTGGAAAAACCGTTCAAATTAAGACAAGAAAGATGACCGGACATGTGTGTTGCAAGGTTAATTAATATGCTGTTATTGTGCATTTGAAATAGGACAGGATTTTATATCTTGGGCAGGAATTCAAATACCACCATTAAACTGATGTCACAATGACTCATTAACATGCCTGATTTTGTAAATTAATTACCTTTGCATCAACATGTCTGCAATTTAATGTGCATGCAAATAATTTAATAAAGCTATTTACCTTTCCCTCACTGTTATTTTACAAGGAAAACCCAAGATTATTTTGATAAAATTCATACAACAGAAATTTCATTTCTGTGCGTAAACACGAGCATAATAATTTTTCCCACAAACTGGTATCTGCAGATACGAAGACCAGTAAACATATTTTCAAAAATATTTTTTTAATTATCTTAAGTTTTTAACAGGCTTTTCAATTAGTACAGAGACCAGAACCATAGTATTTTAATGAATTATAAATTAAGTAACTGTTATGGATTTGAAATTACGTTGTGGGTGTGGTAAGGTTTAAAAAAAATTGTTTAAAAATATATTAAAGGGTAATAAAAGGACAAAGAACGAATTTATGGTGCCCAGGTTTTCCATTTTAGTCGTAGACTGTACATAGAGAAAAAAAGTTCCCTCCTAACAAGTATATTTACTATTTTTGATCTACTTTAAACGTCCTTTTCTCCCTGTGGATTAATTTACGATATGTTCATGAACACGATTTTTCGCGGAAATTTGTCACAAAGTACATTGAAAACCTCCAAATCCAAGGGCATTCCAAAAAAAAACCCCGCTGATTAAACAGAAATGGTGATTGCGCGGAATTATAACCCCGTGGAAAAAAGTCCGTTTAAAGTAATTAAAAGTACCTACCCTTTTTCGACGCTTCAGGAATTGGAGAATGATTCATTCGCTTAAATGAATTATCATTCAATTAAAAATAAACAATCCAACTGAGTTTTCTAAAACAAATCAATCGTAATTTGACTGATTTGAAATATAAATACGTATCCATGTATCTATGAAAGATTATTCTTACAAGTTTGTTGGCAATCAAAGATCCAAATACACGTGTAGTGATGGAAGTTAAAATTGGGAGAAAGTCGTTTGAGTTCTTTAACACTTGGTTTGATCAAGACTCGACAATTTGTAAGGTGTGACAAACAAGAAGTGCGTTTCAGCCCTCATTCTACTAGTACGTCTTTTTGTTGTTGACAGATATGAGTGAATCCCTGAAAACTAATAAGTCATAAATTTTAAGTAAAAGTATCGATCTTGTTGAAAGAAAAGGATTGTTAGGTATCATCATAAAGAAAATATCATAAAATCATTTTTAAAAATGCGTTTAAATAAATGTTCAGATATTGTAGGAAACATGTATGGATATACAATGTACCTGTACCGGTAAATGAAAAGATGTATTATTTTTCTCATGAAATTGCAGGAGTCTACATTTATTTATTTTAAGAAGTGATGACAACAGTTATATATCTTTTAATCTTGTCTGGTGATGTTGTCACTACTGTAAATCACTTTTTATTCACGAGAACTTTATTTTCCGTCTGCTCGCAAAAATTGCGTTTTCGCTTAATTTTTGTTAGCATTGATTATATACAGCAATACCCATATTTCGTGAAAATTTTGTCATGCTTATAAATAGCAAATACATACCTCGCGAAGATAATGTGTCGCGAAATGTGGTGATCTATAGTGCAACATATAATAATCATCAATTATATTTTTTCCTTTTTCTTATTTGACAATGGAATTTGTATAATGCATGCCCGTAGAAAGCAATTTCAGTTGGGGGGGGGGGGGGGCACAACCATACATTTTTAGCTGAGGGGGCTCTATCAACTACCAAAAATTTCTTGACAAGCAAAAATAAAAAAAAAGGGTCATCAGACGTTTTTATTGGGGGCATATAAGCGTATAGTTCTGTTTTCTATAGTACTCTATATATCGGCAAAATTACTGGGGGCATGGCCCCCCGTGCCCCCCCCCCCTCCCCCCGGTACCTACGGCCATGTAATGTAAGGAAAACACCTTAGATATTCCGAACTACACTGTCATCATCTAAGCGTTCACCTTTCATTTTGTGCCATAATTTTTACTCCGTTCGCTTTCTGCGTTCGGTTATCGTTCAATAGCCATTTAACAAGTAGCGTTCAGTGTTCGTTCACCGTTCATCAACCGTTCGCTCACCGTTCAAGTGGGAAAGTAGACTGATTCAACCATCAGAGAGTCCCTTAAAAAAAGTTTTATAGTCTCTGTAGTCACCTATGTATTATGACAATAATCTTTATATTTTTCCTAGACCTCATCTTGAAATTACATCCTCTGCGACGAGTTGTTCAAGCATATAATTTACACAATGAAATTTTCCCTATATAGTTATCTTTTAAAGACGAATTTATGACATAAATGTAAGTGAAAAACTAAGCCAATCTATACCACTTCCCTACTGTTCCTGGTGGAAAAATAAGATGTGTACATATAGCAGAGAACACATTCAATGATTTCAGGATCTGGGAGAAGCTTTTTTGATATTACGTAACTAGATTCCTTACTTTACTTACTTACTTAGGCCTGTCGTTCCGTGAGGAACATAGGCCATCGACGTCAGTCCTCCAACGAACTCGATTCTGGGCTGCTTTTACTGCATCTTGCCAGGTCATATCCTGTGTCTTTAGCTCTGACTCCGAGTCACGCCTCCAGGTGTTTCTTGGACGTCCTCTTTTTCTTTTGCCCTGTGGGTTCCAAGTCGGGGCCTGGCGTGTGATGCTGGATGGTCGCTTACTTAGCGTGTGTCCAATCTAGCCCCACTTCCTCTGTCTGATTTGTACGTCCATTGGTTCCTGTCCTGCTCTTTTCCATAGTTCTTCATTTATGCTTTAACTAGACTCCACTGCACAATAAAACTACCGAATATTGGACATTGGACAGACGAATATACGCAGTTGTAGAGTGAAAGTTCATATGGAGCAGATAAGAGTTTTTCCCATTACCGCTACATATTTCATCATTTCTACACAGTTTCTAGCGGGTATATGATTGGTTCCCATGATTCGATAAGCATTTGGTTGGATTCTTTCATTTTCGAAGTAATAATAAACACGAATTTTAAAGAACTTCAGTTTCACAAAGAGTGGAAAGAAATTCCTTAATATGTGCTCTCTAGTTACCGATCATATGAATAACTCGTAACTAAAATAAATCCGAATGAGAAAGATATTCTCATGGGTGTTAATCTTGCCCCGTTATAAGCAAACATGATCATATGAAGCAGAATTTATTTAAAAACATTTACATGAAAAGTATGTCTCTTGCTGAGGCCTTCTAATCGACATTTAGATAATCAATTAACAATATTCATTTTCATTCCTACGTTGATTCGATATATCCCATTGAACTCAAAATACAAGACACCACAGTGTTTAACACATCTGTTTCATATTTTGTATATGAAACTTTTCTATCGTCAATCTCCCTTCTAATGTGGCAATATAACATTATAAATTACATATGGAGTTTATGTCTCCCAGTTGATTCGATACACAAGAGCTTGTTTTACGTACGAACAATTTCTCAAACGAGGTGGGCTATTGAAAATGAAGGTTTTGATACAAGAATATCACCAATCTCGGTAAGAGTTAATATTTCGCAAATTCTATGGTCGATACATTGACCTTCGTTGCAAATACAATCTGTCATTAAGTTGAATGTTGAATGGGGCTCGCGGCGGGTGTGGTCGGTCGGCGGGGGATGCTTAGACCTCCTGTGCAATTGATCTCACAACTAGAATTTTCTGGGTCCTTGTTTTCCGCCCTGTTCACAGATTTGTATTATTTGTAAGGTTTGTTTTTTAGATCTGTCACTTTTCGTTAACTTCACTATTTTCATTTGTATAAGTATATACTCGTATCATACAATAAAAAATGTTCAAAACAAATCTTTTTTTTAATTACTTTATTCATGTTCGGAGAAAGATTTCAATATACTTGAATACGACATAACCTTTTCCAACAATAAATACTTTTTTGTGGGATGGAAGACTTGGATAACCTGCATATATTAATAAACCCTTAAATATATATATTTCACAATAGCAAAGTTGATTCTAATATATATATATATATATATATATATATATATCTATATCTATATCTATATATATATATATATATATATATATATTTCCAGAATGATCTAATTCCCTAGTTAACAGCAAAATCAGGATTTTACTCCCAACTTTCTCAACCTAACTGTATCCCAAATTATTATGAATTCACTTCTTAATATACAACTAATTTGAGTCATGCATGATAGTTTTTAAAATAAATTTCTGGGGAAAACAGACATTATAATTTTATAAGATGTATGGGCATTGCTTATATAATGTTATGTGCATAAATTAATCACAGTTGAGTGGAAGGTAACAAATTAATTTTGTGTAAACGTTCGATAAACAAATGACATGAAAACAAATTAAAATGAATTATTCTCCCTTTCACTGGTTTTAGCATGGAATTTCCATGTTGTTTGTAATTTTCACAAAATCAATTTTTAGGATATTGAAAATCCTACACTAACCACTGAGAAAAAAAATAATATTCATGCATTCTGCAGGTGTAATATTCCTCATCTTACAGCCTACATAAGTTAATAAATTATATATTGCTTCCTTCTAAGACAATAAAAACGTTGACATTTTTTCAACATATAAAAAAAATGATGAATTAAACTTTCTGAAATATTTGTATCACGAAGCAAAAACGGCTATTTTTGACATTCATAACTATCTAGACTTTATCACATTTATTTTTGATTTATAAAATTCAAATACAAGAAATAGTCTGATTAAATTATTTTTGATCAATTTCAAATATACTTTTAAAATAAGATAATTTAATTATTTCGTAAAATTAAATAATTTTATTATTTAATATATTCAATTACTTTGTTAAGGTTTGTATTTTAAGACAATTTTTAAGAAAGTTTAAAGGAACAGTGATAATGTCATATTTTGCAGAGAAGGTATTTCATATTTACTTAATTTGTTCCTGGTCAGTTGAATTATTTACAACCTGGTTGCAGGGTTCAAAGTTGTAACTGTAAATTAATTTTTATCTTAAGGGACTAAATCATGATTGATCCCTTGTGTTAGAAATGTTTTAAAAGTTTGTTGTTTTTTTTTTTAAATTGGTGTTATGTAGCCCCTTTCCACGGTATCAAACGTACCATTATTGTGTAACTTCAGTTGCCATATCGCACCTATATTTTTTGTAATTTTCTTGTCAAAAAAATTACTATGCGTTATATTCTAAAATTTGATTGGTCATTTTTATTGTCAAAGAAAAAAAAAATAGTTTCGGCCTGAGCAAAGTTGTATGTCCGTTGCGTCACTTCTGCTCCTGATAGCAATAGTCGTGTACTTATTTTAATTTCCAAATAAAAAGCAGTAAACGACATTTGTTTAAAACGCAGTACTTACCTTAAACATCTTTTGAACTTTCACCTGTTTGAAAATTATCTAAGTTCTGGTTGTCAACGTAGATACATAATTTTAAAGTTATTCTAAGGCTACAAATTAATATGCCTTTACTTTAAAACATTTCAAACAAACTTTATTTAATAATTTTCTGCGAGAAATAAAATCGAATAGAAAAAGAATAACAAGCTAGTTTTCAATGTGACTGAGTCAATGATACTTCCTAATTTATATTTTGATATTTTTTTTTCTAGAAAACCTCACAAATGCAAAAAAAAAAAAAAAAAAAAAAAAAAAAAAAAGATCAATGATTTCCATTGTGTTACAGTTATGGCAATTCCAAGTTTTTAAATGTGCAAAAATGGTCAACGACAAAACATCTACCCAAAGCAACCAATAGTTATACAAAAAAAAATATGCAAATTAATATATCATTTACCAAAAAAAAAATCACTTATAAACTAATATACTTATTACACTTTTATAATCTTTTCGCACTTATTACATTTTCAACAGTGAAATACTGTGATTTATTTATTGAATAAAAGTTATATTCTCTCACAGTGTTAAAGGATACCCAAGTGATATTCTGTCACAGTGTGAAAGGATATCAAAGTAAGCAAAAATAATTTTGGCCTATCAAAAGATATAGTAACTAAACGGTCTTCATAGAGATTAAAACTTTCAATTTCTTCCCAAATGTGATGCTAAATCCAAGTTACAATGGTTTCAGTCTCACAACTGCTAAGCTATGACTTCTCAACCGCTCAACTATGACGTCACAGTCTATAAACTGTGTTAAGAAAAGACAGAGGCAAAGGGAAAATCAAAGAAAATGTAATAAACAGAAAATTCAATGTTTTGTAATTGAAATGGAGTCTATTTCACTCCTGAAAATATCAAAAAATCCTGTCTCACTCGTGAAATAATTTTTATATCCAACTACAAAACATTGAATATCCTCTATATATCTATTCTGGATTCTGAAAATCCTTACAAACATTTCATGGTTAGATAAATGTTCTATCAAGACTCTTTAGTAATTCCCCATGAAAATATTAACAGTAGTGAAGGAAAAACTTTAGCACTACTGTGCATATTCGAGAAGAATTTTAATCAAATGTGGATAAAAAAAAAACACCAAAGAATTTTCAGCACAACATTTTCCAAAAATAAGCCAATTCAAAACACATTTACGACTCCTCAACTCCGCATGATAAATTGAAAGAGAAATTATTTGATATTCTTTTTTTTTAAATCCACTCTAAGATATAACACATAACTTGTGATAATTGGCGAAACTATCCAGGAAATATCTTGTTTAACATTCTAATTCTTCTCAAAAGTATTCCGAAGTTGATATTAAAAAAAGATCCTTGAATTGAAACTAACAGTTTTAATCAAATTATAAAATTTGAAATTTCAGTCTAAGCATTAAGAAAGAACTTCTAATGTAAACATGAAATCTAAATGGTAAATTAGCTTTTAAAAAAGGAACTAAAATAAAATAGTTTCAAAGCGGTTGTCTTTATACCTTGGATTTAATTAGAAAAATTAATCTCCACTCTGATCTAAATGAATAGGGGAATCCTAAAGTCCCTAATTCAAACCTGCAAGTGTGCGAATTAAAGAAGTACAACTAAGTATGTTCAGAATTTTTTTAAAATGTCATCAAAGGGAGCAAATGTAAGTTGTACTTCTCTACCAGCTACTTAATCCTTAGAAGATTTTTAGATAATGTCACCTACGGTCAGCATGAAGTTTAGGAGCATCCACAAAAGTTTCTAGTATTAAAAAATTTCAGTTTGGAGACCTTTGTTTTGGAGCCATTCATAATAGTCCGAAAGATAGAAACAATCCAAGGCAGAATCCTGACTGAAGGAAAGTATTGAAAGGTTAATATTTAAATGAACATGATTTGTTAAAATGACTTTGTTCATTGTTGTAATTAAGAAAGGAACAAGGATCTGGGTGTGTATACTGTCATAGCTGACATCTGACTTATTGGTTTCAGAAAAGAATCATGCAATTAAAGATATAATTGGGTTTGTGACAAAATATGGCCAAGTCATCTTCGCAGAATTTACAGTAGAGAAAAATTAATAACCATAACATATAAATAAATATAGAAGAGGATTTCAAATATATTGATGCAAATCAGAAAAAAAATATGAAGGAGGAAATGCACTAATGTTTACTTTTATGGAAATCTATACATGAAACTAATAACTGTAAACCAGCTTTTTTTTTGTCTTTGTCTCTGTGCTTTTTTTTTTTTAATTTTTTTTTTTTTTTGGGGGGGGGGGGGGCTTTGTTTATTTGTTTGTCCTTTTTCTTTCTAAATCTTTCATTGTTTTTTTTAATTTTTTTTTCTGGAGGGGATGCTTTTGTTTGTTTTTTCTTTGGTCACCGGTCACACAAATTGGCGTTTTACAAAAATCTTGCGAACTAATACAAAAGATAAAGGAAAATGCAATGAGAACATATTTTGTTATCCTGTGCACAGAGTACACAAAAATGAACAATATTATACCACGAAAATGGATTGTAAGTTTTGGACAACTTCTAAATACTCAACTGCAGAAAAACAAACAAATCTATCGAATTTTTGGATCTGTCCAGTGTCAGGGAACATTCATTTGGCTTTCATATCCAATTTGTATATTTAAAATTCACATACATTATGGTAAATGTCACAATAAGATGTTTTTGAAGTCATATATGGCGTATTTTTGATAAATTCAGACTAACTAAAATTAAAAAGATCTTTCTATTTGTTTTATTACTTTATATAAAGATAGGACTTTCCTATAAATTATACAATTTAAATCAATCATGTTTCACAGATATTAGAAATTTGAAACAGTAACCGATTTATTTACCGACTCCGCATATAAATATCAGACACAGTTTAAAGTAAGTTTAACTAAGGGAACAGAGTTTATTCAAGTTCAAAATCGGTGAAAACTTTAATTTGAACGTAAATAACAAATATGTTCATCTTCACTCAATCTCGTATTTTCATTTTTTAGCTCAGTTACGCCATATATAGCTTTAGTTCTTATCCTTCTTTTAATATGTATCAGATTGGAAATTAAGGAGTTTTAAATTAAATTTAAATTAATGTTTTAAATTAGAATTTAAAAAAAACACAATCAATCGGCATTTCCGTAGGCTATGTGAGAATACTTCATCAAAGTAACACTTTTTCTAGCATAGAGATGTACATGTAAATCATGAAAGAAATCGTTTTCTTTTTTTCATTAAAAATATTTTAAAATTACGATTGAAACTGTTTTTAATAATATTTTTACTGAATACTTTCATAATTCCAATAAAATGACTGTGACTGTGACTTTATATAAGGATTTAGATACGTAAATATCTCATTTTTGGATGGTGAAGATAATAGATAAATACCATGGAGAAAAATATTGACCTTGAAAGCAGAAGTTGTATAAGTATCCGTTTATTGACTTTTGAGAATTATAATACAATTAATTCGGAATAAAGCTGAAAAAAAGGTATTTTGTCGTTGTATTTTATTAAAAAAAAGAAATATTTCAGAAATAATCAAAACCTTGTTCTCCGTAGGTACTGTTTGTGGTAAATGGTGTAAACCATTTAATGTGTAGGGAACACGTTGTCGGGGTCCATTCAAAAGACACATGGCGAGAAGTAACATCTGGTCGGACAAAGATCAATTTCTGAGTGCGTGGATCTCTTTTTGTGATCAATGGCGCAAAGATGGATATTTCTTCAGGTCCGTTCAGGTAACTTTATGTAAAATATACCTTCATCTCTTGTTCGACACCAGTATGAATTGCTATTTTTTGATCTAATCATTTTTTTTCTAAATGGCAATTGAAAGTGATTTTTTTCCAATTTTTAACAAAAGTAAAAATTTTGCCGGAAACTTAGCAGTGCATTACAAACAAGATTCTTCAGCGATGTATAGTTGCAATAGGAGGGAATTTCAGTAATATTTGTAAGTAGAAAAGTTTTGACTTTTTTGGAGGGAAGGGTGACTAAATTCCATACCCCTTAACAAAACAGTTCAGAAAGTGCTTTATTGAGATCAATCCCCATAGCCTTGTGTACATTGTAAAGTTATTACAGTGACAAATGAACTTACTTAGATAAAAGCAGTGCTATCGAACATTTGATTAAAATAAAAATAAAATGAAAAATAATAAAACTGTATAAACTGTAATCAAGCTGAAATGAGGAAAATTTCTGTCTTTTCGGTCTGATGCGATCCCTCACTAAGTGCTTGAAGGTCGGAAAAGCCTTGATAGTACGTACGGTTTATAGATATTTATTCATTTTAAAGATAATATCACGGGTGAAAGAAAACAATAATTCAACATGACTTTCAACTTATTTCAGGTCAAGCTGATTCATGTGACCAATCAAGTTATTGCTGGAATCATCAACCGAGAAGAAAATGGCTAGGAGTATACGAACAAGACTTCTAGCTGTTATTTTCCTTGTGTCATCAGTCTGGTTATTCGTAACTTTATTTCTTTTTGATATTGAGAGTGAAATAAACAAAACAAGGACTAAAGATGAATATCCAAATATAGCTAAATTTGTAAGAATTGTTAAAAGAGCAGATGATTTCATGAAACTCCGTGATCGATATACAAAATCTTACTTTAATAAGACATCATGGATCAAATATCAGGAGAAAAAGAAACGAAGAGAAATGTTGAAAAAATGGAAAGTCGAACTTTCACTTCAAAAGTTGGACAAAAAATTTACTGACAATTCCTTTAAAAGCAGTGAAAGTAAACCATTCCAACTTAAAAACTCCAGGCTTGATACAACAGCCAACATTTCAAAAGCAAGCAGCACAACCCTTTCGCCGAAAGTGTTGCCTAACGATTCAAAACAAATTAAAGAGAGAGATGATACCCAAGAAAAAGTTTCACGTAAAGTTTCGGAAAGAGAGAGACTACGTCATTTAGAGAAGATTCTTCCACCTATTGCACCAGGTTAATATAAAACCTTTCTGTATAGAATTTATACTGATGAACTTCATTATCACGAGCATAGATCAATGAAATATATTTCAATAGTGACTTAAATTGGATATCTTTACCCTAATATTAAATTTACCTTTGATATCTGCAACATTTATATTGGATGTAACAACTGTTTGAGATACTGAGGTTTACCTGTAAATTTTAACATGTAGATTATTGTGATACCTGTAATATTTTCTATAAATATTGTTAAGGTGTTTGAGACTTTCAGGTGAATATGGTCATCCTGTAAAGCTGAAGAAAGAAGAACTCCGGCCAGACCAACAAAAGATTTATGACGAACTCTTCAAGAGAAATTCCTTTAACCAGTACGCTAGCGATATGATTTCATACCATAGGAGACTTCCAGACATAAGAAACCCAAGGTATTTGTGCTATGAAATAAACTGAGATGAATGTATACAAGTACATTCATTTTGAAATGCAGAACAACAGAACATAAAAAAGAGAAAAAGATGAAAATCAATTTCCCATGATAATGAGATCATTGCAAATAATTTAAACGTACCTTACAACAACTGTATAAATCTAAGTACCTTACCCATTGGTTTTCCAAGGACAATTCAAGATTTCTATTTCGTTTATTTTATGTTTAACTTGATGAAGAACACATGTACAATGCCAATCCCCGGGATCATGAAATGTCTTAAGCTTAAGTCAAAATCTGTAACTGTCCAAACTAAAGTTACGTACTTCAATATTGCCTCACCAAAGTGCTGTTACCTTCAAATCTAGAGCTTAAGTTGACAATATATAATATCTTATGTTAGATGATTGAAAAAATGACTGAATAAAGTCTGTTTCATGATCTGGGACCAGATCTTCATCGAAAAGCTACAACTGCTATATTTTTCTATGATACAGTTGTAAGCTAAAGACGTTTCCTAAGGATTTACCTGCTACCAGCATCATCATTTGTTTTCATAACGAGGCTTGGTCTGTATTATTACGCACAGTTCACAGCATTTTGAACCGTACACCATTACACCTTATTCATGAAATCATATTAGTGGACGATTTTTCTGATTTAGGTAAAATTATTTTTGTTTTAAAATACTTATGATGGATATTAGAATAATTCTTATTTTATCTTTAAGTTTCATTAACTTACAATAATTAACTTTTGTTGCCTCCTCCATAAAAAAAACAACAAAGTTTGACACATTATCATTCAAAATAAACATTCTTTTTTAATTTTTTCCAGATTTCCTTAAAGAGGAGCTAGATGATTATTTTTCAGAGAAAGGATCTGGGAAAGTTCGTGTATTAAGAACAAACAAGCGAGAAGGTTTGATCCGAGCACGACTTTTAGGTTATGAGGCAGCCACTGGTGAAATTCTAACATTTCTAGATTCTCATATCGAATGCTTTTCAGGTATGGAGGATTTTACCATCTTTTCAATCTAATTGTTGTACAATACATTACCGTATATATTCGCCTATAAGTCGGTTTTTTGGGAGTTAAACTTTGGTCCAAAACTCTTTATCCGACTTATACGTGAGTTATAACAAGATTGGTATTTTAGTAGGTCAATCCCTCTAATTTAAGCTTAATAAATACAACCGACTTATAGGCGAGTATATACGGTACATGTAGTATTTTCCAGTAAGTTCTTCTATCTATATCATCTATGAGTGCTCCTTCCGACACAATTATTTGTCAATAGTTTGTTCACTGGAACAGAAAATTTGTTAAATTGACATGTATGTAATTATCAAACCTACACAATTAATACTTTCATACTTTATTTTTCATTGGTAATTTCTAAATGTGTAATATTGGTTATTTACTGTCATAGGCTGGCTTGAGCCACTGCTGGAGAGAATTGCAGAGAATCACACGCGGGTTGTGGCGCCTATTATAGACATAATAAGTGATCAAACTTTCGCCTGTGGAGGGTCAGAAATAGCAGCAGTGGGGACATTTGACATTTCAATAATGGGGTATAAGTGGCTCACTATACCGAGGGAAGAAAAGGAAAAACACGGCCAGATAATGCCTTGGAGGTGAGGAAATGTGTGATTAAGCACTATTCTGTGTATATCAATATAAAAAAAACTCACGATTAAATAAATGATGGAGAAAATATTAAAACAGTATTTTCATTTGTTTTTCAAATGTAGTTACGTCTGAATCAATTCATTTATATTCCATTCTATGTAGAACATTACATATATACATGTGTATGATTACATATTCATGATGTTAATAGTATTGTTTGTAGTCTAAATCAAATACATGAGATTACATATTTTCAGGTTATATATCATGATTTGTAAAACACCATATAAAGGTTTATTTTCGACGTATCACACTTGCAAACGTTTTTGCTCCTTTTTAAATTCGCCAAGGCACAGTTGCCAGTTGGGCAAGGGATAATCCTGTCTTCTTTGAGGTCATCCCGTTTTAAATTAGCCTACAACCAAGTAAAATGTGGCAAAAATGTTAGTCCTCTAATATTCCTGCAATTTCTAATATTTTTCCTTCTGTGCCTTATTTTGATTTTGTTCTAAGGACTCCCACAATTGCTGGTGGGCTGTTCTCCATTAACCGAGACTATTTCACAAAGATGGGGACCTATGATCATGGAATGGATATCTGGGGAGGTGAAAACCTAGAAATATCATTCAGGGTAGGTTATGTTATTATACTATTAATTACCCCTTATGAGGTCAACATGGTGAAATATGGACCCGAGACCTGCCCACGAGGTGACCTGACCTGACCGAGGCCGCGTAGCGGCCGAGGTCAGGACAGGTCAGCGAGTGGGCCAGGTCGAGGGTCCTTATTTAACCATGCTGAACTCATAAGGGGTAATCAGTAATGGATATATGCCGAATACTGTTCTATATGTAAAATTATCAGACTGTTTGAGGCCCGTTAGGGCCGAAAACAGTCTGATAATTTTACATATAGAATTGTATGAGGCATATATCTTACTTAAAACATTGCTATTTAAATGTCCTAAAGTCACCTGGAGGAGTCCGATAATTACACAATAGGAGTTCAGGCATCAATAGTTTTCTACCCGAAACCATCTAATAAGTAGACAAAAGAAAAGAGAAAGTTTTTTTTTCTGTAGACAGTGAAACCAGTGAGTAAACTCTTGTTTCATTCATTCATTCATTCACTCAATGACAGTCGTTTGGTGTAGTAGGAACTATCGACAGTGTTTAGGTGATGAAGGAAATTTTTTCATGATTCGTAATAATTTTTTTCATTAAGTGCGTTTGACATTGATACAGATACAGTGTTGGATGACATCATCAAAATGCATATAAAGTAAAAATGCTGATTTTTATCTGAAAATTTTGATTGGATGATATAATGAAAATATTGGGTTTTAAAAGTGCGGTCATTGGCGAACAAACCTCGTTAAATGAAGAGATTTGCAGACTAGTTCTTTATCAGAAATGGATTTAAATTGGCTTATTCACAGCGCTTTTCGAAAACGCTTTGCCAAAAAACGAATGGAAAGTGTTACTTTTGAAGAAGGTTAAAACTGCAGTTTCTTCCTCTTGGATTTGCTATTTTAATAACTTAATTTCCTCGCATTCGCTTTCCCTGAATTTTTTCTCCCTAACTTTTTTTTGGTTTCTGGACATATTAAACCTTGATTTCACTCTAGTTGTTGGTTTTTTAACTACTGTCTGATTTTGTTATCACTGCCGTCCGATAATATATTATTGGACTGTTAATTATTATTATCGGACGGCTACAGGTAAATTTTTAGACGGCAAGAACAAAGGCATGACGTCAGAGCAATGTTTTAAATTGTTTCATTATACCGATATAAGTTAAGACAATTCTTGTAGGCTTAATTACAAGCTTAATTCTTGTAGGCTTAATTACTAAAATAATCAATTGTGTATTAGACCTTACAAACTGTTATTATCAGTGTTTCATCGGGATCCAGATTCGCTAGTGAAGTTGTTTACTTTTCGCCTGCAAGTCTTGTAAGTTTTTGCGCCGCCGATTTATTAAAATACTCTGTGATTGTCAGTAACATGCATTTTTATAAATTCACAAATACTATTTCCGAGTACAATGACTACATGGTGCAGACTTTTAATGTAAAAAAAAAAAAGAGCCAAGTCTGCATTCGTTGAATTATTGTAACTTTCGTATCACAAAAAGACTATACATATTTTAAAAACGGTATTTTTTGTAATGAACAGTCATTACTGTATGCATTAATTTTTAAATTTGAATGGAATTTAGATTAACAGGTCATTTTTAGCGGTCATTAATTATAATGACCGGGTCATTATACCCCACGTGCAATGATTCGTAGGTCATTATTGCTGTAAACGGTACTTTTTGGAGTCATTATTGAGTTAAAAGCCTTCTAACAAGCCAATCAAATTTGAGTATTTGTGTGGTTTTACATTTATATCTCCATGTACTCATTATAAAAACTATGTTGCAGTGATCCAAGCGCCTCATTATTCTGGGCGATTTGTTTGGGAACATGGTCGTCCAGCCTCGAGGCTCGACGTTATACGTGTATAATGGTTGATCGTGGGTGATTAAAAGTGAAGTTTTAGTTGAAAAAGTCAGTTTGCGTCTGATAAATGTACGAATTTAAATCATAGGAAAAAGAGCATTATTATTATTATCCCGTTTGCGAATAAAATCTCGGAGTACTTTATTCCTCTTGTTGAAAATTTATTTTTAAAGAAATTCCAACAGCAGTAGATTTTGACTTTGGAAATAAAAATTGACTTTGGATAAGATATTAAGCAAAAAATTCATAACGATATAAAAAAAATATTATATCTTTGATCAATAAAACACATTATCAAAACAAATCATACCTTAATTCCATCTAGATTTGGATGTGTGGTGGAAGTCTTGAGATCCACCCCTGTTCTCACGTCGCTCACATATTTAGATCCGTCAGTCCATACAAGTGGGGCAGAAGTTTTGCGGAGATTCTGCGGAAAAACGCAGTTCGTACAGCAGAAGTATGGATGGATGAATATAAACATGTATATTACGAAAGAATTAATTATGATCTGGTAAGAATGAATATGATTGCAAAGTTGGAAAAATTCTTTTATTTAGTTATTTTTTATTTAAATTGGTATTTTACATTGGTTTTTAACGCAAATGAGAAAGTTGACGAGTATAAACAGTTTTGGGCATTCTTCAATTTTGTCAACGTTTCCACGTCGTCGTCTAAGTTACGTAAAATTGTACACGTTTAGTTTTACTGACTTTTGTCTTCATTTATATGCAATTCTTCATTTTTTATCATTGAATTCGTGAAAGTTATCGATAACGGCGATAAATATTTCTAATCTGTGCTTCTCCTTTCATAGGAAAAAGATACTTTTCTTAAAAGTATACTACATGTATAATTTATGTTTTTATATTCATTTCTTTTCTCATGATGTACATGTATGTTTCAAGGAAAACTCTATTCTTAATTCATATAATATACAATACCTGTTGATACCCGTAGTTCTTCATCTGATGTTCTTAGTAATGTGTTAATATTATCTCTTTTTCCTTTGATGTATCCGTGTAAGGTTCTAGAAAACGTAATTTTAACGAAAGTAAAAAAAAAAAATTTCTGCTGAAGTACATAATTATTTCAAATTTATGTGACATCTTTACACAAAAAACAATGAAAATAAACTATTACCCACAATAGCGTCACATCCATGTGCAAAATGACACAAGTGTACATCACAGCTGCATTTCCCCGTGCATTTCTCACCATATGTCGGATAAGGACAAACTTGAAAACATTCGAATCCGTGATATCCCGGAGAGCATGCTGAAATTTTTTTTAAAAAAAATAAGTAAAATTCCCAATGTTTTCTCCAACAGTTACGACATGGTGATTCTATAAAAATATTAAACTTTAATTCAGAACATCATGCAGATCTTATGCGCAAGAAAAGGGACAGAAATGGTAATGATTGTCTAAAAAAAACTTCTAAGATTTTTTTTATTTGAGTCGTCAAATGTATAAACTATATCTCATCAAAGATACCTACATGTATATAGGATGAATGTATACTAGCAACTTATGATTTGTGACTCAGATAAAGGACAACATTATTACATTTAATTGCAAGTTATCATTAACAATATCTAAGTGCAGTGTTAAAATTTAAGAACCTTTCATCTATCAAGGATTGTTTATTAGCTCACCTGAGTCACTCAGGTAACCTTTTGATATTTGTTTCTGTCCGTCGTCTTCCGTCGTGCTTCAATCGTAAACTTTCGAACATTTTCAGCTTCTTCTCTTGAACCGCTGAATCAATTTCGACTAATTTTGGCATATAGCATCAATGGGTGAAGAGGTGTAATTATTGTGAATTTCATGGTATCTGCCCCACTGGGGTGTGAGGGGTGGGGCTTCTAACTGGTGCTATCTATGAAATATTCTTTTATACTCCTGTACATCAAGCAGTCAAACTATTGGCATGATTGTCATAAGTATTGGCCCCTCTACCGAAATTGTGAAATTCATGACCCCAGAATCAGGGCTCTGTATAGTTAAATGTAGGGTGGGGATCTAATGATCATTTAGTGAAAATGCAAAAGTACTTTAACAATCTTCTTCTTTTCCTCTGTATGCAGTGTATTTAACAGATAAACTAGGTTATGTTTGTGACATATCTTCCAAAATTGTAAAAAAAAAAAAAAAAAAAAAAAAAAATTGTGGACCCAGTGTCAGGGGTTCTGATGGTGGGGGAGAGGCTGTATTTGATTATATAGTGAAAATGCATTAATCTGGTGTTGGGGAGGAGGGGTGCTATTGATTACATACTGAAGATGCGTTATTTCTTTGAAATTCTTCTCTGATTATGCGTATTAAGCAAACACACTAAGTGCTTAGTTATGATGAACAAGAGTGCTTCTTCAAAATTATGAATTTCATGGCCCCTGAGTCAGGGGTCTTGTGTAATGCGGGGCTATGATGATTATGTAGTAAAAATGCATTATTTCTTTGAAAAAATTCTTCTCTGCTCCTGGGTATTTAGCAGACAAACTGATTGCAAAGTTATGAGGAGCAAGGATGCTTCTTCCAAAACTATAAAATTCATAGCCCCTGGGTCAGGAGTTTTGATGTAAGGGTGGGGTTTTATTGAATATATCGTGAAAATGCATTATTTCTTTCCAAATCTTCTCTGCCCCTGGATGATTAGCAAACATACTAAGTGCATGGTTACGATAAGCAAGGGTGCCTCTTCCAAATTGTGATTTTTTTCGGCCACTGGATCTGGGGCCTTTGATGTTAGGACGGGGCTCTATCGATTATAATCGTGAAAATACATTAATTCTTTGAAAATCTTCTTCTCTGTTCCTGGATATTTATCAAAGAAACTAAGTGCATACTTATGATGAACAAGTGGGTCTCTTCCGAAATTGAATTGAATTGAATTTGATGGCCACATGCACTGGGAAAGTGGTCTGTTGTTAAGGGAGGACTGTGTTGAACTTATAGTGAAAATGAATATTCTTTGAAAATCTTCTTCTCTGCTCCTGGGCATTTAGGGGCAACAGACTATAAAGTTGTAATATACAAAGGTATATTTACCAGAATATTTAAATTCTCGACCTCTTGTTTAAGTGCTCTGATGCTTTATAGGCCTTTATTACGTAATGTGTAGTTTACTGAGAGTCTAATGAGAGATATTATTCTTCTTTGCTATTCACCTATGATAATTATTCATTCACTGTGCTCTTTGCGCAACATTGTTTCGTCTATCAGTTTATTTTGGGTTTTTTTTAATTCTTCTATTGATCCTTTACAATGTTGTATTATACTCAGGTGACTATCTTGTATAAAAGATATAATTATAAATTTGCTTCTATGCATGGAGACCACTCTGACCGAGGTCTGTCTGTGTGTATTAAACTTGTATTTCCTCAGAACTTTCTAATTTTTGGTTTATGGCGTGGGGGAGAAAGATATTTTATAGAAACTTACTGCTGCAATCCCTGTACTCTTTGTTCCACTTATATCCAGAACAACACCTGAAAACACCTTCTCTGAGAAAAAAAAAACTAAATGTCCTTTACTAGTATATTATCACTGAAATGAAAGTACCTTTTTTTTTTAAAATTTATAAGCTAACCATTACCTTTCGCAATTTGTCTCTGCAGGGATTCTCTCATAATATGATACAAGTACCACAAATATCAAATTTAAATGAGGTGTTATCGTCATTCTGGACTTCTAGGCCTCTGATGTCTGAATTATTTCCTTGAAATAAAACTACATTTCTGTATAAGCCAATTGTTGGAAGCCAGATTGTTAAACTTTAGCTGTGATGAATTGATAAGTTCAGTGTTCTCACAGTATTTCCCAGATTTAAAATTACAAACTTCATTTTCTAATTTAAAGGTTCATGAAAAGCGTTTTCTATTTCTGTCAATGCTTATAAAAGATAACTATAAAAGAAAATTAATTACCGGTTATTAATTCCTCTCGTGTCCTTGGTAGCAAGTGTTCTATACCAACACTGTCATGTAGAAATTTGTATCCGCATTAACAAACCCGACATTTTCAGCATTTTTAAGCAATTAGCCTTTTTAATTTGTGTACAATTTCAAGGACAGCGTAAGACTTTTCCTTTTACTATAAATATTTTTAAGCTTAAACCTGTGAAAGAATTTATATTGAATGCTAAGCAACAAAATAAACTTAAACAAAGTGTTTAAAAGATAATTATAGTAGAGGTCCATTATTAATTAAGGTCAAGGGTAAAACAAGTTAGAGAAAATATTAAAGTAAAGGCTAAAACAATTAGTTAAGAGTAAAAATTAATGTAAAGTCTAAAACATTCAATTAAAACAAGCCCTATAAATTGCCAACAGTGAATGGACTTGTAAGTGGTATCTAAATTTAGTTCTCCATCAATGGGTCTCTGCCCTTGTGCAAGACCAACACAAAGGACAAAGACATATAATTGGGTTATTTTTTATATGGGTGATCGAAACCATCTGGCACTATCCAAGATTATACTTTCGAATTTAAAAAAAAAAAACCCGTAGAACGGCTTTTAGAATATAACTAAACACTTTGACTTTCCAGGGTGATTACGGTGACGTATCACACAGACAAGAACTGAGGCGACGTCTGGGATGTAAAAGTTTTGGGTGGTACCTTCAGAACATGTTACCAGGAATGAAACTGCCAGAGAAGGCTCTATATAGTGGAGAGGTGAGGCGTAGATAAAACAACGCAAATAAAATAATGTACTTATATAATTCGGCATATGATCTAAAAACATACTTTTAAAATATAAAACAACAGCCATTGGGATCACATCAGCTTTGAGAATCCTTAAAAAAATTATTCTACGTTACACAGAGAAAAATGGCCGTGTGATGATAGGATTTTATGGACAGCTTTGAGAATCCTTTAAAAAAATGTCCTCTCCAGATCAATCAGTTCGGGGTAAAACACTGAACACGGGGATACCTTTTTGGATACTCAGTATTCTAAATTAAAAAGTCCAAATTGGGCATATTCCTAAATTTGGATTTTATTTACAAAAAAAGTATCATGTGCAATAAACATCCTAATTGTTCCATTATCTTGTACATGTGTACTAGTTCTTGAGAATAAAAATTATTTTTTTGAAGGTGCGTAATTTGGAGAGTGGTTTCTGTCTAGACACTATGGGGACCACGGCCAACAACAAAATTCACACAATACCCTGCCATGGCCTGGGTGGAAATCAGGTGAGGATCACAACCAACGTATCATTAAAATGTAATTTTGTGTTGGGGGGAGGAGTGGGAGGCTCCAACTGCTTTCACAACCAAATTTTATTCAAACAATGCCACATTACCCCGATTTCACAATACTGTAACAAAAAAGGGGGAGGGGGCATCCAGCCTTTCTATGAATATTTTCAACAACAAAAGGTTATGTTTGGAAAAAAGGGGGAGGGCCCCTTGCCACTCCCTCCCCCCGATACTACGTGCCTGTAATACATGAATACGAGAATGCTAAATTTTCCATGCATTGACACTGGGAAATATACGCATCGTCCTTAAACGAACACATACAAATATGTCAAAACTATAATTTTTGAAAAATAATTACTTTCGATATAATTTTTGGTGTAAGAATTTAAGAGGCTTAATTTTCAAGAATCGAAAGAAATATCGATCGCCTTCTTTTGCCTAGTTTTTCAGGTACACCATTAGTGGCTTCATAGAGAGAGATGAGGCATGTTTAACGGACAAAGATGGCAGTATTTATTATATACTCTGTAAACAGAACGTCACAAAGTGGGAATACACAAAGGTAAGAGTTCAATTCATTCTTCACGTTTTAGTTCACCTGAGCTGAAAGCTCAAGTGAGCTTTTCTGATCACATTTTGTCCGTCTGTCTAGCTGTCCGTCCGTCTGTTAACTTTTCACATTTGTGACTTTTCCTCCTGAACCACTGGGCCAATTTCAACCAAACTTGCCACAAAGCATTCTTGGTTGAAGGAGATTCCTGGGGTGTTTTTTCAAAAAAAGGGCTACGCCCTCTTTCGAGGGGAAATAATTAAAAATTAGTGAAAATTTGGAGGTATCGTATAAAAATATTCTTTTCAAGAACCACTGGGCAAAAAAAGTTGAAACTTTTGTGAAACCTTCTTTACATAGTGTAGATTCAAGTTTATTCAAATCATGATCCCTGGGGTTGATTTGGGCCACCATGGGTGATCAAAGTTTTACATAGATATATGTAAGAAAAAAGCCCTGATTAGTAATATTGATATGAAAGCATCCTCAGGTGGTGTAGGTTCAAGTTGTTCAAATCATGACCCCTGGAAGCATCCTCAGATAGTGCAGATTTAAGTTTGTTCAAATCATGGCCCCAGGGAGCAGGGTTCGGCCACAATACACTATCAGAGTTTAACATACAGATATAGGGAAAAAAAGCTTTAAAAATCTTTTTTTCAACAGCAAAACCATGTATAGTCATATTGATATGAAAGTATCTTTAGGTAGTGTAGATTCAAGTTTGTTCAAATCATTAGGGGTAGGGTGGGGCTACATCTATAAATATCATGACACCTGGGACAGGTTGGGGTCACAATAGGGATCAAAGTTTTACATAGGAATCTATAATAGAAAAAAATCTGCTGATGAAGAACAGCAGGGCCATATAGACACAGGTGAACGATGTGGCCCATATGCCTCTTGTTTACTGAAAGGGGTTTTGTATAAATGTTATTTTTGGCATACTGGGCGATCATGGTCATTTTCTCTTTTTTCCTATTTAAACCTCCAGGAAAGGAAGACCCATCTATCTATTAAATTACAATAAATATTATAGCTGTCCAGAACACACTAAATAATAGTTTATGGCTATAAAACTCTTACTTCCTATTTTTAGGTGGATTCGGGGGTACATGTAATTTATTTACTGCCCATTCTCCTGTATGTATTTTGTCTTACATTTGTCTTTCAGGATCACGAGATTCGGGTACAACATACAAACAGCTGTTTGAGTTTGAACAATAAGCTACTTAATGTGCTTCCATGCAACAACGCTCTGAATCAGAAGTGGACTTGGACTAGAAAAATCGAAGATCCAGTGATTAAATGAATGTGTAATTTAATTAGAACTAAATTTTTTTCAGTAGAGTACCTAATTAAGCTTAATATACTAACGCATATGCATGTATGTTTGATTTGTGAATTCTCTCCCCTGTGAGGTCTTATTTAATTGAAATTGTGTTCGATTTGATTGTGTGCAAATGGGAATGTTACCTGAATATATGTTCACAATTTAGGGAATTGACTTGAACAAATAGATCATTTAATTGAAATAAGGTCATTACTTATACTAGTACCATGTGTTCATCAGTGTACAGTTTAAAAATAAATGTCTGAAGACTAGCCATCTCTTAATTGCTACTACAACGCCAATGGGATTAAAGAATTTGAATTGCAGTTTCTAATTAGATTGGGAATTGCTGATTTACAACCACATGGCATCAGATACTGCATACCATATCAACTAACCTTACTCTGGGATTCCAAGTACTAATATCTTTCGTTTTCCTGAAATGTACTATCATCCACCTATAAATAGATATAAATGCAACAGAAACCATAAATTTCTTAATTATCTTGTAGACAATTTATGTGAAAGGTATAAATATCTATTATAGCATCTCCCACCTTATCTGAACTCCACCTTTCAATTTTGAAATTTTGCCTTAGTTTGTTCACAACATTTTAAGTCGGTGGACATCAGAAAGGACAAAGCATAAACTCACAGGCAGATCCTGCAGTCTGTGAAGGGGGTGGGGGCACATTATCATTTGGCAGCTCCATCCCATTTACATTCCCTTTGCTTCTGTACATAACATCTATAGGAGACCTTGTGACTTAAGACTTTCTGTTTAGTGATATTTTTATGAACTCTTTTTGAACTCTCATTGTGTGTGGATTTTCTGTCTGCAAAAGGAAAGGGGTGGGATGGAGGTCACAATGTTCAGATCCCCTGGACCCCCCACTCTGGATATGCCTTTGAAACTCCTTCCAATATGACAAAGCTTTCTCATAACAAATCTGTCAATATATTTATTTTATTTACTGAAACAATTAATAAACAGCTCATAATAGAGCTGATACTGTTTTCAAAGCTACAACATTCACACAATATTTAATAAAAACTGTAATACTCCATAAAAACTGGAGAAGATATGTTTTGCAGAGTATTATGCTATTTGTAATGAATCCACTATTCAAAGTATACAAAATGCTTTCATCTACCAATTCAAATACATTCAATACAAATATGAGATGCTCATAAATATATGTAATATATACTGTTCGACAATAAAATAACAAAGTATAAAATATCTGCATCATTCAATAGTGGCAATAGTGAAAAAATGCCAAGCTTAATAAAGAAAAAATACTTTAGGTCCAAATAGGGTAAATGCATATAAATCTACAACAATAATGATTTTTTTTTTTTAATTTTTTTTTCAGAATTGGTCATCATAGTATTTTTTAAAAAAAGTGCAAATTTAAGACTGATACAGACACAGTATATAAGATTTAACTTTAATTTTTTTTCATCCTAAAAGTTGAATTTATAATGATAAGGTACCATAATTAAATGTAAATAAAAACCATTGCATTACTAATTAATAAGTCTATTAATAATATATAATACACCCAGGCTATAGAATAACTTCACAAAATGTACAATGGCACAAAAATCCATGATTCAACTCACTATCCAAATCTCAAACCTTTACAAATACATTAATTATAAAAATAACATACATGGGCAAAAATTCTATGTAGCAATAATTCATTAAAAATGTCTTCACATGCCTTAAAATATAAATTGCGAGTTAATGTTTCAAATCTTGAATTTGAATTTCACATGAATTTATCACCTTATTTAAAATTTTATTTTACAAAAAATTTATACATCTTTGGCATAAAAAAATTATAATAGTATAAAGAATAAGATTATATCATTTAAAAATTACAATCTTAACAAGGAGAAAATTAAAGCAAGAAAAAATTGTTAAAGATGGGGACAGCGGGTAACCATGGAAACCATGTGAACACAGTGAAGCTATGATACCTCCTGGGAGCCATTATTACACCTTTGTCATTAGTTTTAGGTATTGCAATGCATTATGGGCCGCGTGGGCATGTGCCTCGTCCACCGTCTGACCCGTACCATGACAGACCGCCACTGGCATTGTAGATAACTGAACGAGGCATTGTCTCTGACCTGATCCAAAAAGAGAAATATTTCTTCACATTAGATATTGAGTAACTCATCAGGTATAATCTGTCAAAAGTGTATACTTTCTTATTTTTGTGCCGTCAACTTGTAATGGTACAATAATATTTAAATCTACTGAATAATTTCTCCTTAACTTTCTGTTGTTGATCAATTAATAAACACAATCAACTTCTAAACTTGAAAGATCTGATTTTCCTGAATGAAAATTTTCTAAAGAAGTGTCAAAGGTCAAATATTTCATGGTTCTTCCATCTATGTGTTGGATCAGTAATATATACTTTCATTCATTTACACGAATAATTTATACAGATACATCTAGCAAATCCTCAAAATACATTTTCTGCAAATGTTCATATTATTTTACCTATTCAGACAAAAACCCCAACATTAATTTTTTCTTGAGATGTTTAGTAACCCCCCACCCCACCCCACTTACCGTATATATAAGTCGGTCTGCCTATACGTCGGTTTTTGAAGCTTAAATTAGAGGGATTGACCCGCTGAAAATCCAATCTTTTTATAACTCGTTTATAAGTCAGATATTAGGAGATTTGGACCAAATTTTAACTCCCAAAATAACGACTTATAGGTGAGATATGCGTTACCTATTAGGTGTTCTTTTACCGCTCTCCTTTACAGAAGACTTCTAATAAGGGAAGTAATCTAAAAATGGCCCATTCCTTTTAGTTAAGCACTTATGTCTTTGTTCCACTATACAAATGTACCCTTTAGCTTTAGTCTGCTATAGACATTCCTTTTAATCCTCACAAGCATGCATATACTTGAGTACCCTTTAGTAATGGTCTACTACATCTTTTACTTTAATTAGCACTTATACTGCTCCCTTACCTTTTGAACTTATTTCCGCTATGTCCATATAGCTAACCTCGAATCGCTGCACCTCTGATATTTCTTGCAGCATTTGGCAGTAGTTGGTAGCGGGGGCTGTCAGTTTGCTGTTTTTAATTTTGTTGTTATTTTTAATTTTCTGATAAAACTGCTGGATTTCCTTGTTCTGTTGGGGACTTGGAATGGGTACTTTGGTCTTGCCTTCTTTCAAAGCAGTGTAAGATGCACGAAGCTCAGATGCATTCTGAAAAGCAGGAAATAAATACTGATGTGTGACATTGTTGTTAGTTTAGGTGTCAGAGAGAGAACAATAATAGGCATACACATATGTTTTTCAGTGTTTCAAACTCTGAAATGCAGTTATTTTCACAACTTCAGACACAGCAAAAATCATAGAATTACCTTTTTACAATAATGCACACACACATTACTAGAAAGGTAAAATTTAAAAAAGGATGGAAATCCTACTGTGACCTACCAAAGGAATTTCATCTTCCTCCTCCGAGTCCTCAATCTTTGTGTTGTCATCCCCATCTTGTGTGATATTCTTGATGTGAACCAACATGGCACTTGCTGCTGCTCTCTTTGCTGTCTTCTTGGATCTTCCAGTTCCTGGGAAAAAATATTTGAAGATTTATACATGTAAATTACTCCACATTTTTCTCACTGATTATTCCTTATTTTACATTTCCCCAAGGTCAAAAAATGTTGTCAGTTTTATTGCTTACATCAGTATGTATCAGCATATGAAGTTTGAATACACAATCTTCAATGGTTTCTTTAAAACTGAGCATAATACTAATTCAAGAAAAGTGAGGTCAAGGTCAAAGGAAAGGTCAAGGTCAAAAAGGTCAAGATCAAAGGAAAGGTCAAGGTCAAAAAATGTTAACTTAAGAGAGGTTGATTACTTATTCATATAAAGAAAAATATCCTATATCCTATGACCTTTGAGTCAATTTGTGGTTTACATTGGTCAACTTAAAAAATTACCAACAAAAAGCATGCAGACATAAAAATGACAAACTGGAAAAAGTTAAGATTTGGCCCTTATGTCAAACAAAGATTACCTTTCTCTGTAAATTTTCCCAGTTTGACAGTACACACAAACTCCCTGTTGTGGGGAGGACCTTGCTCATTGCCAAACTCATAGACCGGTGGTTTGATGAGTTTCTTCTGAGTGAATTCCTGTAGTTCTCCCACAGGATTGCCAGCATCATCCACATCTATCATGTTCCCAGACTGTCTAAAATTAACGACAACAACTAAACGTTTGCCAGAATGTCACTCATATCAAATTAGATATCAGGATATTTAATAATGCAATGAACTCCCTCATACCACTGATGCTACCATACATATTTTCAGATTAAGCATTTTTTCCCTGATAGTCAAAATTCTCAACTTAGAGATAAACTAGAAATATGTCCATAGGACATGAATGCCCCACCAAGGGTATATTCGTAATGCAACATAAAATTTATATATTAGTGTATGACGTTTGATAAGAATATCTTGAATAGTTTCTTTAAAATTGAAATCTAAAAAATTGGATATAGATGATAAATTCTCACCAAATTATGTATAAGTGCAAAAGCTTAGGCAAAAATATCTTCAATGGTTCTTTAGAACTAACCAAAATGCAAATTTAAAAAAAAAGTGAGGTCAAGGTCATAGGAAAAGCCAAGGACAAAAAATGTTGAATTTTAATTTTTTTTTTAATAGCTTACATCAGTATGTATCAGCATATGAAGTTTGGTTACAAAATCTTGAATGGTTCTTTAAAACTGAGCTTAAGACTAATTTAAGAAAAGTGAGGTCAAGGTTAAAGGAAAGGTCAAGGTCAAAAAATGTTGATGCAGTTGAATAGCTCTCATCAGTGTATATCAGCATATGAAGTTTGATAAAAACACCTTGAATGGTTTCTTTAAACATGTTAAACCTTATCTTAACACTAATTTAAGAAAAGTGAGGTCAAGGTCAAAGGAAAGGTCAAGGTTTAAAAAATGTTGATGCTGTTGAATAGCTCTCATCAATATGTATCAGCATATGAAGTTTGATAAAAATATCTTGAATAGTTTCTTTGAAACTGTGCTTTGAACTGAGCTACACACAACCGAAGGATGGAAGGACGGAAGACAGACATGACAAACTCTATATGCCCCGGCCATATTCATGGTGGGGCATAATTGTAATCTAAATAAACATTTTTTTAGTTAATCAATATCCAGCTCCTGCAAAAAAAAGGGATACAAAATGAACATGGATAAATTGTCAAAATGCATAAATTTCAGTTAATATGATACGGTACCATTACAGTTATGGTAATAACTTGCTGACTATTGTCCCAGATGTGAGGGAATCTGATTTGTGGATTTACCCTCTTAAAGTCCTAGAATTATATTTCCCTGAAATTTTAACTGACTTCTGAGGGTGCCTGTTCAGTGGATTAATCTTCTCCAAGCCCTAGAAAAATATTTTCCTTTTTTAATTGATTGATTGTCCAGAGTCTGACAGAGTCTGTTCAGTAAACAGACCTTCTTCTAGCTCTACCCCAAGAGTTACATGTAAATTTTCATCTGTTTAATAGACTTTTTGTCCTAGTTCTGATGGCACATGCTCAGTGGGCTGATCCTCTTCTAGCTCAATATTTGATTTCCCTTTGTACAATTGACTTATTGTCCCGAGTCTGAAGGCATTTGTTCAGTGTGCTCACCCTCTCCTTACTTTCCTGACAGTGTAAATTGACTTACTGTCCCAGTTCTGAGGGTAACTGCTCTGTGGGCTGTCAACCCTCTCCAAGCCCAACAATTACATTTTCCTGTGTATAACTGGTTCTGAGGGCACCTGCTCAGTGGGCTGACCCTCTCCTAGAATTACATACTCCTGATCGGGTATAATTGACTTACTGTCCAAGTTATGAAGGCACCTATAGCTATTTTAGTTTAGGGTGCTGACCCACTCAAAACCCTATAATAAGACTTCCCTTTGCATAACTGATTTTCTGTCACACATCTGAGGGTACCTGTTAACATGGGCTGACCATCATGAAGTCCAAAAATAAGACTTTCCTATGTATAGTTTACTTACTGCCCTGGCTCTGAGGGCACCTGTTCTGTGGGCTGACCCTCTCCAAGCCCTAGAATCTGCTGGAGAGCTGCCAGGGCGGCGCCATGCTTTGCCTTCTTCTTACTTGTTCCTACAAATTGTATGGACTGTTTAGTGGTACAAATTGTATGGTCTGTTTAGTGGTACAAATCGTATGGTCTGTTAAGTGGTACAAATTCAAGTTGATGAACTAAACACACCAGGATTAAACTCAAAATAACAAAATTTTAGCTTCATAGAAGGGTCTTATCTTAAATTCAAAAATGATGAGAAACATGTTGGGTTTTTTCCCCATCAATGTGTACTTTAATAAGGAATAACTGCATGGAAACATTTTAGTAACCAATATGGCAATTCTGTTAAAGTGATAAAAACATGTATTCATCAAACAAATAAATAAATCCTTCACAGAAAATTAAAACTGGCAGTTATCTTGCTCTTTAATCACAGATATAAATGTCCTAGAAATTGTCTATATGCATAACTTCCTTACCTTTACCAGTGGCAATTACATCACCGACAGTGACCCTCATTATAAACACAGGCTCATGAACTGCTCCTTCATTGGCCAACAAGTCATACTGCGGAGTTATCCCCCTTTTAGTGCTTATCTCCTGGAGAAAGCTGATAGGAGTCTTTCCTGGTGGAATCAATGCCATCTGATATTATGGCTACTTAAAAATAAAATAAATAAAATCAAAAAAAATAAATTAAATTAAACTAATTTCAATCTTTCCTTCCATGTCTTTTTCTTGTCTTTCACATTTGAGAACCTTCACTACGGGTTTTCAAATTAATCTTACATGTAAGTCTGTAACTCTAATGAAAATTCATATTTCTTTTTTTTTTTTTATTTTTTGGCACGGGTGACATTATTGTCCTGAAACTTTTACAAGAAAATCCTAAAAAATATGATGTCATTGAGTTTTGCTATTTTCTATTAAATGTGAAGATTCAATTAAAAAATTGTTATCTTCTTCCTCAAAATTATTTCAATATAGGCATAGTGAGTAATTAGTCAAACGTTTATCAGCACATTGGTCATGGCACCAAATCTGTAACAAGAAAGGAGAAAATGTATGGCTGGACCGGGAATCGAACCCAGGGACCCCTGCATCACTAGTTAGGTGCTCTACCGACTGAGCTACCCAGGCCGATATCTACGGCCCAAATCATTACATTTTCATGCTCATGGACACATAGAAAGAGTATTTTTCTTCTTTTAATTACATGCTTTCTTAAAATAAATTCATGTGGAGGTAAGATATTGTCAGTGGAAGTCGGAGGGGTTTGATTGATGGCCAGATAGCTCAGTTGGTAGACCACCTGACTGGTGATTTGGGGGGCCCAGGTCTGATCCATTGCATTTTTCTCCTCGCTGGGTACATTTGGTGCTGTGACCAGGGTGTGACAAGACCTCCTGGGAAGAACAGGTTTGGTGTCTTTAGGGTCAAATAACTTAACAGAGAGGAATGTGGCGATCAGTCAAGTTCAGTCGCTGGTTGACAGATATACATAGCTCAGCAAAGCACCTGCCTAGTGATTCAGAGGGACATATATGAATCCTGCATTTGGACGCCATGCCATCCCCCTGAAGGCACAGGTGAGAAACCTGTCAGGAACATCTGAGGAAAAAGCCTGGGTTGATGCCTTTGGGGGCGAAGACCTTTAAAGAGAGAGGAATGCAGCTGTCAGACAAATTTGATCGCCGGTGGCCGGATAACTCAGTTGGTAGAGCACTTAAATATTTATTCAGGGAACCCGGGTTAGTATCTTGGTTTGGTCCGTTAGGCCCTATTTGCAAAATTGAGCATCAGTAATCATACAGGGTTGCCTACATTCTCTTCCCTCGAAAGCAGATGTTAGGACTGTTTCGATTTATAAACAAAATTGTCCGCATATTACCTTAAAATCGAGAAATAACTCTGCTGGGTGTGATGCTGGTGCACATGCAGTGAAGTTTTGTGTTTGTGCACATGTAATGTCTCTGGCTTTGTTAATAAAGCCCGAGGCTTTCAAAGTCGTAAATTTCTTTCATATAATTATCAATTATCCTTCTGATTTATGATTTCAAACAAATTATTCTCATAGTTCTCAATAAATATTCCGTCGATATGGTATAAATATAATTGTACAGTATTAACCAATTTTAACGTATCAAAAAGTAATTTTACGACATATGCCAAAAACCTTTATATTTTCGAATTTCCTCGAGGATTGATCAGGAATGGTGCAAGCACTTAACCACGCGGTCTGATTCATCATATAGGAAGAGGTGAAGGATTTTTGTTAATGAATGATTAATAATCAGAATGAAAAGTGCAAGGGAGAGTGTCATAAGCTTTGCAACTTATTTCATGGTGCATGTAAAATTCATGTCAGTGAAATAGGTCTTGAGCATTGATGAGGATGCTTTTATAAAAATTTACATGTTGAAAAGTAGTTTTCGTAATATCTTTAAATTGACATTCAGTGTGTTTTTAAAATGATTTGAAAAAAAATACCATGTGCAATGTTGCAGGTTAAATAAATACATGTTGCAGTACAGACATCTGAATTTTTATCTTCTTTTTTTTAAATCAATTAGCATGTTGAACATCCCCCCTCCCCCTGGGGAGATTTTCAGAGTTTTTAAATTCTTAAAGTAAGGACAAGATGACCTTGGATCCCTGGTAAAATGGTTAGGAGACATGTACATGGAGCTTCAACTGTCTATAGTTCAAAGGACTGGGGTTTGAATCCTGGTCTTGTCTGCTTCCTTTATTTCTCCTTTCCCGTTGTTTTCCTTATCATTTGGTAAAGAATGTATATCATTTATTGTTGTCACATTTTATATAACCAGCTATAATAATTAACTTCAAGATATGACATTTAAATGAAATATGAGGAAAAAGTCTTTTCCTCTGTGGATTTAATTTAGCACATTATCTCTGGTATTTTTCTAGATTTCAAACTTTTTTATTGAACGTCATATTATAACTAGTAATTTGTTGACAACACAGCTTTGTTTTTAATTAGGTTTATATCTTCTTTGTACATGTAAATATTTCAGGAAGAAGGAGACACGAACAATGGAGAACTACACTAAAGGAGAAACAAGAGACGTAGAAATGGAGCCTGTATTTGAAGTTAATGAAAACTGTGTAGACATGAAAGTTAATGCTGGCAGTAAAATCAGAAATCTGATGGGATATGCAATGAATAAAGTCAAGGTAGGAAAGAAGAATTTTCTGCACAGTAAGTACTAGAAGCCATAATATAAACAAGCATGAACAATGTTTTGCTTGCTCGTGATATTTTAGCTACTGCCCAAAACTTGCTCATCAATCCAAGTATTTCAGATGTGCCAAATCAGGTTAAGAGATTAGTTACTTATTTAGAATATTAAACTTCCCAGATATCAGAAAAGATCATTTTGACCAATAAGAGCATTAAAATTCCTGACTTTTTATTATTAATCAGTTAATCATTATACTTTCCCAGAACCCCTCATTAAAAAGGATCGTGTGGAATGGATCTGGCAAGGCCATCACTAAGACTGTCACTTGTGCAGAAATCATGAAGAGGAAAATTAAGGTACCCAAACAATGAAAACAAAGTTCTAGTAGAATTGTTTAATTTGGTTATATTATGCAGTGTAGCTAATCAGCATGAGGGTATAGAGATTTAATATGAACATGTCACCTGGTACTACATGTACATGTACAGAGTATGAAGGAGTCTGTAATGCTGTGTGTAAATCATTATTTATATGTTTTACTGGGGTTTTTTTTAGGGTCTTCATCAAATTACTAAACTCAGGAACAGAAGGTATGTTTCTAGATAACCTGCTATAGTTTTAAAAAATCAAATATTGTTAATATGAAATTGAAAATTATATATTGACATGACTAAGGTTCATGTTTAACCTTATTACCTTTAGATATCTTGTTATGTGTAAGTCAACACAGTTTATATAATTTAAAATATTCAAACTTGTTAAATAATACATTAACCTACATTGTTATTGCACAAACTCTCTCAATAAAACCAAATGTAATGTCAAAATTCAGTAAACAATGAGAGCATACAAATTTTTGTCCTGTTTGCAAAATCCTTGTTCAATCTTACATTATTTTGTATTTAAGAATAGAAGAATTCTGGGAACCAAACATTGAGGGACTAGAAAGGTTAGTTTGAGAAATACGTGTAATTTCCCTGTAAGTGGTCCACATATAAGATATTTATTATACCCCACGCAACAAGTTGCGTGAGGTATAATGTTTTTGACCCGTCCGTCAGTCAGTCAGTCAGTCAGTGTGTCAGTCAGTCAGTCAGTCCGTCAGTCCTGTTTTTTTGTCAGCGCAACTCCTCATAAACCGCTGCACAGAATTTCGTCAAACTTTGCAGATATTTAGGACACAATGTGTAGATGTGCATATTACCAGGAAATTCCGATTCCTTTAATTTTTCTCGGAATTTCGGCACTTTTCAACTTAGATTTTTGGCCATATCTTGAATATGGAGATGAACAGTTTGTCAGCGCAACTCCTCATAAACCAATGCACAGAATTTGGTCAAACTTTGCAGATATTTAGCACACAATGCATAGATGTGCATATTACCAGGAAATTCCGATTCCTTTATATTTTCTTGGAATTTCGGCACTTTTCAACTTAGATTTTTGGCCATATCTTCAATATAAAGATGAACAGTTTGTCAGCACAACTCCTCTTAAACCGCTGCACAGAATTTGGTCAAACTTTGCAGATATTTAGGACACAATGTGTAGATGTGCATATTACCAGGAAATTCCGATTCCATTATTTTTCTGGGAATTTCAGCACTTTTCAACTTAGATTTTTGGCCATATCTTGAATATAGAGATGAACAGTTTGTCAGCGTAACTCCTCTTAAACCGCTGCACAGAATTTGGTCAAACTTTGCAGATATTTAGTACACAGTGTGTAGATGTGCATATTACCAGGAAATTCCGATTCCATATTTTTCTGGGAATTTCGGCACTTTTCAACTTAGGTTTTTGGCCATATCTTGAATATGGAGATGAACAGTTTGTCAGCGCAACTCCTCATAAACCAATGCACAGAATTTGGTCAAACTTTGCAGATATTTAGCACACAATGCATAGATGTGCATATTACCAGGAAATTCCGATTCCTTTATATTTTCTTGGAATTTCGGCACTTTTCAACTTAGATTTTTGGCCATATCTTCAATATAAAGATGAACAGTTTGTCAGCACAACTCCTCTTAAACCGCTGCACAGAATTTGGTCAAACTTTGCAGATATTTAGGACACAATGTGTAGATGTGCATATTACCAGGAAATTCCGATTCCATTATTTTTCTGGGAATTTCAGCACTTTTCAACTTAGATTTTTGGCCATATCTTGAATATAGAGATGAACAGTTTGTCAGCGTAACTCCTCTTAAACCGCTGCACAGAATTTGGTCAAACTTTGCAGATATTTAGTACACAGTGTGTAGATGTGCATATTACCAGGAAATTCCGATTCCATATTTTTCTGGGAATTTCGGCACTTTTCAACTTAGGTTTTTGGCCATATCTTGAATATAGATGTGAACAGTTTGTCAGCACAACTCCTATGAAACCGCTGCATAGAATTTGGTCAAACTTTGCAGATATTTAGCACACAATGTATAGATGTGCATATTACCAGGAAATTCCGATTCCTTTATATTTTCTGGGAATTTCGGCACTTTTCAACCTAGATTTTTGGCCATATCTTGAATATAAAGATGAACAGTTTGTCTGCGCAACTCCTCTTAAACCCCTGCACAGAATTTGGTCAATCTCTGCAGATATTTAGTACACAGTGTGTAGATGTGCATATTACCAGGAAATTCTGATTCCATTATTTTTTCTGGGAATTTCGGCACTTTTCAACTTAGGTTTTTGGCCATATCTTGAATATAGAGATGAACAATTTGTCAGCACAACTCCTCTTAAACCGCTGCACAGAATTTGGACAAACTTTGCAGATATTTAGTACACAGTGTGTAGATGTGCATATTACCAGGAAATTCCGATTCCATTATTTTTGCCTTAAGAGTTTTGCCTTTTATTGAAGAAACTTTCCAGCTAGGTAATAAGAAACTCCACTGGAATCAGCTTTTTATAATGAAATTCTATGTGAAATATTTTATGACCTTAAAAGACCCCTATTGATTTTGAGATCAAAATATTAATGGTTTAACACAAACACACACTCACACACACACCATCTTCGATAGTTCTCCCCCCCCCCCCCCCCCTCCCTTCAAATTGGTGTGCTTTGCCTTCAATAATTTCATAAGTACAGTATATAAACAGATTCATATGAATGACTACATCATAATTTTGTTTCCATCAATTATTTAAATGTGTAAACTGTCATGTGTTGGACATGGACTTACACTCATTAACAAATCGAAATCACTGAGGAATTTAAATAACAGTTTGTCAGCATAATTCCGGCACTGAATTTCCTGAAACTTTGTAGGTATTTCAGAATAATGTATAGATTTGTATATAACCAAGAAATTTTGATTCCATTATTTATCTAGAAACTTCAGCCCAGTTAAATTTGTAACATACAAAGATTTGAATGTCCTTATATGCAAGAAGTTTTGATGTGATGATTTTTTGCAAGTAATGCCCCTTTTTTGAATTATACTGTGTATTTAAAATGCACTGTGCCATTCATTACGTGTTGCATTGTCGAGTTTTGGGGAAGCGTGGGGTATGTGAGCTTGCTCACTTTTTCTTTTTTAAAATCTAATTAGATCTATGATTTTTAAAAGTAAGATCATATGTGTATATAGAGTGTGTCCATACAACCAATCCTTACTTTTCAGATTAAAAGTCAACAGAGACATACCAGCTATTTCTATCCTGTTGTCCAAAGATCCTCTAGATGCCAGCACACCAGGGTATAAAATATAACTCGAATTCTCATTCTCATAGTAAATATGGAGGACAGAAGGCATCTTTTAACAGTTTTAATCTTATAAGAATGTTAGAAATCAGAAGATGAGATTATTTCTACAATTTTACATCACAGTAAATATGGAAGAAAGATGTCTCTCTAAAATTTTAATCTCATGGTAGAAATGGAATACAGAAGCGATTTTCTCTTAATTTGACCTCTGAATTAACTTTTGAGCAATATGAAAAAGAACAAAACTTTGTTATATATGTCACAAAAAGGTAAAGTTTTATGTCAGGTGGGTTATGTGCACAGTTCAGAGGTCAAATGTGTAGTATTGACATAATATTAAATTTTCCCATTGATGAAAATAATCTAAATACTTTGGAAGTTTTCCTCTGAAATTACAAGTAAAGTATTACGCACTTTCTTAGAGAAGAGTGATTAGATCTACATTATGAAAGAGGGAATTTTTCACTTTATATAGTTTTGAAAATGTAATGTTTGTAATCGCACAAGGTGGTGTGTGCATGTATTGATGTACATACACAATCTTAAGACATTGTAATTACATTTGAGAAACAACTTCCAGAATCCTTGACCCTTTGAAGCTGGTTAAGGCTATCTCCCCATAAAATACTTTTCAATGCATGTATGTATTTGGTTTTACCCTGTTTTCACCAATTAGAAACAGATTATTTCTTAAGGTGGTTTTGCTTTTTTCTATTAGATATCAAGCCCCTGGATCTTTTGAGGAGTTTTGGAAATCTGAAACACAGCAGCAGAAACCAGCCAAGAAAAAGCATCGAAAATATTACACCAAAAAAGGCATTGACAGTGCTAAAAACAAAAACACTGAAACTTCTAAAAGCTGACAGACTGAGGCCTGCTTCTAAGGATAAAAGAGACATGATTTTGATGAAGACCAAGCAAGGAATTATACAAGAGCAGGGAACTAGTTTATGTAGTTTCATTTGGTTCCTTAATTACAGTTTTAGTTTTGTTATGAAACATTTATTTACCCGGAAAATTTATTGAACATTTTACTTGTCCCATTATATTAGAGCTCCTTTGGCAGCTTATCCATTAGAGATGGTCCAAGGGAATGGGAAAATTTTATTTGTAATTTCTCTTCATCAATATTGATATTTCTTAATTTGTCAATGAGAGAGACAAGCTGGAAATATGTACATGTCAATTTAATCTGTACAAATGTTGTTTTGTCTAAAACACTGATCCTTTCTGTTTCTTTGGTGGTATTGTTAATGTATATGACATGAAAAATTAAAAAAAGACAACAAATTGTTCATACTGAGAATTTTTTAAATATTATATCATATGTTCACCTGCACCGGGCTTTAAAGTGAATAAAACATTCATTTTTTTCTAAATTGGACTAAAAAAATTGGTACAATTGGTTAAGAAATGCTAAATCACATGTACCTGACTTCCAGTTGAACATTTTTCTACATCGGATCATAAATAATTCAAGAAATTCTAAATTAGTACAAATGGTTATGTTTTTTCTAAATCTTGCTTTACTGTGTTCAACTACATGTAGAACACCAATGAATGTAAACAAAAAAAAAAGATGGCACAATTTGCTTAAAAAGTTTGTATCATTTAATCATATATTTATAAAACAATTATTGATGGTGATGGGGGGGGGGGGGGGAGGGGGGTTTCAAATTTAGCAACCCTGGAAGTATAGTATTCACCTCGCCCTTCGTGCTTGGTGAATATTGCACTCCTCAGGTAACTAAATCCTCGTATTGACCTTGAACACATGCAGCAGTAATTGTATAAAATTGTGTAATACGTTTAGTTGCTGCTCTGTGACCTGGGTCCTGACTGCCGAGAAAATATTAGTTATAAACATTAATTCCACTCATCAAGTTTTTCCTCCGCTCAAGCTCTGCAAAATATAAGAAAAAATCTGTTCCAATCTTAAATAAACTCCATATACAATGTCATGTATAACTAAAACATATTGAATATTCTCTATATATTTTCCAAAATATTGCTGTACTCTGCGATACCTGCCAAATGTCTATTCAGAACCTTCTACATAAAAAAAAAACTTGCTTTGGCCTTAATTCATTCGACATTCAGATACATATTTTTTTTTTATTGACGACGTTTAATATTTTCATTCATGCATGTATGTCGACTCAATGTACCCCATGCAGTGAACTCGAGATAAACGATACAAAATTGTCTTTTACATCTGATTCTTGTTTTACTGAATATAGACTGTGATAGCAAAGTAATTAACAACTAAATGATATAAAAAAACGGATTGAACTGAGCTTTTCCATCGTCAACTCCCCCATATTTAATTATGTAGTAAACAGTGGTAAATACTAGCTAGAAATAATCAGCAATATTATACTTTCATGTAAATTACTAGGATTTGATTTGTTTAAAAAAACTGTTTCCTTCTGAATGACGAAACCACGCCCTCCAGCACTTAGCAACAGTCGACATTGCTTGACGACGGCCGGGTGATATATATTTAAAAAAAAAAGACTACGCGGAATCTACGCTTGCGCGCTTCACCTTTATTTGTATAAAACATTCAGTATAATATAATAAATACTGCATATCTTTGAGGGTAACATTGAAAATTTCACCACAAGAAAGCCTCGGTTGACAATGGTTTTCTTGAGGTGAAAATTTCAATGTTACCCTCCACTACATGTACATGCAGTATTTATATAATATATATGTACCTTATATCACCTGCATACATTGTTTATATTTCCCAACTAATTTGGTATGCGAAAACATTTCAGGTCCGAGGCAAGCTATACACATATAAATTTGGCCTTCAACCGTCCCGGGCGTTTTGCTAATTACGTACATATACCTGTATACTGGGTGTATATAAGGACCTTGTTTACAAATACAACCTTTCGTTGCACATGGTCTTGAGACAAACTGCCGCAAAAACTATGCGTGGGGGCTTACAACGAGCACTGTTTTGTGTTTTCTTTTATTTCGACTATACAGTGATACATTTATATCGAAACACGTATGAATAAAATTGATTTTTAATTGATAAATATTTAACGTCGTCGACATACGAAAATTCAAATGTTGAATATTGAAGGCCACAGCAACAGCTGAGCAAGGGACTTAGTTTGTGAAAAAGAATTAAATCTGCTTCATATTAATTAAGAATAAAAGAAGCAGGTCTGCTACATGTATAAGGACACAATATACGTACCCATGAGAATTCAGATTGATGGAAGACCTTGTTTTTCAACGTACGACCACATAAATTATTGTCAACGAGGAACTAGGCCTATAGCATCTTATTAATATCAACTTCAGAGTTTAGTTTTTAGTAAATTTTTAGATGCTCCATGAAATGAATTAATTAATTTAAGTTATTACAGTAAGTTCTGTTACATATACTTCATAATAGAAATGGTGTGAACTAGTAAATAGAAGTGATGTGAGACTAAAACTAGCTAGCACTCCGTGATCATGGTGATGCAATATGGGCATACCCACTCGGCACACCTCGGCAGATTACAGCCTGCGAGGGTTTTATCGCGCCATTCCTTCGCCGTTCAGCAGCTAACAGAGTGCACATCATTTGACTTAATTTGTTAATCAGTGTTAATTACATTCACAAACTGGTAAGTGCACAGAGTGAATTTTATATTATTAGAGAAATGCATTTTGGTTATAAAGTACTAACTAGCAATTATGTACTTTTGACTTGGCGCGTAAATTCTAGATTTAGCATTTTCCGAGTATACAAATCGCGAAAGTGGAAATTTCATGCTTTTGATAAAAAAAAAATCGGGCTTTTTCATGAAGTAAAACGCAACGACTGAAATATTCATTATTCAAATTGAAACTTACATTCTCTCATGTATTTTCTCACTGTTTATAATTTAAAAACATTGAGGTGAAGGTCGTCTATTTCAAATTTGGGATCGAATAAAGAAAAACCAACAAAACGAAATCGCGACCGAACGTGCGACCCTGCCTGTTACTTCAAAATTATCCAAATATCTTTCGTAGATCACCTAAAAATAATTTTATCCTCCTTTGGTGGCCAATAAAATAAAATTCAAGTAATCAGTTTATAAGTAGGTCTATATTAACGTTATAAATAATTACAATCAGTCTGATCTAGACTAGATGGAATTGTTGCGTCATTACCCTGGCGTGTTCTATCTTGATAGAGCATGGTTTTTAGAGCACAGTTAGTCATGGTGTATCAAAAATAAAAACATAATGGTTATCAAAGGAAAAACACCGCAGCGATGATACAAAAAACATAGAGTACTTTTATCTCGTGCATCTTTAGATATCAGACTCGGGGGACAAGCCCCCCCCCCCCGTCTGATATCTGATATTTAGTTGTTACACTCGTGAAAAGGTACTCTACTAGTATTTATTACTAATATACAGATTAGGCATATGCGTTGGAACCGGAAGGGGGGGGGGTTTAGGGGATTTAGTCCATCTACTTTTTTTTGGCAAAGATCTAATATAGGCATTGAAAATTGGATCTTAGTCATCAAAGGGTTTTTTTTTTTGGCCCCCCCCTACTTTCAATTAGCGCCCCCTTTCAATTTCCTTCCGACGCGGATGTTAGGGACAGCTCCGCTGGAGCTGCTGATACACGGCAGCTATCGTGTAGCTGCCACTATCACCTGACGAATGGTTGGTGAAAGACCCCCCCCCCCCCTTTTATTTTAGCAAATATACACAGAATTCTTGTAAAAACACAGGGTGCCCCGCTTCGAGGGAGATTTTCAACGTGAATACAGCATAACCAATAAAATTTATGCAAGAGGCAGTTCATGGAGATGTTGCTTTACAAGTCTCTTACGTTTACACCCAGTCAAAATTATTTATTTATCCCAAATTCACGTTTATTTAAATCCAATTTCCGTTCACTGGCAGCCAAACAGGAGGTTTTGATTGTCGGTGTGGAAAATATCCAAGGAGTTCCGATCAGGTATCTCTTGATCTTTCATTACGCTAAATAAAGACCTCCTAATTGGCAGCCAGTGGCAGAAGGTCTGGTAAATAATCCCGAATTTAGGACAAATAAAACAAGCCCAGGGGCTGACAAATAGAATTTTTAGGTACTTGTCCAAGGGCAAGTGTATGGTGAAAATTCACTTGCCCTACCTGAATTTTTGCTTGCCCAGTCATAAACTAATATACTGTATTTATATATATTTCAAAAAATAGCAAGAAAAATACTGAGTAGAACATGCAATCCTCTGTGCCCAAAATTAAATCTATGACTTAAATATTTATTTTATTTTTTAAAAGTCACTTGCCAACGGGCAAGTGGTTGATAAAATTTCACTTGCCCTCTCCTAAAATTCACTAGCCCCGGGCGTCGGGCAATGGGATTTGTCAGCCCCTGAAGTCTGGATGTGACTATAAGGGGCTTGTAAAACATCTCCCTGAACTACATCTTGCATCGAAAAAAGGCCATATAGATTTAAAAAATCAGTATCTTGCTCTTTTCAGATCATATATTTGAGTATTAAATAGAAAATGTTCGTCAGGAAAATATTAGACTTAACTTACCAAAACGAACCCGTAATATCCATTGAGTTCTTTACTGTATATACAGGGTTATTTTTGCCCCATCTTATTTTTGCCCTTTCACACCTGGAAATAATTTTGCCTCGTTTTGAATTCGCCCATTCACAGTTCTGTGAAAGAGAAAATGCCATGTTCTTCGAAATCGTCCCGTTTTAAATTCGCCCAATTGCGACGAGGGCGAAAGGGGCAAAAATTTCCTGTATACAGTATTTTCCATAGCCTAGTACAGTTTATAGGGGATATTAATTAAGTGGAAAACTGTTATTAAAAAATAAAGAAAAACAGGCCAGTCGTGTTTTTAGATACTTTGAACTGAGTATACTTTTATGATATGATCATTTTCATGGATCAAAAATCATATACAAAGAATCTGGGGGGATAAGACGAGCCATGTGCCCATGCCCATTTTTCGGCTATGCAAGAACATTTATTGGAAAAAATCTCTCAATTGTTCGAATTTACTTAAGCATTTTAATGTTTACCATAGTTTTCAAAATGATATTTATATTCTAAACAAGCTAAACAGTTGACTTTTATTTACTGTCACAAATGTCTAACATGGGTAAGGACTTCTATTAATTAATCTGCATATTGAGTGTTTACACTTATTGTGGAGATATTATAAAAATGTTTACATCGTATATAATGATAATGGTGATCTAGAAGCGCTTTTATTTAAAATAAATAAAACGGGAATGAAAGTATTCAAATATCTATTATAATTTTTATCCGGCATTTTAAATAATTTACTGCAAATAAGTTCATTACTACATGTATATATTTTTATTTCCAGTGAAAAATATGTTATTCCTATAGACATTTTTTATAAAGTAAAACAAAATTAAAACCAAAAAAATCAAAAAAAAAAAAAAAAAAAAAAAAAAAAAAATCAGAGCATGACTCGAACATTTTCCTCAATAAACGGCCCTTTAAAGAGCTCGTCGCTAACCACTAGACCACGGAGTCACACTAACATTTCCATTTAAATAGCATACAGTTCTCTATATTTAGCAAGCGTTTTTGGACTTAGAATTTTTTAAGACCACGGTGAAAATTTAAGTAAGTTAACTTAATTTTTTATGTAGAGTGGGTCTTCATACCAAATTTTTGCAAGTGTAAAAAGCAACATCTTTCCATTGCCTTTCATTAATCGTTCTCAAAAAAATGGTACGATGACCCACTCTATTTAAAAAATGTAGTTATATCATCCAATTTATGTCAGTTTCTGTGAAAATTGAGCGTGATGCCATTTTGTTGTGTTAATCAGAATCATTTTCGCTGTTACAGTATTCAGGTTTTGTCAAATTTATATGCAAATGGTAATAAGCATTACATTAATTCAACAAAAAGTGAAATTTTTGTAAAATGAATTTATTGATTTTTTATCGATCGTTATGTAGGCATATGGCTCGGCTTATCCCCCCAGTTTCTTTAAGCCGTTTGCGACTTCAGTCTCAAACATGTTGATTGGTGTTTTGGATAAATTAAGAAACGTGTGAAATCATTGTCACGTCATTTTGAATGGCATTGTTGGAACTTATTAAAAGTATTGTTTTATATATGGTATCAACCACAAAGCTACAAGGAAATGCAGGAATTATATATTTTAAAACGAATTTAAAAGCTACCGAAGCTATACTGTATATTACCGGGGCGGGGACAGTGTGGTCTTTATAACCTGCGAATAAGCATGTATTGAACTCTTCAAACCCAGCATTTTGGTGTTAAAGTGAAGTATAAAATACAGATTATACGGTATATACTCATTTTTCAACTCTATCAGATGGCGCTTTACAACTAGAATTGAATTTTAATAAATGTATATGTAAACATAGTTATTTGTAAAAGTTTCGATGTTCATGGTATTAAATTTTAACGTCATGTCAAGGTCAAGTATTAGGCATATTAAAAATGTCAAATTTCGGTTCTTTTTTTTTTTAGCCAAGATGCCTGCAGAGATTTCTGATCTACCCAATGAAGTTTTGCTGCTGATTTTCTCTTACTTGTCATTTTACGACATTGTGCACTCCATTAGGGTGGTATGCTCTCGCTGGCGTGATTTGGGAAAAAAGAAATGTCTATGGAACAGAATAGGAGTCATGAAATGGATGAAAGAAGCTTTAAACCATGATGACTTCTTGCACAGAGCCAGAGTAATAGGAAGAAACCTTGATACTTTGTCATTTTCAACAATTCAGGAAGAAGAACAGTTTAACTGGACACTTGTAACAGACATGGAACATTTTTATTCAATTAAGTATGGTAGATCACACGAAGTTGAAAATGAAAATGATGTTGAGGATGAAGTTGAAGATGATGATTCAAAGCGATTTAATGGCCTGCTTTTGTTCTTAAGAGAAGACTTAAGGTGCCCCAATGTAAAAGCAATTCATGCCGTTGAATCAGACATTTCTTTGTGTAACTTCCTTCAACTTCTAGAAAAATATTCTCAAGTAAAGGAAGTTGTGATTGACCAGAACGCCTGCTTTGATTTACAAAATCCTGAGAAATATATGCCTGCCTTGCAAAATTTGGTAAAGCTCAACAATCTGACAGTAAAGTGTGATGAAAGAGATGACACTCAAATTGAGGAAGAGGGAATATGGAGAAGCCAGATTTGGAATACTGAGTTAGAGAAACTGGTGAGGGCACATCCAGATCTAACTTACTTGGATGTTTCCTTACCTGGAAGTTGTGAACATTTAATTGAGACAATTATGAAAAATTGTCAAAAGTTAAAGACATTAAAAATGACTGGGGATAAGAGGCAAGAATTAGATTTGAACATAATGCCAAATGCAGCATTGCCATTGGTCGAAGAACTGAGTCTTTATGACTTTAACTTGGAGCCACACGATTTTAAATCCATATTAACTGTTGCATGTGCGGGTAAGAAGTTGCAAAAGCTAAATCTTATCGATTGCTATGATATAACAGAGGACATCTACCAGATTGTTAGTGAGAATTGCCCACTTCTGCGAAGATTCGTTGGAAAAGAAGACGAGCATTATGTAAAAGTTAAAAATAGAATCTATTTATTGCAACGTACCATGGAATACACATTTATAAATGATAATGCTCTCACCTATCTGTCAGCTTGCAAATATATCCAGGAATTAAGTATTGCAGACTCGAGTGGAAAAGCGGTTACAGATGAGGGTATCCGGACTCTGGCACGCGGATGTACCCAGTTGAAAAATTTAAACCTAGAAGATTGTGACCTGGGCGTAATGGAAGTGGCTCGTTATTGTCGTGAGCTACGCGTTGTTAATCTTAATAAGTGTCTCCACACAACTGGATTTGGCTTTAGTTGTCTAGTTATTAATTGTCAAGGTCTTCAACACGTTGAAATGTCTGGATGTAACTCTTTCAAGAAAGTCATTTTGAGCAAAGAACAAAGATTTCCAGCAATCCCACTTGCATCGCTAAATCAGAGTATACATGTTGAAACAAAACCTGCTGAAATTCAATGTAACTGTTCCACATTTTCAGAGTCTTCAAGGATTTGTCCAAAGATAATTCGCAGCCAACGAGAAATCAAAGCCCTATATGGGATTACAGAGGACAACATCCCCCAAACCAGTATACAGAACAATGAAGACGAGTCTGCTGCTTTGGTCTGTTCTCCACCCAAACCATTTCGAGTTTCGTCCGATCACTCCTGGATTCAGATGCTGGACCTGTCCTATTGTAAAAGTGTCTGTGACTCCGATATCATAGAAATTTGCAAGTATTGTCCAGAAATAAGAAGTCTCATTGTGGCATCCAACGAAAACTTAACAGACACAAGCATTCTTGCTGTTTCTAGATATTTAACATTATTGACAACATTGGAAATACAGGGGATAGGTAGATTGACAAATGATTCTTTGACTGCTCTTGCAAAGAGTGATTTGGTTAATTTATCTTTACAAGCATGTCCGAGAATGACGATTAATGGTTTAGAAAAAATTTTGACGACAAACAAAACTCTAAAGAAAATGCAAATTTGTCAAAATGAAGAGGTTGATGCTGTGGCATTCAGGAGCAACAATATCAAAAAACTACTTGTGCGAATTAGTACTGACAATGTTGTGTTTGAAATGACGAACAATATGTATACCGATTGGTTTAATATTGAAGCAAGGCGTAAATCCTGAAGGAATGAATGTTTTAAAAGTATTATGAAGTATGTAATGTTCCAACCCCAATATGAACAATGGACCAGTTTTCATATAGTTTATGTACACTATACCTGTATGAGTAAAATATAGGTTTATAAGTAAGCAATGTTCTTTTCTCAGAACGGTTGTTGGAAAAGAAGACAAACATTTTGTTAATGTTAAAAATATAATCCAATCCATGTATCGAAACAGAGCATTCACATTTATAAGTGACAATACTCTCATCTATCTGTCAACTTGAGTGCATACCCAGGAATTAAGTATTGCAGACTCAAGTAGTAGAGAAACTTCAGGTGAAGGTATTAGGACTCTAGCACAAATGAACTATCAAGCTCTTCAACAGATTCAAATATTTTTGTCACTCCAGAAATTCCAGTTTCATTGCTTGGACAAAGTACATTTCCAGAAACAAAACTGATGAAATTCGATGTGTTTGACCAATTTCTCTGAGGAAAGGATTTGATGAAAGATTATTTACAACCAACAACTAATATAAACTTCGAGTTCGACAAAGGACAAAGTAAACCAAGCCAGTATAGAGATCGAAGAAAACGACTTTGATGCATTAGTTTCTACTTCATTCAAGCCATTTCGAGGTTCGTCCAATCCTTTCTGGATTCAGAAGCTAAATCTGTTGTAATGAGAGACTATATATAGTAAATATGTCTGTTACTCCGATATATATATATATATTAAAAAAAAAGAGAGATGCAGGTATTTTCTGGAAATAAATTATTATGGCATTTTACTGCAAGATGACAGAAGAGAGCATTCTAGCTTTGCGTTACTGAAGGAATTGGATTTGAAAGACATCGATCAACCGTCAAATAATTCTTGGCTACTCTAACTAAAAGACATTTGGTTAATTTGTCTATAAAACGTATCCAAAAATAACAATTACTGATTTAATATTTTTGACCACAAATCTCTATTGGAAATGACAATTTATTAAAGCGAAGATGGAGTGTTGTGGCATTTATAAGCTACATTAAAAAGCTTGATGCTTAAGCAAATTATCAGTGATGACAATATATCGTATTTGTAATACAGGAGATATAAATACTAAATGGATAACCTGTCATACATGATGGAATAAGGTCCTATATGTTGATGGATGAACACATGTTATTGCCATATCATAGACGATAAACTCTGAATATCGGTGCATTTTTGGATATCGATACAGAGGTACACCGATATGAGCAAAATCAAACGAGTGGATACAAACATCTAATGAGTAAGGTGGGGAAGAACATGTTGCATTACTATATGAATTTGATTTTCTTCAAGGCAATGATCTCATGTGATAATCAAGCAAAACATCATGGGGATAATGGATTTAAACGTCTATATGCAAACTAAAAATATCACAAAGTGTTAAATAAGAAAGCAAATATGTCGATTATGTCCAGGACATTTTGAACAATGGGAACCGATTATTATGTGGGAAGACAGGGATCCCTGCAAATCGCATTGCCTTTTTAATTAAAAAAGGTCACAGTGCTTTAACATTGGAGTTTTATTCACAGCCTTTCAATTGAATAATGTACAATTATCGTGAGAAATCAATCCATCTCAGTTGATGCAGCTTAGGACTCAGTTGGTTTTCAATTCAAAAGTAAAGATTTGATTAGCATCTTTCTGTTTTGCTGGTATTCATTTTAAAGATCCTTAAATACACGTATCTTTAAAATAAACAAGTTAGGGGTCCCCACACCCATTGCACTTGAGGGTTTACAATGAAACTAATTCAATCTTCAAAAATCTTCCCTTACTTCTGAAAAAACAAAGCAAATTTACACATGATTGGATATAGAATGCATTTGGCTGTCCAAAGCAATTGTTTTCCCTAACCTTTGTTTACTTAGTCATGAGCCCTGGTCCAGCGTGGCGCTCAGTTGATCATAATTTTGAAATGCTTTGTATATTGATGGAAAAAGTTCCTGGGTACCTTGGTATATTTTACGATAACAGAATGTTTTATAGACAAACTAAAACATAATTATGTATGTATTATACATTTTTAATAATTCATATTCTTATTTTAAAAAAAAGTACATAATTAGGCCTATAAGAAACAAAATTTATCTCCTTTGCTTGAACGTTGATATTGGACAATACATACTTAAGTTCAACTTAATGTAAGTATTAATGCTACCTCTGGTTGCATTAAATATTAATGTAATTGATTCAACCGAAAATCAAGCAACACTACTGAATCAGCATGGAAAAACCTCAAACTAGCATTTCAATACTATGTGTTATCGTATTTATGTTGTAATATTATTTTCATGTAAATTAGTTGAATCTGATTCGTCGAGGAACATTTGTTAAAAATCCCTATTACCCTCTGAATAATGAAGCCACGCCCTCCAGCGTAGCAACAGTCAACATTGCTTGACGACGGGTAATATTCCAAAAAAACAATATTGACTGCGCAGAATTTATTCGCGATATGTTTTTGTATAAAACAGTAATCAGTACAATATATACTAAATATTGCATCGCTGCGCCTCGATTGACAATGGTTTTCTTGGGGTGAAAATTTTCAATGTATAACAATGTATAACGTATAATATAACATTTATTTATATGTATCATGCTGTCGTCATATCTTGAGTAGCAAAGAAATATTCTAAAATGTATTACCTCCATTGAACTTAAGTTTGTATTGATCGCTGTAACAGTAATTTGCACAACTACCTATAAAACAGATGTCGCTCACCCTAACACCGCCTTATTTCTGTCCTTTATGGTCTGTAAATGCATTTGATTTATTATTTGTTTATTGTGTCTGCCACAAAGGTATGAAAAATATAATGCTCTAAAATAAAAATCTCAATTAGAATATTAAAATCATTGTGCTATTTTTCGTTTGTGTAAATGTTTTTGGTCGTACATGATCACTCACCGACATGAAAAAAAAAATAGCAAGAATCCAATAAATTCTTTGGTCTTGCCTTTTTTTTTTTTTTTTTTTTTTTTTTTTTTTTTTGGTTATGTCTATCAGACTTTCTTCTTCTAGGACACTCACTTTTTTTGTGATCGATCTATTTTTGACTGGCTAAGTACATCAGAATTTAGGAAATACTGACAAACAAAAAGGAGCCATCTGGCTTTTCGTTTATTCTGATTCCTTAATTAGGGATGGGGAATTCAAATCATAAGGTATTTGTTCACAAGTCTATATACTCTATAATTAAGTCGATATTGTAAGATGATAAAAATTAAAATTTCTTAAAAAAGAAAATAACAGACTTTGTAATGCTTTCATATGAAATTTAAAAACAATCACCATTCTTGGAGAACGAACGTTTGCTTACTAAATTGAATTATTTCTGTATATTTTTTGTACTACGATTTATTTAAAAACGAATAAGGAAAACTTGGGAAATATACTATTTAACTTCAGTGTATATGTAGAACATTACAAGTTTTATTGCCAAAGATATAATTATTTTTTATGTAACATAATGAATTTGCAAACTTTAAACAAGCCTACTAATATACTAGTATTTTTCCAATGAAAACTCTTATATACAGTTCAGACAACTTTCTAACCTAACATGCTTTTGCGAATTAATTAAATGCAAATTTTTAAAGTTAATATATTTGTATTAAACAAAGGTACAAACAAAAGATTGGAGGAATTTGCAACTTTATCATAGTTTTACATTCATGATTGAATTTTCTTACTTAGTGTTATGTTGCCCCGCCCCCTTTTGCACGAATAATAGCCTTAATATCACTAGCTTTGCTGTGAATGAATTTAAGTTTCACAGAGCTATTTTGGATTACTATTAAGTATCTTCCATATGTCTTTTTAAGCAATTGACATGTTTCAACTAAAATTTCTTTATACCTCCTTAAATTTTACCTTAAATGTTTTAGAGTGAGTTTTAATGGGGACTGTGACGGTACATATTGTCGTTTTGTTCATATTGTCGTTTTGTACATATTGTCGTTGGCGACAATATGCACCTACCCTCACTGCACATATTGTCGTCCATCGGTACAAAATGTCGCCGACTGAAAAGTTACATATGCACATATTGTCGCTGGCGACATTATGTGCCTCACCCTCACTGTACATATTGTCACCCAACAGATATTGTTGTTTAAAGATGTCTTTTGTTGTTTTTTGGTGGTTTTGTGAATGTAATTGGTGTGAGAATTACACTGACGTGTCTCGTATGCTATTTCATGCAGCTTGATTGTGACGGTACATTTTGTCGTCCTGTTCATATTGTCGCCGGCGATAATGTATACTTTCCCTCACTGCGTCGTCCATCAGTGTTATTGTATATGTTAAGTGAATTATTTACTTATGAAATTTTACCTTGACCAAGTATATATACAAGTTAAACAAACAATTTACCTAAGCAAATAAAAAAAAAAATTCAAACCACCAGCGAGGGGGGGGGGGTGCTACATCTGTCTTTCGTGTTTGAGAAGGTTTTAAAATATTTTCTGTATATATTCCTATGTAAAACTTTATTCACCCATTATGACCCCATATTACACCTGGGGTCATGACTTGAACAAAATTGATTTTGTTTTTGTTTGTTTGTTTGTTGTTACAATGCCCCTCTCGAGAATTTTTCATTCATATTGAGAAGTCACCACTTACTGGTGGAGGGCTGGAAATTTAGACCTATACTTGGCACTCAGGATCATTGAGCAGTGAGGGATCTTTTTTGAGCTAGCACCTGAAAATTGAACGTACGCTATGAAGCACAAGTATCATCTCTTCTGACCCAGTAGTTCTTGAAAAAAGAAGATTTTGAAAGATTTTTTTCTAAATATTCTATGAAAATCTTAGATCATCTATTGTAGACACACCTATCCCCCGAGGGACATGATCTGAATAAAACTGAATCTACACTCTTTAATGTAGCTTTCACACAAGTTTCAACTTTTCTGACACAGTGGTTGTTGAGAAGATTTTTAGAAGTCACTAAATTTTCACTTATTCTTAACTGCTTCCCTTGAAAGAGGGCATGGCCCTTCATTTGAATAAACTTGAATCCTCTTTATCCACGGATGCAAGTGTGGCAAGTTTGGTTGAAATTGACCCAGTAGTTCCTGAGAAGAAGCTGAAATTATGAATAGTTTACAGACAGACGGACAGTCAGACAAAATGCGATCAGTAAAGCTCTCTTGAACTTCCAGTTCAGGTGATCTAAAAATGTTATTTTTTGCGTTATTCTTATATTATTAACAATAAATAATATTTATAATATTATATCGGCACATGATCGTATATAAGAATAACACAAAAAATAATTTCCAAATAATCATTACTACTGAACAAAAAAAATACCTGTTTTCAATCTCCAAGTATATATTACAAGAAAAAAAAGAACAGCTGATTTATCAGATATCTCAAGAATTACGGTATCTTGATATGTCATAGTGATGTACATCAATCCTGGACACAATTTTCTGACCAGAAAGTTTTTTCCCTACAGTATTTCGAGTAATGCTGTCTGTCTCCCTCCGTGCAAGTATGTGTTTGTCAATCTCTCTTTCTATTCGTCAAAACAATATATCGACGACAATATATGCCGACCTTGACTGTACCTATTGTCGCCGACGTCAATATGTGCTGGTGCTTGACTGTACATTTTGTAGTCCATTATGCAGGAAGAAAATAAAGCTCGTCTCGGTACATAATTGTCGCCGGCGTCAATATGTACCGATGGACGACAATATGTGCAGTGAGGGTAGGTCCATATTGTCGCCGACGACAATATGTACAAAACGACAATATTGCCAAAGATATAATTATGTAATATGTACGGTCACAGGGACTGCTTTTCGCTTGTGTCATTGTAGATTTTGTACTGCATTTGCAGCTCTTTTGTGCTCCTCATGAGATACTAAAAGATGTGAGTACCTTGTAGACTTGATAAGTATTTCCAAGAAACCGATTTATATAAATTTTTTAGTAGCATGTCATAACTCAAAAGTACAAGCGAGTATCTAAGATGAAGTGCATTTCTTGCACTTCCATTTTTGGAAGAGTCTAGATACAAACAAAAAAAAAATCTTTTAGGTCAGAGAAAAGAGACTTAATTGATCTTACTGACAACATGCCAAAATTTATAAATGAAATATGAAAATAACGAACAGTAATCAATCTGAAACAATACAAATTTGGAGCAGAGCAAGAACGGGCCTCTAAACAAACAGGGGTGGCATCAGGTGCCAATGAGGAGTAAGCATCCCCTTTCGATCGGTCATGCCTGCGGTGTGCTCATGCATTGTCATAATCGGGCCAACGGAAAAAATCCGTAGAGAATTTAGTGTTGAAATAATGATCAAACAATTAGTATGAGAAAGGTCAGTCAGCATTCGACATAATAATAGATTGGATTTGCTAACAACGTAATCGTATCGACTATAGAATTGAGAAATGATGACTTTAAGGTCAAAATCTAGTAAATGAAAGATACCTACAGTTTTTTCAAATTTGAGAAACGAGTTCTTTTAATGATCCTTTACAAATATGGCTTGCAAAAATAGGGTGTTTCGGGACATAATTTTTTTTATAAACTAGACGAAAAAACATATTGTAAACTGTAATTTTTAATAAAAAACAAGAAAGTCGGGTACAAATTTAGGAGTTTTTTTCCATCTCAGATAAAAGAAATGTATCAATATTGCCTACAGTCTCTCAGAAAACGGTTTTTCATTTCTTCTTAACCTCTACTTCAAAATGATATTAAATTGAATATAGATATCGGGGTTAGTTTTGACATAATTCCAAATTGAATACATTGAAAATGCTTCATTTGCTACATAATTCTTTTACAGCCGTAAAGTACGGGAAAAATTAAGCTTAAATCAATTATGACGTCATAATGGATCTAACACCAAAAAGACAGTCTAAAGTCATTTTACTAGATCTTGACCTTAAACGAGACTGTTCATATCATTGTTTCATCAACTTATTTGATAATAGCTTGCCTCGTTTTAGAAATTGTTCGTACTTAGAGTATGCTCTTACGTATCGAATGAAGTGGGAGATATAAACCCCATATGCTGGTGATAGGGATATATTGCTACTTAAATAAGGGAAATTGACGATGGCAATGTTGAAGTCATCACGTTTATCATAAAGTTTTGTTTTAGGCAACCATTAAGGTATTTTCTTGTAAAATATTCAAATATGTATCAGACTCTGTGGCATCTTTATATCAAGTTCACTGGGATATATCGAGTCGATATATGAATGGAAGTAACTATTGTAAATCGGTCGTCGATATATTTAAATGTCAAGTTAAAGGCCTCAGGAGGTGTCTTTCTAATTCACTGATAAATTTTGCTTCATATGAATATAAAAATAGGTCATTTAATAACGGGACGCAATTGTTACCCATGGGAATTCCGACAGATTGTTGGAAAATCCGATCTCCAAAAGAAACATAGATATTGCCAATCAGAATCTCAACATCTTTTTAATATTTACGTCAGAGTACTTGTGACTGTGTAAAATCGGAATATTTTTAAAAAATAATTTTGTAAGTGACCAATGACAAGGTAAGTAAATTTACGAGTTCCATTTTCATTGAAAAAGCAGCTGTCTACGATGTCAAAAAGCATGGAATTTCATTTACTGGGAATTGTTGTGTAAAGTGTTGAAAACTCGTACGTTTTGACGTTATTGATTTTGATAGAATTTTGGGATTTCAAATTTTCTAAAAGTTTTGTTTCTAAAAAGAAAATGTGGAAGACACTCTAATGAGAACGTTGCCCAATTGCAAAATAGAGTCTTTGAAAACATAGTTCTTGACATGACAAATGAATAAAGGCTGTTATTCTGCCCAAAAGATGAGCAATTTTAGTACTTCAACGTAAATCATCAATTGAAATTGTCAAAACTAAATACAATTGCAAACTTTATCATGTCTTTTGTTTGCACCTTTGTTTAGAGGCAATATATCTATTTTCAAAATGTGTATTTAATTAGTTCACAAAAGCATTTTAGTTTAAAAAGTTTATTGAGCCGTACAATATAATTCCTCTCCTTATTTATACAAGGTAGACTCCTCTTAATTTACTCTTAAGACGGATTTTTCAGTATTCTGTATCAAGCAAAGAGGCTTATTTAGCGTCTCATAAGCGAAAGGTTAAAGTGTCGAAAAAAGAGGTTCCTAAGACCTCCAAGGATCTGAAGGAGAACATTAAGGCCTGCATAAAGGATGACAAAATGCCTGTGGTGCAAGCAGACGACAGAGAACAAACATGGCAGACTTTCCAAGAGCTGCTGGATTTTGACGTCTTCCTGTTGGACTGCAGAATATTAAACGACGATATGGTAGGTAAAATAGCGTGCATTTAATAAATATGAATTCGATTTAATGAGATGTTAGAGGAAGAACAATGACTACGGTTAGAAAAAAGATGCTGTTATAGATATGTATACCTATATCATTATACCTAAACAACTAGTCCTGAGTTACTCATTTCAGATTCCTTGCAAAAAAATGGAAGAAATGCCTTTGGGTTTTTTTTAAATCAATAAAACAGATTGATTATACTTATACTTGTAAAACAGTTTTCAATGTTAATTTTACCAAATATCCTATATATATGCACCCTCCTAAGTTATCGAATCAAGCATTTTACGTTTTCCAGTGACTTTTAGCTTGTATATACTTAACCACCATTCATAGATATTATCTATTTCACTTTGCAGAAAAAGAAAATAAGGGAGACCCCAAAGGCGAACTTATCAGACTCGGAAAGGGTAAATGATATTAAAACTGATTTTACATTTGACAGTTGCAAACAGTTTCTGCAATGAAATATTAAAATCTTTGAATATCAGTTTGTAATATAAGCACATTTTAATGAATACATGAATTAAGAACTTTTCATCTGTTATAAAGAAAGAAATGGAAGAATTATTAAAGAGCATGCAGGACAAAATAGGACACAATCCAAAATTGGAAATAGAGAGATTTGAAAATTGGGCGGAAACAATTATTTCCAACGTCATTTCCTGTTGGCCGACATCAAAGGAAGAAATACAAACTGTCATAGCAGCATCAAAGGAGGAGGGACTGAAGATACGTTGTGCTGGTTCTCGACATAGCTGGGCACCAGTCTTTAGTGATGAGCGACAGATGTTATTAAACCTTGGAAAACTGCGAAGTGACTACGGACATGGTGTCAAAATAAGAATAGCAAATGTACTTATTTTTTAGAATATTTTTAAAATTCAATTATTGATTGATAAATACATACAGGTACTCGTTTTATAAGGCCACCTTCAATGTTTGATATCGCACAGTCCCTACTGAAAGCGTTATACAAACCATGTCTTGCTAGTGCTTCGCATTTGTTCATTTTTCACTACTGATGGACCGATTAATCGATTAAATCGATTATCTTATCGAAATGGTCCCCGATTATAGATAATCAATGATAATTTAAATAATCGATTAATATTAGTTAAAAGTAAATTATTTCTATTATTTTTTATTCATTCTTCTTTGAATATTACGAAATCTTAAGCAATAATCTAATAAATGAATCAAATGACACAAAATACATTGAAAGTGCATTTTAGATATCACCCCAGAATTCTTCACCAATTTACTATTCACTGATTCAAAAATGAACAAATTTAATACTTGAAATCAATCGATTATTAATCGATTATAGTGCATCCGATTATTCCAATAATCGATTATGAAAAAAATACGATCTTCCGTCACTATTTTTCACTCAATATTCATGTTTGGAAGTATAATAGGGTTTCAGATATTCCATTGGCATAAACGAGATCGGATCTCAAAATAAAGGACCCGAAAAAAAGCAGTTGATGATCAATATTAATATTAATTATGGAAAAATTACCCAAAAATAAAATATATGTACAAGTACATGTACAAGAAAATGTATTTCTGTATATAAATATATGTCTTATTAAGTCAACACGGTTTTGGGTCCTCCAATTTTCAGGGACTCGTTTACATTAATTTTGTATTCCTAATCACCCATGAGTTTTTAAAAAAAATTCTTTATAATTGTTTATACATTGTTATAATTGTCATTATCATAGCGTAGTCGCAACGAAGTTGATGTAATGGCGGGCGTCACAACTGGAGAGTTGAAAGATTTTCAACTGAAAAATAAGCTTCACCTTCCTGCTAGTGTCATCATTGACGCAGTGACTGTGGTAGGAATCGTTAGTGCTGGATGTCACGTGAGTAATCATTGCACATTTTCGGGTAAACAATTTATTAGCACAATTTTCTTAACAATGTTTTTTCTTCATTCATTACTAGTACATGACCTTAATGAAATGCATTTCATATTCACAGGGTGTGGGACGTTACTCAAAGTCTATCAGTGATTATGTCGTGAAGATGCGAGTGTTCGATTCTAAAGGCGAATTAAGGACGTATTCGAATGAAAACCAGGCAATGTTCAGAGCAGTTATGGCGGGTTTTGGATGTTTTGGTGTGGTGTATGATATAACGCTAAAGGTAAAATACAACATGTGGTATCTCTATAATTTAAACAGATATCTTTATAAATGAAAAATACATATACATGTATTTAACTACAGATATACATCTCTAATCAAAGAGAGGAATCATGTACAAAAAGAAATACTGTATACAGGGAAATTTTCGACCCCGTTTTATTTTCGCCCCTATCGCCCTACTCACAGGTGGGCGAATTTAAAACGGGGCGAATTCAAAGAACACAGTATAATTTCTTACACAAAACTTTGACTGGGCGAATTTAAAACAAGGTAATATTGTTTGCAAGTGTGAAAGAGTGAAAATAACAGGGGGCGAAAATAACCCTGTATACAGTATACATGTATCTTTTTTTTGAATAAATAGTAAATGGCTTAAAAAAAGCTATTGAGCAATATTCTGTTCTCGCTCTGAAATTAAGCGTTTATGACTTCAACGTCTTTTCAGATAACCCCCCCCCCTTAAAATAAATCTTGAAAGACCGTGAGTGATATGAGTTTGATTTTATGCGGTAATTTTATGAAGATAATTCTATTCTGTCCAATCATGGTAGCATCATATTTTTTTATCTAAAAAATATACACTTCATACCTTGAACTTTAAATTAGTTTTGATCGATGATAGCCCCCTTCCCTTAGAAAATCACGCTTTGAAACAATTCTTCAGCTTCAACTAATGTGTTGACACAGCAACATTTCAAAAATGGTTGAGTCTTGGGGAAAACACATCATTAGATTTATTCATGATTTTCTGTTGCACATGTTGGGAACCTATTTACTTGTAACACACTTAGATGATATTTACAGGTGTATTTCATATCCTTGATTCGCTAATAGTAATATTTTACATATTCTCTTAAAACACTAACAATTACCTAAATCTTATTTAAAAATGCACTTATATACTTATTTATTTTCTTGAGATGGAACCAGAATTTCTGGTAAAAACAGAAAACGTATATTATAACCTGGGAGAAGTTTTCTGCTATGCCAGATGTCTTCAGTCAATAGTCGAGAACAATTGGTCCACTAACATTCTTTGGTTCCCCTACAATTCCTTAAGTTGTGGTGACTACAATCCTAAGAACGATGAGTTGTGGGTACGCGTGACGAATAAAGCGCCACCTGACGTGGACACAGAAGACTGGGACTATTACACTTGGCGTGACACCAAGGATTACGTCACACAGGGGTCACTGGCGGCCATGCTGCCACTATTAGTGGAGGATCCCAGTATTGTGCCGTACTTTTCATGGACTGGCTTTAAATTGTTGAAGTACGTGATGTACCCATCTGGTGAAATTTACCAAGAGCATCCTCATTCTGTTCATTTCAGGTAAGAAATAATACAACTACAGTGTATACCAAAAAAATCCTCATTCTGTACAAATAAGGAAAATAAAATTACAAGTACACCAAGAACATCATTTTCAGATAATTAATTGTTTAAATATTTTACTAGAAAACATGCTTTACGTATGAACAATATCTTAAACGAGGCAAGCTATTGACTAACAAGTTGATGAAACAATGATATCAACAGTTTGAAGTCATCATTTGGCAAGTTTTATGGTCGATACAATGACCTTGTCAGCACATACAACCTATCATAGAGTCAAATGCTGACTGACGTGTTTTATACTAATTGTTATTGATACACTGAACTGTCTACGGATTTTTTGTTGTTTTTTTTTGTTGTTTTTTTTTTTTTTTTATCATGAAAAGGAGCACACGGCGGGTGTGACCGGTCGGCAGGGGATGCTCACTCCTCCATGGTATCTGATCCCACCTCTAAATTTTGAGGTCCATGTTTGCTCTTCTCCAAATTTTATCTTTTTATTGGACTTTCGAGATTTAATACTGTTCGTTATATTCATATTTCATGAAAGCATACTCATACATTCGGGAAAAGACTTTTTTGAGAAAAAAAAATTGCATAGAATGGATAAAAGTATGCTAGAAAAAACTTAGAGACAAAGATGTATTTTGTTGAATAATTTTACTGGAAGAGTCTTAGAAATAGTTTAAAGTGGAAATACAATAGTAGCTGGACACAAATATCTATAACATCAAGGAAGTTTGAAGGAGGCAATGTTGTCCGTCTGTCTGACCTCTAGACAACATAGTTTGTTGAGGGATTTCTGTGCTATGAATAAGGACTGGGACAAGAGTGGAATTAAACGATTCTTGACTAGATTTAATGCAGATCTGGATAAAATGTGGCTCATGTTAAGTAGCTGAATTAAATTCCGAATGAGTCATTATGGCATTGCTTCTTCTTTCCTCCGTGCATAGTGTGTAGATTGTGCTTATTCACCTTAAAGTTTTAAGTATTATTATTTCTCTGCGTAAAGAGTTCTACTTGGTATCCCAAATTTATTTTTACACGTTTATTAATTTTTCATCAGGAAACATATTGACATGGCACCTGTATACGATATGGAATTCATATTTGACTATGATGACGACTACGAGAAGCTGTTACAGATCATACATGTGGTAGTGAAGAGGGTCGACCATTATGAAGAAAAGGAGGAATATCCCCTTACAGCCTTGGAGATCCGCTTTATATCTTACAGGTAATTATTAAAATAAAATGTGAAGACGCTGATTTAGCAAGTAATCAATAATAGTTTAAATATGGTCTCTATATGTACTAGAATGAAAACCTGACTTGAGTAGAAAAATTCAAAAACCAGACCTTGCAGGGAAAAATCGCCTTGGTTCCATTCAATTTATTCTTAACAATCTTGTTTAACAATTTAATTGTGATCCTGAGTAAACATCAATATTTCAAACTGTATAAAAAGGATGATGACTTAATCAAAGCAAGAACATGCCAAAATGATACATTTTTCTCATAGTCATTTTCTGTCCAAAATCAAAAGCCAGACTTCAATTGTACGGGAAAAGAACATGTTTTTAGAGAGCTATAATTATTTCAAAATTTGGTTCTTCGTGCTGAACACAGATTGGGTCAAATGCTGGTGAAGATCTCGAGGGATGACTAGCAAAAGAAAACCAAAACAAAAATCTACTGGTCCTTCGAGTCCAGGAAAAAGTCATCACCCCTGCCATTGTAAAAAGCTACAGTTCAGAAACTTTAACCAGAGAACAAATTGCTGGAGTGAGGATACATGCAAGAAGGACTGTTGTTAGCCAAACCCAACAGGAAACTGACAAAGTGATGGATTCACAAAGAGTGGGCTGTTAGAATATGCGGATACTCTACCAAACTGGAAAAATGGCATTTGTGGCAAGAAAAATAGAACGATTTAACATCGAGCTTTTTGGACTTAGTGAGAATAGATTGACAGACAGTGGCACTATGCAGTTATCATTCTCTGTCCAGGAAGATCAGATGACCAGCGTAATAGAGGAGTACGCATCAAGAAGGATTCAAAGCAGTTTACTGAAAAGGAAACCTATCAACGAAATTAATCAAGGCGAGAAACAACTCAGCATATGCCAAACTTACCACCATCGTTTGCGATGCTCCAACAAAGGATGCTGAAGATTATGAGAAGGACTGTTTGTTGACTTACCACCAAGGCATGATGTTAAACTCATTATGGGAGATCTGAATGCTAAAAGAAGAATAAACCTTGAAGACAAAGAAGGTACAATTGGTCAACAAGGGTTATGGTAACAACAATGGTGAAAGACTTGGCACGTTTAGCCAAAAAAAAAAGCTTAATAGAATTCTTCAGATGGTCAAATCAGAAACCAGATCGACCAAATATTTATTAACAAGGGATGGAGAGGCAGTCGAATGAGTGTAGCTAGTTGCAAGACATGGATAGCCACTCACTAGTGCTTGCTAAAGTGAAACTCAAGCTTCGCAAGGTAAACAAAAAGAACAAACGACCAGCCCCTAAATATTCAAAAATTAAAGGAATGTTAAATCAAAAAAGCATTCCAATTAGAGACAAGGAAGTTTTGCTTCTAATATGGAAAATGACGAAGAGATACATACAACGCTCTTAAATAAGCTTCTCCTGGAGACAGACTGACAACTAAATTACTTGCGCAGAAGAAAAGGAAAAGGGATAACTGGATTTCAGAAAAAATATGTAGGAAAATCATTACATGAAGGCAAAGGAAAAAGAAAATCTTAGATTTTTTAAGAGAACTAAAGGTAGAGTACAAACTCAATTAGACACGATCAGACAAGGAGAAATACAGAAAACTAGCAGCAGCAGGAGAAGAAAGAGCGACTACAAGACAGAAATTATTACCTTGACCCAACTTTCAATGATACTGGCAGGAAAATTATCTTCCAACACATTGAAAAAGTTCTGGATAAAACATGGAGGAAGATAATTAAATGAAGGTAAAAGAAAGGGACAATCTTGATTATTAACAAAATCTGAAAAAACTTCGAGAAAATAAAGGAAGAGTACACACAATTAGACGAACATGAGTCAAGAAATGTGCACGATTAAAAAAAGAGATTATATCGATAATCATGTAACAGAAGAAACAAAACGAACGACTGCAAGACACAAGAAATGAAGACCTTGACCCAATTATCAAGAACACTGGCAGGAAAATTATCTTCCCATCGAAGAAATCAACCGTCTCAAGATGTGGACATTTCAAAATGTTGGAAGAAACACTTTGAAAGAGTCCTCACTTCTCAACATAGATAATCCATATCTGGGGCAAACATAACACATCTTACCAATCAACTGGGAACCACCAACACTGAAAGAAGTTAAAAAAGCAATCACTAACAGCACCTGGAGTCTGAAGTGGATCAGATTAATGTAGTTACTGACGGCAAAGGAACACCTAAAACTGTACTGGGTTACTCAAAAAGATACTCTCAAGGATCTGGACTACAGAAGAATTGCCATCAAGTGGAAGAGTTGCTCCATCATAAAGCTGCCAAAGAAGGGGGATTTAATTGACTACAACTGAAACAACTGAATTTAGTTTTCTTTCACCAGCAAAGTTCTGAGAAGATTTTGCCTGCATTTCAAAACCATTTAGTCATTTAGAAGGGAGATTTAAATGACTACAACTGAAACAACTGAATTTAGTTTTCTTTCACCAGCAAAGTTCTGAGAAGATTTTTGCCCGCATTTCAAAAGCCATTTAGTCATTTAGAAACATCTGAAAATAATAATAGGTTAGAGCCTTTTTATATCATGCAGAATCATGGGAGTAGAAAAATACTAAAATCAGAATACTTAACTAGATGTCGTCCAAGGTTACTCTGCATCTTCTGGTCAAGGACTATCATTAATGAAAATTGTTTAGGAGGAAAAAATTCCAGCCACTTTCCCTAGACGTCAAGAATAGGGGATGTCTCCTCAACATACAACTAAAACAACCTTCCATAAACAGAATATAAATAAGCGGTCCAATCTAATAAGGGATATACGAGAATGACCATTCTTTCTTTCGTCTATTGATAAGGAAGACAAAATGTTTCCATTCCTGACTCCCTCTTACTTCCTCTTTGGTTCCTTAATTTCTTTGAAACTGCTGTCTTCTAACTTCTTACCCTCCAGTTACATTGTTCTTAAAGACTTTGTGTCTTCCGGACAACTTAACGTAAACCATGGATATTAAATCAGATTTAAAATATACATTTATCCCATGTTTACCCCTTTATCCCGTGGATATGACTCATTGGATATTTTTTCATAACCCACAGTTAAGTGCAGTTGTGACGTCACAATGGTTTTAGCGTTAGCGTGATGAAGTAAAACAAAGTGGAGTCCTATATAAAACAGTGTAAAACATTGGTTGTGAAGTATTGAACATGGGATATAAAGAATCTCCCATGATTTGTAGTTGGATATGACTTTTATCCAACTCGTTGTGTGTTTTTTATCCCCTCGCCAAGGCTCGGGGATAAAATACACACAACTCGTTGGATAAAAATCACATCCAACTACAAATCATGGGAGATCCTATATTTATCTAATGTCTCATCATAAAACCACATGATCAAAATTAAATATATCCCAATGCTTGAAATTCAAGGGAAACTGATAACCTACAGTTTATTTTCTTTTTAAAAAGATTCAATGTGAGTTTTATTTAGTCTTGAAATGCTTCCTATCCTGATACACTTGCATTTCCGTTTGCAGATCGAGGAAAATCATTCCTAACCACGCAACGTAGATAAGAGTAGAAACTGTTAGCATTAGGAATGTAATGTAAATCGTTTTAGCTAAACAAAATATAATGTACCTTGTATGTACAATTATTTTTATTTCCTTGAACACCGTGTATATATACGAAACTTTGTTCCTTGCGATTTGAATTAAGAATCAAAGATGGTAGATGGAGTTCATACAGGATTCGTCTTGACTCTAACGTTACATTTTCAAAGCAATTTTTGATGATATGTTGCTACTGTAAAATCACATATATTCGTGGGGTCAGATTACCGTGGTTATAGGAAAAAAAATGGTTCGTGGGGATTTGATTTCGTTGCAGTAGAAGTGTTGAGTACTTACGCATATGGAATTTTACATTTCGAGGAGGATAGGAATTCGTGGGTCTTACCACACCTCGAAAACGAAAAGCAATCCCCCATGAAAAATAGTGATTTCACAGTATTTTTTTATATAAACATCAGAGTTCTGTTTGTGAATCTGAGCTTGAGCAATGCAATCTATAAGAAAGAAAGTCGTTCCAAAATCAAGTCATGTAATTCATTATAATAGCAATAGTAGAATTTTTGCGATTTTAAATGTTTCAGTGATGCCTATTTGGGATCAGGAGTGCTTGCCAATCCTGCTACTGGTGGGTCTGGTCATGTGATGTGTATAGAGATCTTAGGCTGTCCCGGATGTAGGGGCTGGGATACATTCAGTACTGAGGTTGGCAAGGAGTGGATGGATCTTGGAGGGGTGCCTCACCTGGCCAAACAATGGAATCATTTACCCGGGATTTATGAACACATCCAAGAGGTATAAAATAGCAAAACAAGTAAATCGTTGAGGCATTGAAAATTTCCCCACTGCATACTAGTTTTTGTTTGTAGGATACACTAACTAATAATCAGGTAATTATTTTGTTGAATCCTTGCACAATTTAAAAATAGATTAGGCATTAATGACGAAAATCATGGGATGTTTTTCATTTCATCATTTGTCTTTGTTGTAGAAAATGAGTGGGCCTATCACATCCTTCAAGACGCAATTAAAGAAATCAGGGGCGGATCCAGATGGCATGTTTCTAAATGAAAATTTTAAAATGCTTCTGGGTATATTGTAGTTCCTTAAAAGACAATTACTTAATGTGTGACAATGCCTGATTAACATTATGCAACAAATTAAAGTCTTGAAAAAATTACAAAAAGAATAATAATAGCATGCTTTATGTACTTCATTTAAAGGGTAACGGGTCTTTTAAACAGTGTTTCTTGTTATTTCCATCATCTTGTATTTAATGGCTGGGATTTAGCATTTATATCTACATAGTTGTACATTAATTTACTGTCAAATAAAATTTCTTATTTTTGAACATTATTACATAATTTAGTAATTTTAAGTAGAGGGCAGAATGCTCAGTATAATCATGCAATCTATTTATTGTTTAATGTACAGACATACTGAAAGAAAATTTTGAAAGGATGTTGAATGTTATAAATGTCCAGGTCTTTGAAAAGTGCTTGACTGTTAATAGTTTTGGTGCCATCTGCCAGGTTCCAGAACTTAGGGGAGGGGAACCACTAAATCTTAATTTTGTTTCCCTTCACCAAAAAAACGTAATGATATAACAGGTTGAAACTTTATGAATACTTTCAGAAAGGAATCTAAACCTTCATGCCAGCCATTGTAGAAGAAAAAAAGGGGGGAAAGGGAGGGGGGGGGGGGTAGGCTATGATAAATAACAATCTGTCTACATTAAAAACTTCAGAACCACAATTAAAACTGATAATTACAATTCTTAAATAGTTAAAACTTTTTCAGTACAAAATCTTCATGAATATACATTTATTATTTCATGATCACATAAATCATAATCACCAATATACAAAATGTCATGTGCATGTACAATTTCTTGATTGACAATGAAAAACACAGACTTTATGCAGCATGGATATGAATCAGGGTTTTAAAGTGACCTAAGTTGAGGGGACACATGCAAGATTAGTCAAGGTTAAAAATGAATAAAAGCCTGTTGTATGTTAATAAAGCTTGAACTACATTAAAGAACCTTCATGATACTTTTTTCCAGAATTTTAGGACACATTCTGCAATATGCTATAATACTGAACAGCTCTTTCTACAATTTTGTCAATTTTGTGTCAATTCACAATCATCTCTTAATACAGAAAATAAATGCACATCATTACACGTATATCAATAAAAAGAAGAAACAAAATTTGCCAGAATTTTTAGTGTCTGTACATTAAGAACGGATATTTTGTCACAGTTCATGATGTACTTAAAAATGTTCAAAGTAAATGTTAACTTAAATAAAATGTCTTGTAAGTATACAAATATGATGACAGTACAATAAAAATATAATACCATTATAATTATGTGCAGACAACTTTTTTTCATGTACATGTACTTTAAAATCATTATAATCCTACACAGCAACACCCTAGGCTAAAGCATACTAGTCCTTCACTGGATGTCATTTAAATAAATATAGAAAGTTCATAAAGTTTTTAGGGGACTTTTCAACAGGACAAAGTTAAATTCACAAGGTGTCCAGTAATTCCATGTCAACATATTTAAATTTCTTTTCATTTTTAAAATTGGAGGGGATAAAGCACATGCAATAAAATGTAACTCAATATTTGACACGTGTCTATATTGCTCTGAAAGTTTATGTACTTAAAATTTTTAACATATAATATGGCATGAAAGTGGTCAAAACCTACACCAAAGTCTTGTTCATATGAGTGCATTTTGCAGAAAGAATAGTTTTGAAAATTACTCATTGGATCACAAACATAAGTTGCTGTCTGAGTATTAGAATTGTCATAAAATTGGCCATGAAGCAGTATAGGAAGGATAGGGCAAAGTGACCACTTTGTGATGCTCTGCTGTGTAAGAAATGCTAATTGTTCCACAACCTAAATAACAGTGGAGACTAGATATCATTGAGATGGTGGCCATCTCAAAGGGCCCTGCTTTCAGGAACGAACATGAAAATGTAAGGTAGCTGAAAAGGGTTTATTTTGAAGAGGAACATTTGTGTACTATTAAAGGTGTGTTGTTTGAATCTAAAGGGCTTCTATGTCATCCTTGTTATAAAAAAAATGGCACGAAAATCACTAGTGCTCCATACTCTCTATCAAAAAAAATGGCACAAAAATCATGAATGTTGCATATCCTCTATGAAAATTGTTGCATATCCTCTATCAAAATATGGAAGGAAAATCAGAAATGTTCCGTACCCAAGTCAATTGGTAAAGTTTGAGGCTGACTGGACTTAAGGGAGAGAAATAATGCACCAAACAAAGATTTTAAACAGAGAGGCTATTTTTGACCTTGACCCTTGACCAAGAAACTTCGTTCAAGGTCACTGCACATCCACTGACCAGTGGCACTCTGTGAGTGAAGTATGAGCCACATTGGACCAAGGGGAGAGAAGATATGCTCCGGACAAGGATTTTTCATATAATTCTGCTATGACCTTAACCTTAGGCTTAGAAACATGGTTCAAGGTCACTGCACACCCTTTACCCAAAGGCACTCTGAGGGTGAAGTATGAGCCAGATTGGGCCAAGGAGAGAGAAGATATGCTCCAGATAAGAGATCTCTGATGGACAGACTGATGGAAGGATGGATGGACAGACTGATCACTATAGGGTGCCTGCAGAGCGAGGCCCTAATAAATACACTTATCTTAGTGTGCACAACAACTAGATAAATGAAGTACAGTAAAACTCAGTTATAAAGAAGTCACTGGGACCTCAAAGTTTGATTCTACCTTATTTAACCCGAGTACTTAATATTGTGAAATGGCCCTTGGACATCGAATCGCGAGAAGTATAATTCGCGAGTGGACACTTGATCAAGAGTTTTTACAGGGATTTCAGCACCATAAAAATTAAAGCGAGTAATTTTATTTTGCGAGTGGTTCTTCTCGCATAATTACACAATTATTAATTCCTCACGTATATATTTAGGAATCTACAGTATGTAACAGAAATTCATTTTATCCGTATATGGAACATAGTGAAAAGTCTTCTCAGCGATTCATAAAAGTTTCCATAATAACTGAGATTTCCTTATAAGAGAGTTCTTTATAAGTGAGTTTTGCTGTACACTTACATGTGTGAATGGTATGTATGTATGGTGAATTTATTCTGAATATTCTTATAACTCCTATGAAAATATCTGAAAAGCAGTACACTAGATTTTTATACAAATGATATGCACAATAAACTTCCTTTCAAAAAGAGAATATAAGAGCTTACTGTGATCATTTTTGGAATGTTTCTTCTTAGCTAGTTTATACTGAATGAAAACAACCTTCATCGTAACTGTTTAAAGTACCAGTACATCTGTATTTGGTTGTATTAAAAACTAGCTGTGAAGTGAAATTTGAAAACAACTGCAACCATTCACAATACTAAAGTATTATCTGAAAACATCAAATTGAATTCATTAGTCAATTACAAGTTATAAAGTAGACATCTGACAATCCTCAAGCATATTGTCATTCTACAACCATTCTTATTCTCACATGACATACAGAATTGCAAGTATATGGGACTGTGCAAAAGCAAGTTACTCTACATTTTCCCCAACAAAGCAAAGTCTCTTTATTTTAAATGTCTGCATACATGGCCTTTTCTGATTGGTTGGATCTGATTTGGCAATATTTTTTATGTGTTCTCATTGGTCAGACTTGGTTTTGGAATTTTCTGTAGTTAGCTTCCACTATTTCTATCACATTGTCAATAAAAGGTCTCTCTGCTACATTCACTTTCATTAGTCTAACAATTAATTCATGTATTGCACTGGTATATCTGGAAATAAAAATGATAACAATAAATTCACAATCATAATATCAGATGCATTAAGTAAATGCTAACTAAGAACTTGTACAAAAATGCATACTTTGTTTTAAAAAACATAGAAATGATGCTTAAATTAAAAAAGATTAAAGACAATATCAACTTTTGATAGATTTTAAATCTGTTTTGCACTGTTAAAAGCAAGAGCAGTGAGTGAACGCAGAGAGCCCTCAAACTACAAGTTCTTTTGTCAATGTCTGGGTGCAGAGAAAATTTGAACTGTTTTGATGCAGTTGAATTTTTTTCTGCAGTAACTTTGGTTCCCACATTCCCCCATAAATTGCATACCCCTGCCCAAACTACATTCTCACAATAACCAAACAAAAGTTTACAAATAAAAAAGAAAATGGAAATTGCTGAAAGTCAGTAGATTGAACCCTTTTTGTTAAATTTTGCACTTTTACACTCCATTATGGAAATGCAACTAACATATGATTTTTCAATACAGTCTAAGACTGTGTGTTGTCCAACCTTTAACCTTATATCTACATATTTCATGTGGTTCAAAGAGACAGATCTAAGTTAAAAGTGTATACTAAGAGTTTCAGTATGGGATTCAGTAATAAATACACAACTGTGCTCACTCCCAACAGTCACACCATCAACATATTACACAATTCGTATGTATTTTTCTATAAATTGTTGAATCTGTTTTATTAAGACTTACCCTGAATTCTCGGGAAATTTAATGTTTTCACTCTGTGTTGCGAGAGCTATACTGCCACCCTGGGCATATATTTTATCAAACGGGGATTCTAGGAATGCCAATGCATATAGCAAACAGCCCAAAGACTGAAAAACATAGCACAGATAATTATAATAAATCTCAAGGAATACTAATGTTTCCTACTTTCTTTTTCACTGAGCCTAAGAAAATAGATTACAGTACTGCATTGTAGAGAAAAAAAAGCTTTGATATATAACAGTTACTATACATCTGATTTTAATTTACAAATACTTCTATTTGTAACACTAATAGACTTGTTCAATGGTGATTTCTGATCTTACCCAGATGTCTGTCCGTTCGTCAACGGTGGATCCTGTTTCAACATTGAAGAGTTCTGGAGCTCGATAAAACATGGAACACCGTTCTGCTGCCTCATCCTAGAACAGAACACGATTATTTATCTGGTATCATTATTAAAGCATGTGCACTTCACACACTTAAATTATAATTGGTGAAAAATTTCCTCTACAATTTGTTTTATGTGATATAAAATAATATGAATACTAATATTAAAAAAACCCCGATTTTTGCAATTCCTTTTTTTTTTTTGCAGTCAGGTTGTAAGTTGATTGCAAGCTCAGTGTGGTTGGGGATTTAGCAACAGGGGATTATAAAATAATAATGATTCTAGTCTTTACATGCAGATTAATGGGAGGTTTGTATGTAAGTTGGAAGGGGGGCATAAAATCACCACTCATAAACTCTGCCTGCTAAAATTTAAAATTCAAGATCACTGCAAAATATAGGAAATATGCACCTGTAATTGTCTGGAAATTTTGGCAGAAGAAACATCCACTCTGGCTAAATCTGCAGAACCCAGGTCCATTAAAATGGGAGAACCATCATCAGCCATCATCACATTAGCTGGTTTTATGTCTCTATAAGAAGTAGAATTTCAAATTATATGAATATCAATATGAAGAATAGCAGGTGTATTTACATTGTAATTTATCATGCTATCTCAATTTCCCTAGCGTCGTAGCATTTGCTAAAATGTTGAATCACATTGTAAATTGAAATGTTATGAAAACAAAAGAAGAAGAATTCTCAACAAAGAACTGTAAGCAAAAGAAATGGGGTTGAGATTGCAGATTACTCAAAATTCAATGAAAAAATAATCTTAATCATTATAATCAGACATTAATCTGCTAAATAAACAAAGAACTGAGACAGGAGAGCATCGTACAAGTTTGTACTTGACCCATACAAATCAACATATACCTTATATCTAAATTGAAAATGAATAAATAAAACACACTTAAAGCAAACACACTTATAATAAATTGATGCTTTCAGCGAAGTGATTTTCATCCCCATGACTTTAAAATATACTGTAAACTTAACGGATATAACAAATTACGTTTATCACAAAGCAAATCATCCATCCCAGGTGGCACTTCATTATAAGCGTCTTTTACTGTACATGTATTATATTTGTCAATGGTTACACACTAAAGGGAATAATGCCTTTTAATTTTGAAGAGACTTTTAAAGTATATTATAATTAAAACACATAATTCAAATTTTCAATAAGGGTATACATGTACTACAGTATTACTTAGAGCAATTACTTTGAAAGGCATATCCTGCATATGAATATGTCAAATAACCATGCGCCTGACAGCCTAAAACGCACAAATTTTGTTGCAGGCAAACAGATTTGCAGGTATCAATGCCCGGCTAGAGGTGTAAAAATTTTTCATAAATCAAAATTCATATATTTGATAAATCTCTCTCAAATCAACTAATAGTATCAGCAGCAAAGTGTAACAAGCAAACAGGTAGAATTCGTCAGCCTATAGGTTCGGGATCGAAGACATGGTGATTTGGCCCCATTCACATAATTGCTAAACAAATTTATAAAAGACAAAATATTTTTTCGGGCAACTCAATTTTTGGCAGGGCTGACAACTTTTACTAGCAGTGAACCCTGCATGTCTAGCTTATTTTACGGTGAGTTTCAAACCCTGGTACATGTATGTCTATTATTTATAGGGATGTCAATTTTGTCAATAATTCATATTGATTTCGATTATTCAATGAAAGTATTCGAATACATTCGAATATTCAATAAAATAAATAAATTTTGGTTTATTTAAAATATGCATCGTCCTATTCTCATAATAGGTTTATTTTGCGTAGGTATTCTTATATTGGAAGTAAAATTGTATGAAGACTTTTGTAGTCGTACAATAAGGAATTCCATTTGATATTTGTCAATGTTTGAATTAAATAATTGATTTAAATGTAGAAAAGTATAATTTTAACAAATGATACATGTGTATTTATAGTAGCTCCAACTGAGGAAACAGTCATCTTATAGCAAAGGCAAGATAGTCGTATACTGTTCAGATTTCAATGATCAATTAAATTTATCTTGATACATGTACACGTACTCATTCTAAGAAGGTTTTCATTTTGTTGTCCTCGATTCTAGATTGTATTTAACTAATAAAAACTAT